CAGAAAAGATTTTTAAAAGTGTACAAATCCTAACTGTATAAGAAGTAAGACATGCGGTGCTGTATGACTGCAGTAGGAGCTGTGTTCATATCCTCTGCAATAAGTCAGACATGTTCCCAGTGGGTCTTGCCAGGATTGCCCTTTATTATCGGCCCTATTGCCTCTCTGCTGTTGTAGATGATGTGGTCCTGTTGCCTCATCAAACAGTGACCTCCAGCCTTCAATGGGCGATTTGCAGGTTAGCACCTCAAATGTGAAACTGGTGGATTGCTCTCTCTGGTCTGCCTGCTGCGCCTGCTGCTACAGTGACCTGACCCAAGGTAAGTGGAGGAAAATTAGTATGAAATTGAGATTTTCAAAAATATTAGTATTAAAAATGATGTCAGCTACTTTCAACAGCAACTGTATCAATAATTGCTAAAGTTCGAAAGTTGATAGAGTAAAATTGCAAGTAATGTTTCAAATGTTTCAGCTGCCCTTCCCGCAGAAGCGGAAGGAGTTATATAGGTCTATGGCTACTGGTAGAAAAGACTGCTGTGGTATTCTGTGATGCAGTTCAGTGCCAATGGCAAATAACAGATAACAGCACCTTTCGGACTTATGGGCTTTAGCCCCATGTCAGATACATGATGCTCTGCAAGAAATAAACATGGTTTATAAATTTAGCTGTAGCAGATGGACCTGGACAACTGGTTTTCTACCTTCTATATTAACTCCATTGTCATATGCATACCCTAGAATGCAGAGCTCTGTCAACTGGTCAAGAATGACATTTGAAAGATGAAAGCCAGTTATTTCCACAACATCCACATTCCCAAAGATGTCATCCTATTGTTCAATACATGCCTGTTTAGAATGAATTAGTGCTTGAACTATGGTGTTGCTGCTTGCAGCTTTCTCAAAAAAGGCTTACTTACAAATATCCCATTTAGCACTGATTTCCTGTGGTCTTCAGCAATACACCTGTCAGAGACACCCATAGTCAGAAACACCAGTGAAATACAGTGATGTTAAGGAAAAAGAAAAGAAAGCTTTTTGAATTCTGGAGCTGCAGCATTTCTTGATGGGTTAGCTATGGCCTACGCTGTGCGTCTACTGCCACTAGACAATTTCACAGCAAACCTCAGCACACCTGTCTGCGCAGCCCAACCCCCCTTGAAGAGTGCCAGGCTTTGACGCATGTTTTACATAGTGATAAAATGGTGGAATAACAAATGTGGCCTTTAGGGCCTTAAAGCGGCACTCAGTTACCTGCATCTCAGGAGGTTGTTGTATCCGTACTAATTCGGTGCCACACATCACATACCACTCTACCAAGGCAGTGAGATGAAATTGATGTGGCCTGTGGTTGTGGGCCTCAGAGCACCTGTTGTTTCTTAAGGCTCTTTACGTAGCAGGTAACTGGATCTGTTTGCCAAGTGATTCAAAACCTGATGCCTGCTATGGGATTTCCTGCAGAACAATCACCGCCTACGGATGGATGCCTTTCCACACGTGCTAGGACCAAGAATGCTGCTCTAGGGGATTTCTGCTGCTCTATCTCACGCTTCCCCCGTTTGACACAGTAAGGCGGTTGTTGGCCTTTCTGCTAGCCTCAGGTTAGGACAGAACTTACTGAGATCATTATAACCCTGCCATCGACTGTGCCTAGCTCTCCCAAACCCTTTGGCAGGCAGAAAGACTGGGGTCCTCACCAAGAGTGGTTGTTCAGTGGGGCCAGTTTCAAAGACATATGTACGGCGGCAAAGTGGTTGATTGTTTCTCTGTCCATACGGTTCCCCCTCTTGGACATGCCAGGCTTCTTTTCAGTGTATTTGCTCATCCAAACAACTCTAATGTGCACTTTACAAAGATTATTTTCTCACATGTCAAACATGGTGATTGTGGGTGATTGCGGGTGAGTGTAGAGCACGGTCGTCCCTCAATCGTAGGATTATTGGTTCAATTCTAGGCCCTGCTAACCTGTGTGTTGATGTGTCCTTGGGCAAGACACTTAACCCAACATTGCTCCTGTAGCTGTGACTACATCGTGTGATCGATGTGAACGCTAGTTACTGTTGTGAATGGGTGAATGATGACATGAAGTTTAAAAGCACTTTGAGTGGTCAGAAGACTAGAGAAGCACTGTACAATCAATTTGTCTTTTTGACCCCTGCAGTATGGCCATGGATCTACCCAGTTAAGTAATGTCCTAGCTGGATTAGCTGGGGCCCCCTTCATCTCCGCTATGTTATAAACAACATTTCCGTTCTGGACTTCATCAACACCAACATCAACAGTGTCACTACACTTAAACGAATCACCACCTTCCCCAACCAGAAGCCATGGATGAACAAAGAGGTCTGTCTACTGCTGAAGGTACGAGACACCGCTTTCAGATCAGGTGATGCTCAAGCCTACAGTGCATCCAGGGCTGACCTGAAGAGGGACATCAGGCAGGCCAAGCACTGCCACAAGCTAAGGATTGAGGAGCACTTCAAGGACAACTCGGCAAGGCATCCAGGCCATAACAGACTACAAACCCACCAACACCACCCCCCAAAACAATGATGCCTCCTTCCCAGATGAGCTTAACAGCTTTTATGCACACTTCGACAGGGACAACCAGGAGGCCGCCATCAAGGCTGTGCTCAATTCAGAACACCAGCCCCTCACACTCTCCTCCACCGACGTGTGTGCTGCACTGAGCAGGATTAATGCACGTAAGGCTGCTGGCCCTGATGGCGTCCCCGGACGCGTGCTCAGGGCCTGTGCTGGGCAGCTAGCTGAGGTCCTGACTGACATATTCAACCTGTCACTAGCCCAAGCTACTGCCCCCACGTGCTTTAAAATCACCTCTATCGTGCCAGTACCAAAGCACTCCACCGCAGTGAGCCTAAATGACTTCCGCCCAGTTGCACTCACTCCAACCATCATGAAGTGCTTCGAGAGGCTGGTCGTGGCTCACCTCAAAACCTGCTTACCACCCACACTGGACCCCTTCCAATTCGCCTACCGCAAGAACAGGAGTATGGAGGATACCATCTCCACGGCATTACACTCCGCCCTTTCTCACCTGGACAATAACAACAGCTATGTGAGGATGCTGTTCATAGACTTCAGTTCAGCTTTCAACACTGCAATGCCCTCCAAACTAATCACGAAACTCAGTCACCTGGGTATCAACACTTCCCTCTGTAACTGGATACTGGACTTCCTATCCAACAGACCCCAGTCTGTTAGGGTAGAGAACCACACCTCCTCAACCCTCATCCTGAACACCGGCGTGCCACAGGGCTGTGTGCTAAGTCCTCTCCTCTACTCCCTCTTCACCTACGACTGCACACCTGTACACGGTTCTAATACCATTGTCAAGTTTGCAGACGACACAACGGTGATTGGCCTCATCAGTGACAACGATGAGTCGGCCTACAGAGAGGAGGTCCAGCACCTGGCGGTGTGGTGCGCCGACAACAACCTGGCCCTCAACACCAAGAAGACCAAAGAGCTAATTGTGGACTTCCGGAAGAAAACTGGCACACACATCCCCATCCATATCAACGGGATGGTCGGTTGAGCGTGTCGCCAGCTTCAAGTTCCTGGGTGTTCACATCCCTCCAGTTACGATCTCTTGGACCCTCAACACCTCATCCCTGGTAAAGAAAGCACACCAGCGTCTCTTCTTCCTGAGGAGACTGAAGAAGGCCCATCTGTCTCCTCAGATTCTAGAGAATTTCTACCGCTGTACCATAGAGAGCATCCTTACAAACTGCATCTCCATATGATATGGCAGTTGCTCTGTCGCGGACCGTAAATCACTGCAGAGGGTGGTGAAAACTGCCCAACGCATCACCGGTTCCTCACTCCCCACCATTGAGGCTGTCCAGAGCAAGAGATGTCTGCGGAGGGCACGCAGCATCGAAAAGGACAGCTCTCACCCCAGCCACAGACTGTTTGGCCTACTCCCCTCTGGGAGGCGCTACAGGGTGCTCCGTTCCCGGACCAGCAGGTTCAGGAACAGCTTCATCCCTGCGGCTGTCATCTTACTGAACTCTGCCCCCCCTGAACTCTGAACTCTGCCCCCCACCCCCACAGACACATCTCCCTCAGTGACTGTACTTCCCCCCTCCACCCTGGCTTGACTGCCACACACCCTCCTCCAACCACTGAACATTTGCACTAGTTATTGTATATCCATTTCTTACTCTTCATATTGCACAACTATTTCTTACTGTACATATCTATTTATTCACTTATTACACCTTACATATGCACATACTCTGCACTTTTTGCTATTTTGCACTCTGGTTGGATGTTAAACTGCATTTCGTTGCCTCAGTACTTGTACCCTGTGCAATGACAATAAAGTTGAATCTAATCTAATCTAAAATCTAAAAAAGTAGGTAGGTTGCAACCTGTGAATGGGGGGAAATTTTTGCCCCCACGGGTTTTTCTTTCTTGTGTTCCACCCCCCCCCCCCCCCCCCCCCCCCAGCACTTTATCCATTAAGGGCTCAACCTGGGCTCATGGAGCCAGGGTTACATTATTGTAAGCTTTGTTCTCTTTCAATTCCTTATACGCCATGACAGCCCCCCCTAGAGGACATGAAGCGCTTCACATTAACCTGGTGTAAGCAACATTATCAACCATTAAGAGCCCTTTGCTCTCTTAAGCAGAGCAAATAAAATGTGAAAAACAGATGCAACACAATATACTTGGGCATGCATCAATTGTTTTATAGCTCGTTGAATTTTCTAGGATGCGAAAATATTGTTGTAGTGTGCATACATTTGTTATTTTCAGAATCCTCACCTAAGAAGCTTTGAACGGTAACTTGTATTAATAATATAATTACATTTCGGGGCATTCAGAGTACATTTTAATATGCCATTTACAGGCCAAGAGACTGAATCTAAGGGCCCACACACATACAATGCTGGGAGACATGGGAGGGATGAGGGGAGACAGGTTTATCGTTCTGGCCGCTGTTGTCCTAATCCGTTCTTAGAGGCTTAGTGGGACCTCAGGTTAGGTTGGTCACAACTATTGCCTCAGAGAGAAACAATCAAAGCCTTCTATGGATGTCGTCTTTTTCGTTTATTCCTGATTCTAACTTTCCTCTACCCTAATCTCTTCCGGTCAAATCTTCAGGATCAATTGAATTATCTCATAATTTCCGTGGGCTCATTTAGAGGACATTTTAGCTGCTCCAGGCTAAAGAAGTCACTGTTTTTTGTTTTTGTCTTTGTCTTTGTGATCATTCAGACTCGTCGAGATGAAGGACCGACTGGCGCAACTCAAAGAGGTAGGTGCAATCTGTTTCCCTGATGAGCACTCGTGTGAATGTGTGGACAAGAACAATGAGTGTAATGAGTGTAATACAACTGCTCGCTGTCATATCATTTAACTAACAACAGAAACAACAGCATATTTCATATTTCACAAGTATGAAAAATACTTTGGAAATAACTCTTTGGTCAATAACAGTGTGTTCTGGTCGAATATTTGAAATACGCATAACTGTCCCAAACTGCTGACAAAAACTGTAAGCTCAGTCGGTGATATTTTATGAATATCGTCTTTTGGATGTTACTGCAATATTGGGGAAATTATAATTCAATATGGAGAGGCACCCATGTTTTTACCATATCCCAGAGATACAATATATAGATTGGATCTAGAACAGGTGGGGAGGCGGGATGAAGGGGGGGGGGCATCTATAATTGTGGACCAGTTAAATGTTTATGTCACTCACTCAAAAGAATAATTAAAGCGGTTATCCTTTAATAACAATGACAATATTGCATTTTGAAAAACACAAAAATAATTTATTTTTTTATAGTCCGGGAAAGAGATAATTTCCCTATTGATAAACCTAGGGTTTAAACTAGGAGGTCAAGTCAAGTCAAGTCAAGTCAAGTCAAGTCATTTTATTTTGTATAGCCCAAAATCGCAAATTACAAATTTGCCTCAGAGGGCTTTACAGTCTGTACACATACAACATCCTCTGCCCCGAAACCCACCATCGGCACAGGAAAAACTCCCCAAAAATGAAAAGTACATCCATTTACATCTAATATACAAATGCAAATATGCATGTGAATATGTATTAGTATTAGTATTATTGGCCGTAGTGTACGATCAATAACCAATAGCTCTAAATGTTCTATAGCAGTGGTTCTCAACTGGTCTGGCTCCGGGACCCACCATCACCCCTTACTGACAAGCCGCGACCCAAATCGAGGAACATTCTCAACTTCTCAAATTTATTTAATGATAATATGGTCCAGTTTGAACCTGAGATAGTATGGAGACAGAATACACATGCCAACACAAAAACAAGTTTAATGAAAAAACAAAACAGCCAGCTGTTAATTCTAATTTATATTTTCCCAGGCAATAAACCCATTAAAAACGGGTCCGCGACGACCCACCAGTTGAGAATCACTGTTCTATAGTTATTTTGTGTGTATATTTCATCCTCAAGCTCAGTAGTGACCTTCTTTTAAATGCTTGTGTGTGATTAATAACAGAAGACCGATGCTGGTGGCGACGACATTGAGGTTCCTGTGGAGAACGAGGCTTTCATGGATGATTTCTTTAATCAGGTGTTTTATTTGTGTCAGTTGGTCTCTTCCTCACATTTCCAACAGAAAAGGTATTTCTTGTTTATTGATAAATTGTGTGTGTGTGTGTGTGTGTGTGTGTGTGTGTGTGTGTGTGTGTGTGTGTGTGTGTGTGTGTGTGTGTGTGTGTGTGTGTGTGTGTGTGTGTGTGTGTGTGTGTGTGTGTGTGTGTGTGTCTGAAGATATCCGCAGCAGCATTGGCGAGATTGAGAGAGTGGCACACAAAGAAAAGATTTTACTTCACCATCGTGTCTGCCCCAACATCTGAGCAGAGAACAAACACAAACATACTCTCTCTTAATGTTATAATGGCTTTCACCTAACGGTTTTGAAAACTGCTCTTCCTTTTCTCTTTGAAGAAACACAAGAAGACGTGGAAGCCCCTCCCCCATGGAGATCAGGAGTCGCGCCAACAATGCCAAGAACACAACCTAAAAGCCAGATTTTGTTCTTTACAGTCCCACTTTTTCTTTTTGCTGTTTTTTAACCTTGGAAGAAAGTAGCTCCCAGTTAAAAATGCACAAAGTGGGTACAAAAAATGGATGGATAGAAGAGTACATGTGCATATATAGAGAATGATGTGATGTGTGAGAGTAAATAAGTGGTCTACAACTGTTTCCTGGCAAAAACATTACAACAAATTACATTTGGACTAGACACCGTATACTAATACTAATTATAATCCATGAAGTGTTTCTGTCTCAGCTTGAAACTCTTTTATAACAACCCAGAATGATGGTATTGGGTGTCCCTGTGCTTTGTCTCTGTGTGTGTGTGTGTGTGTGTGTGTGTGTGTGTGTGTGTGTGTGTGTGTGTGTGTGTGTGTGTGTGTGTGTGTGTGTGTGTGTGCACGCGCGCGTGTGTGTGCGTGTGTGTCCGTGTGTCTGTGTCTGTGTCTGTTTGTCTGTGTCTGTCTCAGGTATTGAGGGCCAGCTCGAGTCAAACAAAGATGAGCGGGCCGGCGCAGACATTAGGATACGCAAATCACAGGTCAGACAATATTACAACAACTTTAATTTAGGTTTACTTGACCTAACTCTTGCCGTATAGAACAGTTCAAATTAAAAAAATAATAATAACTTACATCAGAGGGAAGGTAGAAGTTTAGAGCCCTCCTGCTTCTTATAGAAGACACTCACGCACCATAATTCCAAGTATTCATTTTGTTCTGTGTAATATCCATAGGCCATTAACCAGTACTAGTAGATTCAGGCAATACTTTAAAAAGGAACTTGCTCTGAGGTTTACATTTAGAAATGTGTATTGCCAAAAACTATTATCAAGCTCAGAACCCAGTACATTTATCACGTTTTGGAGTAAACTACCAACTCTGTATGCTTGTATCCCCCAGCATGCCATCCTGGCCAAGAAGTTTGTAGAGGTGATGACCAAATACAACGAGGCTCAGGTTGACTTCAGAGATAAGAGCAAGGGACGAATTGCCAGACAGCTGGAGATCAGTAAGTTACAGTCTATTATTACAACCTACAAACAAAGGATAGTATGATCACTCACAGTAAACAAGAGACGGAAACAGTTTGGTGCTGACCAGTTGTCAGGAGCTACGGTAAGTAGCTGTTCTGTATGCTAAAACTGACCAGCTGCAAGTGGCTACGTATCACGTTTTTATTTAATTTTCTCCCATACCATCTCTTTTGGGTAATGTTGCCAATGATAAATACATATTTCTCAAAACAGACCAAAGGCGTGCGAGCCGGAATTTATGCTTTATTTAAACTGTAGATTTGATGCAAATACATACATGCATGTATATTGTTGTTATTCCCTGCCTGTAAAAACTTTGTTTTGTGCTATTATGGGTGATATACTTATTCATTAAGATGAATAAACTCGTTGACTCTGATTTAGTCCTGAATAGTCCATTCACATATATACAAGGGCTCTATTGGGAATCTTCAGTGAAAGATATAGAAAAGATGTCATGCATTCTTTAAACTTGCGTTCAATATTTCTATTGATTTAACTTTGCTATTTCTGTTGAACGAGAGATGAAGATCAGACTTTAAAATTTGACTTTTTATCAAAATCGAAACAGCTACATTATGTGCAATAATCCATCATATGATCTGCAATGATAGACCAATAAAACAAATCTATTCATATGTAGTCACATAACCAAATGCATCAATAAAAAGAAGCCTATATTCAATCAAATAAAAACCTTAGGTATCCTTTTTACTCAGTTTAAGGGCCTGGGACGGCGCCATAGCGAGCACAAAACATCCCACAAACAAGAGTCCCACAAACAAGTGGTTAACAATGAATAATGTGGTATTACTATTCTTTATTTCATTGGTAATTTGGTGTGTATATATATACAGTATATAACTGTTCTTTCTGTTTGTCATAGCGGGAAAAGCAACAACGGACGAGGAGCTGGAAGAGATGCTCGAGGGAGGCAACTCAGCTGTGTTTAGTGCCGGGGTGAGAGTGACAGCGTAGACGTGCCTCTCTAAATACAAACATGGAAATAGCACAACCACAGAGGATGTCTGTATGATGTGAGGAATCAGAGAGAACATGAGACGTCCTCGCTCACTCGCTGAACCGATACACATATTTTCCTCCCAGGCTCATGTCTGGTGTAATAATTCAATCATCTATTAGCACATTTCTTACATATTTAACTGAAAATCTCTGGATTTTGGATTCTTTTTCCGCCAAATCCCGACATTTGAATTATTTACTTGTGAGTGCAAATACTGTTGTTGTAACGGTTGAGTAACATTCGACCAGATATTTCCCGAAGTGCTTGTGAGTGACCGTATCATTGCCACAATATTATATTTATAATATATGTTGAATTTGTTGTTTGAGGATCTGCTTCTGATCCTTCATTTATCCTTTTAATGTATTATTGTTCTTGTGCTGACTTCACTTTGTGTGTGTTTGTTTCATCGCACACACCTTCCCTCCACAGATCATGGACTCTAAGATCAACCAGCAGGCCCTGAATGAGATTGAGGCTCGTCACAAAGATATCATGAGACTGGAAAGTAGCATCAAAGAGCTGCATGACATGTTTGTTGACATCGCCATGCTGGTTGAGAATCAGGTACACACACACCACAACAATAACAACTCATTATGGAGGTTCAAATTTAGGAAAAAAGTCGGAAAAATGTACTTCTAACAAAGATTTTTAAAATATGAAAAAAATATTTACAGGACTGCATTAACAGCATCTTTTAGTGCTATTCTTTTACACCGGTTTGTGAAAATATGGGCTTCCAAATTTGAGCTAAAGAGATGATTACTGTATGTTGCCTTTTTATTTGGCACTTTTTGGAATCATGCAAATAAAGTTTGTTCAATGCTACACACATAATACAGCATAATACATGTTGTGGTGTTTGATATTTTCAGAAACAAGTTCCAGCAACAACTCTGTTGCTGCTCAAATGCATGTTGTCAATATGACCAATGATAGTTGTTCTCTTCTCTGGCCTTGTTCCATCTTGTCCTGCCGTCTTCCAGGGTGGTATGATTGACAGAATTGAGGGCAACATGGACCAGTCGGTGGGCTTTGTAGAGAGAGCAGTGGCCGACACCAAAAAGGCAGCCAAATTCCAGCAGGAGGCGCGCAGAGTAAGTTGAGACTGACTCACTGTTAACATTGATGTAATAACCTGTCAAAACATGTTTAAAGTTGTAACAGTACCATAAATATATTAATATAATACATTCTCTGGAGCCAGTGGTCTTTCATGTGTCCAAAAAAGACAAGGGCAACACCAAACACGAGATAAAGCAAGGATTTACATGCAATATGAGAATTACTTCTGTGTCGGAGGCCTCTCTGAAATTGGTCATTGTATTGTGTTCTAGAATGAATACCTCCACATTTGACAACATACATGTAAAAGTCATTTTTTTCATTGCAATAATTATTTTCTCATTCACTAACATGTAATAATCGTTTTTTATGTTTTATGCAAACAATTTAAATGAAAAGACAAACTTTCATGTAATTCATCTTCCTTTTTGTCTCTATCCCTTTTCCTCTTATTCTCCAGAAACAAATGATGATCTTCTGCTGCTGTGTTATTTTGGCCTTGATACTGGGTTCATTTGTCTTCAGCTTCTTCAAGTAGAAGCACAGATTAAGACCCACCACAGCCTGTCCGCATTGTTCTAAGATGGTCACAACATGGGCTCAGTTTACTGTCGCTTCTGTTTTTATTCATTAAAATAAAGGTAAGTCTGGCCAAAGAAGATACCTTAAAATGACCCCAGGGCATTTAGATTTAATTAATCTGTCCCTTACAGATTCAAATTAGCTGCAGAACTCACTGAGAGCCAAATGATGGGTAAACAAAGCATAACGACAACTCAACCATATTTCAATGGTTCAAAGAAATATCTGAATACGAATGTCACAAGTCAAATTATTTACTGTGGCTACGAGAAGCAACTATGGTTACTGTGGCAGCATGAACATGCATTTCTATTGTATTATGTGCAGGATTTGTCAGTAAATTACGTCGTATGTGTGTAGGACTTTTCATTACCGTTGAGTTTAAAATAGCTGGAAAAGTAGACCAGATGGACACTGGACAACAAGTCAAGGGGTCACGAAAATGTTAAAGATGTGTACATTTTGATGCTATCCTGGACTAGCAGGGTATCTCATTTGCTTTTATTTAAATTTTTGTCCACTATCACTGATATGAAAAGTAGGCTTTTACTCATTTTCAACTGGAAGGAAAATATTCCTTACAACGCTATCAAATTTTTTTGAAGTGAGCTATACAAGTTTTATTGGCTCATACTTTCTCAAATGATTCAAACACTCAATAGTTGTCAGGATCTGCCTTCTCAAATACATTGAAACAGTGAAATATTGTCATGTGCCCAGGAAAGAAAAACAATGATTTGTTGATGAGTATACAATGAATATCAGCGGCTGTTCACAATTGAACGAAGTGAAAGTAGACAGACGTCAGACAGATCTCCCTGTAGCATTACGGTATGACCAGCCACTGCACATCAGCATGGTGCATATCTATGCACTCTGCATATCTGAGTATCAGTATATATCTTAGTCCACTGGTGTTATTCTTTTGTACATTTCTCTGTTATTTGTGTTTTAATTTTGAAACCAAGTATACCAACAGTATATTGACAGCTAATGATACCTGCAGCTGCCATGACTCCATAGTAGACCTTTATTCAAATCTGTATCAATTTAATGAATACATAATCGTTTGATATCAATACCATGTCAGGTGTGGGATTACAAATAAGAATAAATGCTGCCCTGCTTCATTTGATTACACTGACAATGACTCGGATGTGTTTTACTGCTTCAAGTCTGCTTTAAAGGTGATTGTGTGCTGCCTTCTTTTCAAAGACCCATGCCATGGTTATATTTAATGGGGTTGGGTTAGAGTTAGTTGGTTTGGGCTATTTGCGGTGGTTTTCTTTTCTGCTTTAAATCCATATATGCAGTTGGATACACTGCAATGTCTTAATGTTTGCCTACTATTTAACCATGCATTTGATCTTTTTGAGATTTGGGACTAGAGGTTGTGGGTGTCCACGTGACAGCCAGCTTTCCAGAAAGCTACATCAATTTGATGTAGGAAAGATTGATATTAAAATCTGATACGGGCGTTAGGAAAAACTAACCATGGTTCAATCAACACAGCCATTCTGTTCACCTTTCTTATTATTAGCTCGCGTGGCACGTAACAGCTTTTCCCACTGCCTAATAATACAATGTAATTGTTGTTTTTTAGCGTGCAAATAATTATTTTACGTTACATTGTGTTAGGTTACATACGTACTGAACATTACGCATGTTCCTCTCGCTCGCCGTACATGTTTGAGCGACAAGTCACTGCCACCAATCACAAGAGCGATGCAACGTGTTTCCACCAATCGCTGACCGCGCGTGCAGAGTGTGATTCCATGTATGGGTCTGCAGGCACTTCCTCCTTGAGGTGAGAGCTAGAAAACGTGTCTCTCCGCTGCTGGCTGAAACACAGAAAAACACACACCTCTGATCGTTTACGGACCTGTGTGGAAATGGGGGTAAGCATTGTGAAACGTAACGGCATTTGTGTGTGTGCAGTTCTGATTATTAATGTATTCAGACTAGTTATATGGAATAATGGGATGGCGGTCAGTGCGTTTGTATCATCGCGTGATTGGCGTCTTCTTGTGACTGATCACTGAGCTTATTGTGATATATTAACCAATGGAGTAGAAGGTATTTTTTTAATTGTGCCGTTATTGGTTGCTTGTCAGCTACTTTATGTCGATTGGTTATACTTAGCCAATCACGGTTTAAAAATATTCTTGCGTGAGTGACACCGCTGTAGTCCAAGGAACGCCTTGCAGGAATGGCTGTGATTGGTCCGCTGTGCTGTTTGTGGGCGGGTCACGCTCGTGTTGTGTTCTGTGATGGGATGGAAGATGGCGGCTGCTCGGATACCGCATTAACTTTACACCGTACAAGGACCAACAGCAGCAATCATGTGATCCTTTTCAATCTATGCATATTGTAAATAACGACCTCCTACCATTTAATACCACTTTAGCTCATTTAGTGTTGTCTATCGATATAGAAACATATATAACATTAGCTGGGCACGATTTCAAATGGTGACGGCAAGAAACAAAGCTCAAAGCTCGAGTATTTATTGTCTTTATTTTAAGATGACGGTAATTTGATGTAAAAAGTCCACTGCAGTACACTAATTGACCTCTTCATACGAGTCGTGCTCAAGGTTACTTTAAAGCTTCCCCTTTCCACCAGACATTTTCCCACCAAGGCTGTGTGGTGAACGTTAGGAGCTCCTAAAAGATTAACTTTAACGTTGTTATTGTCCCCTCCAGTCACACTGAGACCCTCACGTAGTTTGTTATAACCTCAGCGAAGTAGAGCTGCAGGTAGACTTCCAGTGCTAATGGCCGATTCTAAAATAAGGCAAAGCAAAAGACTGGTAAGTTTATCCCAAGTTGTGACGCGTTGGCCCTTATTTCCTTTCATCTTGTGAACAAAGGTTTGCTTTCTTAATACTAATAAGTCATTTAATGTCCTTCTGCGTGTTTGCTTTCTATAAATTGCTCTATTAGTGGAATACAATAGCTATAAAAACAACAAGTTCTGGTGGGGAAAAATATATTCCCTCTCTAAACCACTTTTGGTGTTTGGCATTGTTAAAACTTTAACTCAAAACGGAATTTCTACTACAATTAATCCAATCAATGTTTGATTGGCATCCTTGTTTAATAATAATAATAATAATAATATAAACACATTTAAACATGTAAATATTTATATTTAAAATAATGTTTTATAAATTCTACACTACTTGTACCCGACAGGTGCTTACATCCGTCTTTGTGTCTTGGTGGGTCTCCACAGAGACCATTCTCAACCGTGGATTTTTTTCTTTTTGTCTTAGTTGAGCTCATTGATTTCCAGTACCTTCCTATTCACGGCTTATTATTTTGTAATATACTGTACATTGACTGTTAAGAAGCAATTTCTCTTGTGATGTTATAAATCCCTTTCATTCTCCTGTCAGGTAGTTTGTCCAAGTTTCATTTGATGAATTCCCGTACTCCCTCGGTTGTCTGACCGTTTTTTCCTTTCTGTCACATGTGCCTCATAATTTTTTTAATCATTATTATTATTATTATTATTTATTTTTTAAACCATCTTCCCTTCTTTCTTTCTTTCTTCCCAGCGGGCCGGTACCCGGCGACGTTACCATGACGATGGCATTTCAGATGAGGAGATTGATGGAAGGAGAATGTTTGACCTGGAGGAAAAAGTCCACAGTGAGAGGTTCAGCTCTGACCGGATCTTGCGCATGGAAGGAAGAGGTAGGCGGGCACAGTTTCAATATTTTCATGACCTAGGAATTTTCATTCACAGCTTGTGATCTCAAACATTTGATGTTGCTGTTCATGAGCCCGACTGCCGACGGGAAGAAATGGTTCGTGTGGCGGGAGGTCTTAGTCCTGATGGACCTCAGCCTCCTGCCAGATGGAAGGGGCACAAACAGTTTTTGTCCGGGGTGAGAGGGGTCGGCCACGATCTTTTTAGCTCGCTTCAGATGCGAACAAGTCCTGCAGGGACGGCAGATTGCAGCCGATCACCCTCTCTGCAGAGCGGATGGCACGCTGCTCCTCGACACCAGACGGTGATGGAGGAGCAGAGGATGGACTCGATGATGGCCGTGTAGAAGTGAACCATCATCGTCTTTGGCAGGTTGAATTTCTTCAGCTGCCTCAGGAAAAACAACCTCTGCTGAGCCTTCTTTGTGATGGAGCTGATGTTCAGCTCCCACTTGAGGTCCTGGGTGATGATGGAGCCCAGGAAACATAAGGAATCCACAATAGTGACGGGGGAGTCACACAGCGTGATGGGGGAGGGTGGGGCTCTGTTCCGCCGGAAATCCACAACCATCTCCACTGTCTTTAGAGCGTTGAGCTCCAGGTTGTTCTGGCTGCACCACGACACCAGATGGTCAGACTCCCACCTGTAGGCGGACTCATCCCCACCAGAGATCAGTCCATTGAGGGTGGTGTCATCCGTAAATTTCAGGAGCTTGACGGACTGGTGACTGGAGGTGCAGCTTTTGGTGTACAGGGAGAAGAGCAGAGGGGAAAGAACGCAGCCTTGGGGGGAACCGGTGCTGATGGTCCGAGAGGCTGAGACATGTTTCCCCAGCTTCACATGCTGTTTCCTGTCAGACAGGAAGTCTGTGATCCACTTGCAGGTGGAGTCGGGAACGTGCAGCTGGGAGAGTTTGTCCTGCACCAGAGACGGGATGATGGTGTTGAAGGCAGAGCTGAAGTCCACAAACAGGACCCTGGCGTAGGTTCCTGGGGAGTCCAGGTGCTGGAGGATGTAGTGGAGGGCCATGTTGACAGCATCGTCCACAGACCTGTTGGCTCTGTAGGTGAACTGCAGGGGGTCCAGGAGTGGGTCGGTGAGGGACTTCAAGTGGGTCAGGACTAGCCGTTCAAAAGACTTCATGACTACAGAGTTCAGGGCGACGGGCCTGTAGTCATTGAGTCCTGTGATCCTGGGCTTCTTGGGAACAGGGATGATGGTGGAGGCCTTGAAGCAGGCTGGCACGTGGCATGTCTCCAGGGAGGTGTTGAGGATGCAGCTAACAAAACGGGACAGAGCTTGTTTTTCCCCAAATTAAATAGTCTTTTCTGCCCCTGGCGGAGTTCAGCCCAGGCAGGCCGAACCACCGTGTGTTAGACAGTGCTAGCGTTGGCTTCACACAAAGATTGATCGTGCATAATCAGACATTTATTTAAATAACAACCGTAAAGCCACTGTAAAGGAGCCATGGTATGCCCTTTTACCTGCACCCTAATTCATGACAGAAATCATTAACAAACGTGCACATTTTTCTTTTGTTGTTTTTTACAGTTTGGGGGTTCCTAGACATCCCAGATGGCACATTACAGTTTTTTTCAATCGCTAACAAGCGTTTGTCCAAACAGTTGTCACATTTTCAAAACTCTAAACACAATTGGCACAGCATCGGTGTTTTGTGGCCATACCATTCACACATTTCATGTCGTTTTCACACAATATGCAGTCAGTGAACACATGTCCACAATGCTTACATTTATCTTAACAGACAAGCCATACCTCCCAACAAAACGATGGATTGTTTTAGTAGTATTCACAAATGTTAACACACACCATCCCACAATAGCAAAAACAATATGCCAAACCGTAGATACAGTATAAAACCTCTGCTTCTGCAATGATATCAGTTCAAAAACAATATATCTTAGCTGATAATGAACAAACTATTGAATAATTGACAGCTGGTTTATGTTGGGTAAATTGGGCCAACAACAGCTGATTCCAGTCTGGCTTATTTAAGGAGGACTTTGTGGAGTGATGCTTTTGGAAACCGAAACAGAAAAAGACAAACACTGTAATGTCTGGACGAGGAAGAGGAAGAGCAAGGGGCCCAGGGAGAAGACCAGGTCCAGTGAGAGGTGCAGGTGAAGAAGGAGATGCAGGAAGAGGAGCAGTGAGAGGTGCAGTAAGAGGTGCAGTAAGAGGTGCAGTGAGAGGTGCAGTGAGAGGAAGAGTAAGAGGTGCAGGTCCAGTGAAAGATGTAGAAGGACGTGCAGTGAGAGGTGCAGGTGCAGGAAGAGGAGCAGGTGCAGGAGTTTTTTCTGCATGGAGGTGGAATGTTTATGACCATCAGCCACATGACCAGATGTCCCTCCTTGAAGCCATGGATGCTGGCTGCGGGGACATCACAGTTCAAGATTGCCAAGGGTGGATCCGACATGCCAAGCGGTTTTATCCCAGGTACATCGCCTTAGATGATGTCAGATGTGATGTTGACGAAAACATGTGGCCGAACCCTGAAGATCGCAGGGATTAGATGCATACATTGTTTGCCATTTTTAGTTCCCCCCTTTTGATCTGGGCTTTTGGCTGTTGTTGTTTTTTTTCAGAATGCTCGTGTGTTTCATGGATATTTTGTTAAAATAAAATAAACCTTTTCTGTTCTATTATACTGTTTCTACTGTACCTTCTTTGGTAAACAGTTAAGAAAGAATAACCGATTTGCTTTTTACTGGAATGCGTTTGAATGTGAACATTACTGTACATGTGCACATACAGTTCCAAACCAATAAATTTAGTGTAAATGGTGGATTGCATGTTACCTGAAACATAAAAGTCTATGCAATTTTTATAATGTCAACAATAGCCAGAATTTCGAAACCTGGTGTTCTTCGTTTGACTGCATGTACCTTGTGAAGTGAAAACAAATGTTATTCTATAATTTCATTTTGAGTCAGATTTCCAGTATTTTGGTAAAGTTAGTGTGTGCAGAGAAAGATGTGTTCTGTTTTTAAATTAAGAGTTAGTATATATTTAACAAAATGTGTTTTTGAGAAGAAAATTATCAATTTGGCCAATTGTGTCTTGTAGGTGTGAGTCTGTGTTAAGAGTTTAGAAAACATTTCTGAAGTATGGGTAAGTGCTTGTTAGCGATTGAAAAAAACCTGTAATATATAGAAAATTAAAGTGGAATTTTCATAATAGGTCCTCTTTAAGACTGTTTGACATTACTCCCTCCTGCCTTGCGAAGGCTAATAAACGGGTCACAAGACCGTTTTACCATTTCTGGCTGCCCGTCACAACCAACAATGAATGATAGAAAACTCGAAATGACTTAGAGGAGAAGGCCTCTGACCATTTCACTATGTTGTTTTTCTTTTCTTTTCTTTCTTAGAATTAACATACGAGTTCATCCAGAGAGGCGGCTTGAGAGACCCAATCATCTTTGACAAACCTGATGGATTGGGAATCAAGTAGGCAACCTCTTTATTTTTCTCTCTCTTCTTTGACTCCATCTCTTTTGTTTCTTCCTTCTTTCATCAAGTACTTCTCTATTGGGGGGAATATAACATGATTTGATGTTTTAACTAAACAACCCAAGACTTTCAACATGTTGTTCTGTAGGATGCCTGATCCTGACTTCAGTGTCAATGACGTCAAGATGTTTGTTGGTAAGATTTCTTTCTTCCTTAATGAATTCATTGATGCCGCTACAAGTCTTTTAAAGGTTTTTAATCCTGGCATCCTTTTGTGTTTCCAGTCAAAATGTCATTGAATAACCACATCCATATGAGCAGAAAGAATCAAAGCAATAGCAGGGCTCCTCTTTGCCAGGTTGCACTGGTGCGCCTTACTTTTTTTATTTAGGTGTACCAGCACAAAATTTAGATGCACCCAAATTTTTCCTTGTGTCGACTTTGATGGCACAATTTCAAGGTCATTTTTTTATCACACTCTATATACGTTTATATATATTAAAATCAAAACAATGATTTTTTTCTTATAGCGCCCATTTGTATTTTATCCTCCCTCTGGATGCTGTTTGTACCATATGGCTTTTGTTACGCTGTAACTTGCCTCAAAAAAAAACTCCACAGGCAGCAGACGGATGATCGATGTGATGGATGTGAGCACTCAGAAGGGGACGGAGATGTCCATGGCCCAATGGACACGTTACTACGAGACTCCGCCGACTCTAAGAGAAAAGCTTTATAATGTTATCAGCCTTGAGTTCAGCCACACTAAGCTGGAGAACCTGGTTCAAAGACCTGCAACGGTATGCACAGACACACACACACACACTCTCGCAATCACTGAAAGAAAGGCTTGTGTTTCTGTGCTCCTACAAAGGCCTTTGAAGCAGGATTGGTTTTGTCAAGGTTCAGACATAGTTTGAACCGTTTCTTTCTATCTTTGTACTGACAAATGTCATCTTATCCTAATATGGTCATATGGTGTCATGTCTTTAATCATAGCCTCTTGATAAAAATGGGTGTACATTTACAGTACATTTGTTGCACCCCTCAGTATTATCTCCCTTATGAAAAGTCACTAGAACAATGCTAAATATAACAACAGCTGAGATAGAATAGCTTGAATTTCAGTGACTAAAACAAAACAGTTTTTCCAACATTCTGTCCGACTTGTGTGTGTGTGTGTGTGTGTGTGTGTGTGTGTGTGTACAGGTCGATCTAATAGATTGGGTTGACAACATGTGGCCTCGTCACCTGAAGGAAAGACAGAGAGACTCGACCAACTCTATCACTGACATGCAATACCCCAAAGTTCAGAAGTAAGTCCTCTTGTTTACTTAAATGTCAAATCTTTTGAGAGCAAGAATTACTCTTTATTTTTGATGGAATTAGTTGTCAAGTGACACATCAGAAACATTGGTGATGTTTGGGTGTCCCTGCAGATACTGTCTGATGAGTGTAGAGGGCTGCTACACAGACTTTCACATTGACTTTGGAGGGACCTCGGTGTGGTACCACATTCTCAGAGGAGGCAAGGTGGGTTTTTAGCTAAAACATGAATGATCTTCTTATGTTTTTAAAGTAATTATGTAAATAAAGTCCTGGAATTTGACTTGTATGATTCTGTTTTACTAGAAAAATGTGGTTTTCATTTGAATGGCAATTGTGTTTTTTCAGGTGTTCTGGCTGATCCCCCCCACCCCTCAGAACCTGGAGCTGTATGAGAACTGGGTGCTGTCAGGGAAACAGGGGGACATTTTCCTCGGCGACAGAGCATCTGACTGCCAGAGGATTGAGCTGAAGCAGGGTTGCACCTTCATCATACCTTCTGGTATACTTTTAATTCTCACATACTCTCTCTCACACAAACACAGTTACAAAAATCGAATACTTTGTGTATTGTGTACGGTTGTACTCAGGTTGGATTCATGCCGTCTACACCCCAACGGACTCCATGGTGTTTGGGGGAAACTTCCTGCACAGCTTCAACATCCCCATGCAACTTAACATCTGTAATATAGAAGACCGAACACGGGTATGGAAAACATTCGTCTTGTAAGGTGTAAATGACAGAATGTGGCGGATTGCGCAGAGCTTAAAGGCTTCTTTTCCCTCGTCCCTAGGTTCCTTTGAAGTTCCGTTACCCCTTCTACTACGAGATGTGCTGGTACGTGTTGGAGCGCTATGTCTTCAGCATGACCAAGACTTCCTACCTCACACCAGAGTTTCAGAAGCACACGCTGGGCATTGGTATGATTACAGGAAAACATGTGGGTACGGGGGGATAGATGTACGTATTTGTTGTAAACCGAACGTGTGTCTCACTCCTTTCGCCAGGTCTGAAAAAGCCGTGCGGCTCAGATGCAGCCAGTGAGCCGATGATGATGATGGAGGAGGAAGAAGAGGGGGAGGAGGGTTGCAGTGAAGAAGAGGCCTCAGAACAGCAGTCTGACAAGCCTGCAGTAAAAGTTCTGTTGACTGCCCTCGAGTTGGAGGGAATGTGGAACCTGCTGGGTAAACTGGAGGCTCTGCCCTCCAACAAAAAGTGCGTCCCAGCAGGCATACACAACGCCCCGGCACTCATCACACACATAAAGGTACGGCTGCTGTTTGTCAGTTGTTTTCAGTTGGAGCAAATGTAATACTAATAGCAGAAGTGTTTGCCTGTCCACTGCTTTTTCTCTCACCACCTTTGTCTTTTCTGTCCTGCAGGCTCTGCTGAAGGAACATGCCAATGACAATCAGAAACTGTCCTACACAGGAATTCCTATCGTCAAGTGGCCAAAGCGAGTAAGCAGTCTTTACTCTTTAACTCAGTTGACTGAATATCTTTACAGAATAATAGTAATAAAGAAAACTATCAACCATTTCTCAGGGTTTAAATTAAGTAGTATTTGGAAGAAGTGTTTATGTGAATCTTGATCTGAATGTTTGCTTATTACATATTTTTGATTGTTGGGAGGCTGCTCCAGCACTATTATTTCCAACTATTGTTCCTCCAATCTTTGTTCCTCTCTTCTTCTGTTTTCTATTTCTTCCATATGTATTTTGGACTGCTTTCTTCCTCCATATTTTCAGCTACACAAACGTTTCCACTATTATAATATTCAACTCCTCAAGAGGGGGGCTATGGATTTCCAGCTTTCTACCTCTTGCTGGAATTATATAAATCAAGACTCATAATAATTTTAGCACTGTTTTCCAATGGATTTTTTTTCAAATCCTCAAACCCAGAGTGGAGAGCAGCTTCAGAATCTGGTTTAAAAAGTACTTGTATTTCACCAGCACTGCCAATTTTTGGATTGATCGATAGGAAATTGTTTGCTGGTCAAAGAAATGTCAATGTGGAATCTAACAGACTCACACATTTGGCCCCAGACCCGCGAGATCGAGACCCAATAGAGACCAATACAAATATGGTGACAAAGTTCTCAGAGAAACCTGAAGGTACAGGTTTTTGAAACTGCCGATAAAATAGTATTTCTGCTCGCACAGACATATCTGGGACTCGGAAAATATAATTCTTTTCTGGATTGAACTTGTAGTTTTCTTATGGTGTCTGTTTTCTCAGCAATGTTTTGAAATTCCTCTCAGCTTAAAATTAGTTTTAGCTTTCAGCATTCCAACATTTTTTCTGTATGAAATGCATTTTCTAGTTTAGATCATTTTTATAGTTGTAGTTAACTCTTGATTAGCAGTCCGCTTGTGCATATTATAAAATAGCATATGAAAAATAGAATTCTCAATCAATATTTGTGGGAAAGTGCCATATCATTCTGCTTAATCATTTACGGAATGTCGGAATGTACATATTAGGACCCAGCGCTCATAAGAAATACTGACTGTTGTGATTATTCTACTTTTCCTCTTGTTCCCTAACCTCTCTCCCACTTTCTGCTCCTCTCCACCAGCCCAAATGGTACCAACCTCCTCCTCCTCCCCCACCTCCTCCTCGTCCTAAGTTTCCGTCCACTCCCATCATTCCACGACCCCAGAAACCGGCCTCCTCCATGTCCGTGCTGAGACGGCGCAGGGTCAGGTAACAAAGCCTTTGTGAGAAGCATAGTTTGTCACGTCGATAAAAGATTGGCACACTAACAGTTTTTTTAGTTATGTTGTAGTCGAGTGGTATTCAATTACGATTCAGGTTAAGTTGGAGAGAATTTCCTCATGCAAAAAAGTATGTCTAACTATTCGTACCCTTGAACAACTATTAAATGAAATTAAAGCATTTCAATTGAATTATATCCAAGCAATATTTATTATTAGATTTCAAATTGAACTAGATTATTCATAAATAATACCTAATATATTATGAGTCACAGTTATTCTGTGAAGACAAATTAAATAAATTGGATTACAAAGTACATTGTACAACAAAAATAAAGAACTTCATTAATTTCAGTTCAAGTGTTAAGAGATATCAATCAAAATGAAACTCAACTGTGTTTGTGTAGGTCACTAGATTTGCAACGCTTATTGGAATACCCATATTTGATTGTCGGATTAGTAGTCCTGGGCGGAATACCAGTGAATAGCAACTGCTGTCACTCAAATTCTATTGACCGGTCGGAGCTACTTGTCTTACGCGTATTGAGATTGAGTCATGGTTCTAACTTCATAACAACAATTAATAACCCACAACTAGTGCTAACCAACTAACACAACAGTTGCACGTAAAAAATAATCATTTTCATTTTATAAAATGACTCCGGAGCTGTGTCTGTTTGGAGGTTTTTGGTTTTTGAACAATCTGCCGCAAGTTAGAACAGAAAATGATTTATTGTAAAGTTGGCTGAGCTGCTGGTTTTGCCTCTGGGTGCAACAGCTAACACGCTAACCCGCTGGCAACGTGAAGCGTCAACAGCTGTTCAGGTGGCTGGCGATCCTTTTTGGTGCCAATGAATCATTGTGTTTCACTCATATATAAATATTTAGCATCATTTTAGCATCACATAATGTAATTGTTCGGCGTGGTGCTGTAAAGACAGGAAAAGCTGATTAAAATGTTAGAAAAAAGGATCTACCGGAGGTATCAGTTCAAGTCCGGATCCAACGGCTTCCCGACCCGTAACCGGACCGTAGTCCGCTTATTGGTGACCCCCTGTAGGATGCCTTCCTAATTCAGCTCAGTAAACACCAGTTGTTTGGAGCCAACACTAATCTTCTACCATTTTAAAACTTTCTAATGAACATGATTGTATCTTCTGTGGTATTTCTTCTCTGCAGGTGTAAGCGCTGTGAAGCCTGTATGAGACCAGAGTGTGGAGATTGTAACTTCTGCAGAGACATGAAAAAGTTTGGAGGGCCGGGGAAACTCAAGCAGACCTGTGTTCTGCGACAGTGTCTCTCTGTGGGTAGCCTTTTTATAGTTTATTTGTATAGGTTGGATTTAAAAAAAATAATTTTTGTCTGCGTGTCCTGCAGCCGGGCCTTCCTCTGTCTGCAGTGTGTGAGATCTGCAAGGAGCCTAATCAGGAGGAATCTGGAGACCCCTCCCTAACTCTGATGGAATGTTCCAACTGTGCACAGATAGTCCACCCTGCCTGCCTCACGGTACACACTCCCAGTTTACGACACGATAATCCTGTCATTTTATGACACTTCAAGTGTAACATTTAGCTGCTCTCATGTGTTCTCGAAAATTCCCACAATGGAGTAAAAAGATCCCCAATACATATTTTAAATTGCTGTCAAGTTTAGTGATGTGGAACAGCTCAGCAGCAAAGACGCACACGGAACTGAAAGTAAACTTCCTCATTATGTTCAAAGCAGAATCATTCACATCTGAAACGTGAAGATTTTAGAATCAAAACATTTCCACACCTGTAATAATGTGGGTCATTTCTATTTCTCAGTCTTCCTCCAGATAGTTTCCGGTGCACCGGCTTCTAGTCTTCCTTCTCTTGGTCGCACTAATACTCCGTGTGCATCTTCTACTTCCACAGGTTCAGGGGGAAGGAGTGGTGAATAAAGACCTTCCTAGTTGCTGGGAGTGTCCAAAGTGTGTCCTGGGGATCACTGATCCCGAGGTAAACAAGGTCTTATCAACAAACTAACACAATGTCAGGGTTTCTTACATATTGTGTGCATATATGGTCCACTGCGCCTCACAGACGTCTGGGGCTCTTTGCAAACGTGTGTCTATTATTATCCGGCAGTTCACACACACTTGTGTGTCGACGCTAATGGGTATCGTGTGTCTCCTGTTTGATTGTTTTTCATTCCTTGTTTTGTTTGTTGGTGGCTTTGTTTCCATTTTCTTTGAGTTTGGTTTAACTCAGTCATCAGGCAGCGATGAATCGTTGGCCGCCGGCAACCCGCAGCTCAACCGTCCCCGTGGCCCCCTGGTTCTCAGACTGGGCCCCGGGGCCTCTGCTACCTTAGGGGGTCCTGTGGGTACCCAGCAGGATGGGGAGGTGGTCTGCTGTGGTTTCTTCTCTCCTCATCCTCCTCTTCCTTCCTGCTCTTCCTCCTCCTCAGCGTCACTTCTTTTGGTGGCGGCCCCTCTGCCTTCTCAGCCAATCAGCTCGAGACTGGTGAGAGGTGCCGCCTACTCTTGAGTTCATCCACCAGTCTGTCGAATGCACCGCATCCCTTCTGTTCATTCGACCCTTTAAGAGAACAGACACAGCTCTTGATGTTAATGTTACTGTTTAAATGATCTAGTTGCGGAAAAACTGCTTTCTTGTTTAAGAATCTATTTTTTATAGTTCTTACAAGAGTAGTGTCTTTTCTCTCATATCCGTTTTCATTTGAGAGCTTCCTTCAGTTCAGATTGGTTTCTATGGTACTTGTATAGGGCTTTTCTAGTCTTCTGACTACTCAATGTCATCATTCATCCATTCACACACTGATGACCCGTGCCAGGGCTGCACGGTACACCGGTTCAAACGGTGTACCGGTATAAGATTTCCGTACAGTATGAATTTCTCACGTTCCGTTCATACCGGTGTTACGCCATAACAACTGCGCTGCTCTTCGGCAGACAGCAGGATTTATTATTACACGTCATGGAGGAGCGTCCAGCGGTCGGAGCGACTTGTCTTATGTGTGTTGAGATTGAGTCATGGTTATAACTTCATAACAACAATGAATAACGCAGAACAAAGACTCTTTAACAGGGTAAAACACCACAACACAACAGCTTGTGACACATGAACAATTTGTAACACTAATTGTACATTTCTAAAAATGACCCTGCTGAACTGCATGCTGGGTAAAGCTCACAACAAGAAGTAACTCTGTTGCTACATGAAAACACAGAAAAGAGCGAACCAGAGACCAGAGATGCACCAACACAACTTGTGCCCAACAGATTGTTTGTTATGGATTTTTGGCCATATTGCACAGCCCTAACAGGACTTACCACACAGAAGTGACACCTGCCCATCAGTAACTAGCATTCACTCTCTGGAGTCACCACTGCCGGAGCAATGTTGGGGATAAGTGTCTTGTCAAGGACACATGGATACGCGGGTTTGCAGGTCGGGGGCTCCTGGTTTGGAGGAGGCCCGTGCTCTCCACTCACCCGTGCTGTTTTCTTTTTTCAATACTTTCACATTGTTCACCATTACGGACAATGCTTAGCATGGAAAATGTAAAATGATTGTTTCCAGTGCTACTCTTTAGATTGTTAGTGTTATCAGTGCATTATTGGACACATTGGTTTCCGCTCCTTCAACATCAAAAAGGATGTTAAAGGAGCCGATGTTGTTCTGTCTATTCAAGTTTCAACTCCCCAGCTGATGTTATTAATTGTTTCACTGTTGCAGTAACTTACTGTATGAATAACTTCCTGTCGGTTGTTTAAGGTGCTAAATACAAAACTCTGAGCATATCTGAGATGAAAGAATTGATTCCAAGTTGGTGTGAGCTGGTAGTTCTAAATAACTGTACAAACCAAGGCCTCCCTGCTGATAGAGCTAATCGTGTTTACCTTCGGGGCATTCAGTGGTTGGGTGCTATATTTCCGTGACCACAGTGTCAGATCAGTGCAGAACGAAAGCTCACAAGCCCTAAAAGGTCTGCGCTATCTTTACATCTTTACATAGCATTTAGTTGTTTGCTGTTATATCAATTCTTTAAATATTATAGAGATCCTTCAATAGGGAAATGGTTTTTCTGAGCATTTCTATGAGTTCTGAAATATTACAATCATAAGCAAAAAGTTAAAAAAACAATCTTTCTTGTTTGAGATATTTAATGCATGTCATTCTCTTGTGCCACAGACACACAAATGTCAGTAACAGAAATTGTCAATATTGTCACTGTTGAGTTGCACATTGCCTCTCACCTAAAGCTTTTGTTTCAGTGTCCATGTGGCAGTAAAAAGTACGTCATAGTGTGATAAGTAATGATGACTTTCAAAATTTGATGTTGAGCATATAAATATTATTAGTGGTCAACTGTTGCACCAAGATGCTCTGTGTATGTGTTTATTTTTTTAGTCGGGGTTTAGAGCATAATGATCTAGGATACACTACATCTCTTCGTGTTCTTGTTTTGTGATGTTCTATATCATGTGCATGTAACCACACTAGGACTGATGGTCCTAGGGTGAATTCTTCCTTCAATAAGTCCAGTATTTTTAGTATAATCCCTTCAGACTACTGACAAGGAAATGATCAGAACTAGTTATTGGCACATTATGGGAGCGTCTAACAATGTGAAGCCCAAACAATCAGCTAAAACTCTTTGAGATTCTCCTGTTTCTTTTTCCACTCCTGACTCTTTCCTTTTCCGTCCAGCAGTACAAAGGAGACAAAAGTGAGGGCGTTCCAGCGGTGAGTGTCTGTTGTTGCATTCCTGCTACGACCTGCATATTTCAAATACTTCATATTAATGTTTGTTCTCCTCTGGCTCTCTTTCGCCATGCTTTCCTCCATTTTCTTTTTTATCGCTGTGTCTTTCATGCTTCTTTCTACCCTTTCCTCCATTCGTCCCTCCTCTTCTTTCCCCGCATGTCCAGAAACGTAAATCTTCCACCCTGCTGGATGCTCGCATGGCAAAGATTTACCGACGGCAGAGACACAGCCGCGACGGAGACGACTCTGCCAGTGATGACGATGACGATGACGACGACGACGACGATGAAGGTTTGAGACACTTTCACTTTATCACAAAATGCTTTCAAATGTTTCTCTGAAGATAAAGGGCTTGTCTGACGACCAGTGTTGGGCAAGTTACTGAAAATGAGTATTTAGTTACAGTTACTAGTTACTTTTTTTAAAGGTAATTGAATTACTTACCCGTTACTGTGTATCAAAAGTAATTAGTTGCTCTGGAAAGTAACTTTTATGTCTGCTTTTTAAATGTAATGAATATAAATAGTACTGAACAGTCAAACACAATAAACATATTTTTAGACCTATTCATTGTAATCAACAGGGCAACAGGCCTTCAAATCAAGCAATAGTACAAAAGTCCTTTTTAATACTTAATACAAAATAATTGTTGCAGGCATTTGCCTGAAGGCAACTGACTGGACAGTTGACAGGATGCATCTCATCTTCAACATACCGAGCAATCAATCTATTTAGCTCTGCCCGGTTTATCGGCTGCACTGCAGTCCGTGTAAAGTGGAGCCGCGGTTGTTTGCGTGGAGCGGCGCCTGCAGTGTGGTATATTGGATCGAGCACTCAGTGCTCGATTGTGTTTGACTGTCACTACGACGGAGTTCTGTGATTGTTTGTTCATGCCTGCCGGTTGTGTGATTTGAGGGCCAGTAAATAACTTGTACTGCATCCTCGTCTCCGTGCATTTGTATCGATTTAGATAACCCACGTATATTATACATGTAGCATCAAGTCCCAACATGCAGCATCCGCGGGGCTGCGCTCTTTCGTCATGAGCGACGCAATGCTGTTTACATGCACGTACGGCGACTATTCTGTGACACACAACGTTTGGTGGCCACAACTATTTTGTGCTGACAGGCAGCTATTTACTTACTATTTGCCGGCCCTCCGCTTCGCGTCACAAAAGAGAGTAACGCGAGTAACAAACTCATTTCAATTTCAGTAATTGTAACTGCGTTAATTTATTTAAAAAAATACTTTGTTACATGCTCATTACCGCTAAAAGTAGTGGAATTACAGTAATGCGTTACTTTGTAACACGTTACTCCCAACACTGGTGACGACTTGTTTCTCACCCTCCATTTCTGCAGCCCCTCACAGAGGGAAGATTGCTCTCCATTCCCGGGGCAGCCACTCTTCCAGGAGGGGGTTTGGTGCCAACCGGAGAAGCCTGCTGAGAGGAAGCTCCGCCCACAGAGGAAGCAGAGGAGGGCTCACGTCTTCTGGCTCCTCTGCCGCCCTCAAGCTAAAGCGAGGAATGGGCATGAGGGAGGGGGGGCGAAGGGGGCGAGGGGTGAGGTTGAGGGGAGGCTCTCGGATGCAGCGCCGAGACGAATCCGAGGAGTCGGACGATGACGATGACGACGATGATGACGATGACGATGACGACGATGATGATGATGATGATGACGAGGATGAGGAAGAAGAAGAAGACAGTGAAGATCTGGACAAAGAGAGACTGCATTGCCGGCGTAGGAGGAAGCACAGGGCTGATGATGATGATGATGATGATGGAGAGGACAGTGAGGGGCAGGAGTTTGACCCAGAAGAAGAGGAAATGGACATGCTGGAAGATGAAGAGGAAGATGAAGAGGAGGAGGAGGAGGAAGGGCGTTGGGATTCTGACCCAGAACCGCCAGTCCTCCTTGTGTCTGATCTAAATGATGACCTGCTGAGTGGCTCCTATCTGACTGTCACTCTACAGCGCCCCCACAAGGCCAAGAGACACGCTGGTAAAACTGTTGATGTCTTCAATATTAACACAGAAAGGTGTGTGTGTGTGTTTTATAACCGGCATGTTGTGCTCTCCCAGGCTCCATCGTTCCAAAGCTAGAGGCAGCCATGGGTCTGAGGACAGCAGGAGGTCCCCAGGGCTTCATCCAGAGAAAGACTGGTCCGTCCAAAACGTCCCGACTCCGGAGCACTGACCCCACCTCTGACGGAGTAACCCCGAGAGGACCTGGCAGGTAGCGCTCAACGCACCATCCAAATCGGTTGGATACATGACTATTATTCCTGACATATGATGTGAAACCTCAACACATGCCAAGCTCACATCAAGGTCATTATAGTTTTGAATTTTTCACTAGTTTTTATTTTTATTTAGTTTTGACTTTTTGTTTTCAATTTCAGTTTAGTTTTAATTAGTTTTTAAAGCGGGTTTGCTAATTTAGTTTAGTTTTTATTTTTTGAAAATGCTTAGTTTTAGTTTAGTTTTTACTAGTTTGAATGTAACAGACCGGGGGGGGGGGGGGCGGGCGCAGTCAGGGAAGCCTCCTTTTTTGCTTGCAAAACAAAATGCTCAAAATGAATTGTAGATACAAGCTATAATAAGTAATAAAAACTCAACAAAACATACCATGTAAAAAAATGATGACAGATGAACAGCCATCCCCAAAAGACAACTATGAAATATGTGTCAGTCAGTGTGTTTGTGTCATTAACCAGAGAAATTCCACTGGACACAACAATATCAACAACGGAACATAAAATGTAGATATGGGTACAAATATGTAAACAGTCTACACAAGATGCAATAGCCAATAGACTAAAGACACACGTGAACAGCATGTACTAAACCCATTAATGAGCCACACATGACATTGCTTGGGAGCCGGGAGTCTCAGAGAGCTCAATCTGGAAAAAAAAAATCTAAAACCCCAAAAAACCTCTAGAGCAGCGATTCCCAAAGTGTGGGCCGCAAGAGGTCATTTACAATAAATAAATTTAATATAATAAAGTTTTTTTTTTAATTTTCAATTTTTAAAAGTTTGAAATTAATATAAAAAATACGTATGTTGCGGCACATTAGGTATGTGAAACATTAGTTGATGAAGCACAAACAATTTAAACTGACAGATTAATAAAACAATAAGGCTCTCGCTCGAAACGGCTGCTCTTGTCCGCCTGTCGTTGTTCAACAAACGGGGCGAGGGGCGAGGCTTTAATTTCCTCAAAAAACGACAGTGCTTTTTAATCCGGAGCGCCATATATATATAATATATATATAATGGATCAATTGGTTAATCGGTTGATCCATACTGGTTGGACAGGGCGCTCAAGGCGCTCTGCCAAACAGGCCAAAGCTCGTCTACGACGGCGAGATGCTGAGCGGCGCTCAAGCGCGTGAGATATGGAGCTTGTTTCAGGGCGCGTCGGAGAAACAAAGCTGTCGTTCTCGCCGAGCACTTCGTGAGATTAAAGAGCGAGAGACGGTGCCCTTTTCTCTACAGTAGCTGAACCATCTTAACGGGGAAAATAAGTTATTCTAAAAGCAGCCGAAGATTTAAGGCGTGGATGGCGAGGGGGCGGCGGCGGGAGCGGACGCACCTCGCGGCATCGATCGGACCCTGAAAGCACCGCCTCCACCTCACTGTCAGAAAGAACAACAGCGAGCGCGTAGAAAACTCCTTCGAGCGCGAGCAGAGATTCTCCTTGCGAGCAACGAAGTTCACGTTTCGCAAGCGAGCAAATACCTCGAGGAGACAAACTTTTGCTTGCGCGAGATGCACTTTTGCTCGAGTTTGGGAACCGCTGTTCTATAGCATTGACAAAGACGAAAACTATTTATTTTAGTTAGTTTTGTAAAGACACAATACTGAAACTGTATTGTGTCTTTACAGTTGGTTATCGTTTTTTTATAAAGGCTCGTTTTAATTTTTATTTTAGTTAACGTTTTCGTTTTTTCGTTAGCGATAATAACATTGGCTCACATACACATTTGCTTTGAGACCAAAGACACCAGCTCACAGCTGGAGTCCGGAGCGTTAGAGCGTTGGTTGTTGGAGTACTGTGTTTTGTGATCAGTGATCATTATTATGCTTTAGTAACTAGTAATTTTAAATCAATACATTTATAGATAGTAAATAATTTCTATTGAGCATAAGATCACTGAAAGCTAATCTAAAACTTGTTTGGATGAAGGCCATCATTAACTTTTCATCACCGTCTCAACAGAAACATTCATCAGTAGGGTTCCACTCATTATCTCCATGTTAGCATTCTTTCCATTGGCCGGCTCATTGTAGGTAAGACACTTGAGCAGGGTAATTTCACAGCATTATGGGTTAGAAAGTGTAAGACTAATTTTAACAACACTCTAACATGTTAAATAACAGTATCTGCATTTGATTCCTAATATTTAAAACTCTATGCCTTCATCACAGACACTGCCTCATAACATACAAGACCACTTTTTCTCCTTGAAGGGCAAAATTGCATTTGCCTTCCCATCTTTCATTAAATTTCCTTCCTCTGCATCAAATTGTCTCCTCTTGGACAACTAATGACATTCCCCCGTTCACTTCGTGCACGTTGTGCCATTAAAACATACATTTGACTTTTTTTTTATTTCGTAGGCCACGTCTGCGGGGTAACCACAGAGGCTTTAGGGATCAATCCTCAACTTCTTCAGAGGAAGAGGAGGCCACAGCTCCTCCTGCGTCCTCTGCTCTGTCTCTGCTGTCCCTGCCGTCCTTCAAGGACGTGGGCAACGAGAGAGGAGGGGAGAAGGAGGTGTGGGTGTCTGTGTTCAACTACTTGAACAGAGCCGAGCTGCTGGCCTGCATGACCGTCTGCAAGGCTTGGTACAAGTGGTACGTGGCCCTCTTTTACTCTGGACAGTGTGTGTTTTGACTCTTGTGCTTAGCTGGAGGCGGCGCCACCACACGGCCTGTAAATACACCCACCTTGTGTCCCTGTCATGGGCAGGACCTGTGATAAGAGACTGTGGAGCCATGTGGACGTGAGTCGGTGCAGCCCGCTCAGTAACCCGGCACTAGCCGGCATCATTAAACGCCAGCCAACCTCTCTGGACCTGTCCTGGACCCCCCTGGCCAAGAGACAGCTCAACTGTCTGCTCACAAGGCTGCCAGGTAGGGGAAACACACACACACACACAGATCCCCCTGTCCCAACACGTCTCAATACACCACCTCTCTGTCTGTTCAGGGCTCCGGGAGCTGAGGGTAGCGGGTCTGTCCTGGTCTTGCGTGTCAGCCATGGTCTCTCCCACTCTGCCCTACCTGCGGCTGCTGGACCTGCGCTGGTGTGAAGGCATCAAAGATTCCCAAATTAAAGAGATTCTCATCCCGCCTGGTCAGTAGCACTAAGGAGCGTTGTCAAAGCTTGTCAGCTGTACTCCACAATGCTTCATGAGCTCTCTGATAAGAGCGCCAAATGACCACCGTTCACTGAAATGAATCCCATGTCTCTAATATTGATCCATCCAGCTTAAGTTAAGTTTTCCTCTGCCTCTTTCTGTAGGTTCTGAGTCGTCTCGCAGCAGGCTGAGGAACATGGTGACGCTGCGTCTGTCCGGCCTGGACATCAGCGAGTCCACTCTCAGGTTGCTCCAGCGCCACATGCCCCAGCTGGAGAGACTGGACCTGGCTCACTGCAAGGACATAACAGACTCGTCTATCGCCCTGCTGGCAGCAGCCGGGACTCACACCCGCAACAGTCTCACGGAACTCACACTGGCAGGTGGGTGTTTGGAGCAGAGCCGCATGCCAGGTGGCTGCTTACGTGGCCTTTCCTCTGGTCGTGGTTAAAACTGCCTGATCACTTTTTAACATAACTAGTCTTAATATTTAAAAAGCAGCAAAATATATCTGGCACTTAACTTTTAATTTAAAGATTATTTATTCCAAATACTGAAGGCCTTGATTCCTTCAACATTAAACGTAAATAGTCAATGTGTGAATCAACTCAAACAATAGACTGCGTCGAACCAGTATTTTAAACCTACCAAAGCTTTGTGTGAGCATGCTGTTTGTCAACCATACATGACTGGAAGCCGCTGTGTTTGTCTGTGTGTCCAGGCTGCAGTGAGCTGACAGACGGCTGTCTGTCTTACCTGAAGCGTCTTTCCTCTCTGGCTCTGCTGGATCTCAGAGGCTGTAAGAGTATCAGCAGACGAGCCTGTGACGCCTTCATCTCTGACCTGTCGCACATCGCCCTCTACTGTATGATGGAGGAGAAGCTAATCCAGCGGTTGGATTAAATGTAGAACAGTGAGGTGGACTAATGGTGCCACAGTCCCGCCTTGAACGAGCAGTATAAAAGGGCCTTCGGTTACGGAGGTCCCCAAAGCTCCTGAGATCCCAATGTGTTCTCATTCCACATGTAAATAAATACCCTTTTCACTGTTCATGGAGCCTGACCAGCAGATTCTCCTCTTTTATTTCTCTATTATCTTGATGTCTTTATTTGGCAAGATCATTTTTTTAAATATAAAATGTTGAGTTGAGTTTCACACAATACCTATTAAATGTAAGTCTTCTAATTTTTTTTACTTGTAAGCATTTGTTCAGAACTTAAAGCAGGGGTGTCAATCATACGGATCCGGCCCCCCAGGTGTCCAGTGTGGCCCGCCGGGCGACTTTTGCTAAAAATGATACTAAGACATAAATTGCATTTCTATAAAAGTAGCTGCTATTCATAAAAAGTCCACTTGTGGTCGCACTCTGACCGACCATCGTCGATTTTACTGTTCCGCCCGTAAGACATCAAAGTATGTGGCCCCTACCTAAAATAGGTTTGACACCCCTGGCCTAAGGCAATGACTTTATAAACATGAAGTGTTACTGTGCCTACATGCCTGCACCACCATGAACACACAGGAAGCACCAATCAAAAAGTGCATAATGTATGTTGGACCCTTTATCAAATGTGTGCTTGCATTTTAAATGTTTTTTCAAAAACAAGTGTTCCATACTCATTCTTTTATTAAAAACCAAAAATGGATGAACATATAGGAAAAAATTGGCGTCTAATAGCTCCTGGTGGTCTCATATGTCTCTGGGAAAGGGAGGCTGACTTGTCCACTTCCACCCACCAGAGGCAGGACTCCAGCGTTGGGAACGACGTTCCATGACAGCGACAGAGTGATGTTCTTATTGGCCCTAGTGGGGACACACGTTACACAACACATGTTAAAATACTATTCACCAGAAGCTTGCATCAACATTGACAGCTCAAATGTGCCTTTCGTCTGAGATTAAAGATCTGGTGTCATGAGGGTTATCTCAGCTTTGACACTTAAAAGTCTCGCGTTTGAGAGATGTGTGCTTTCATGAGACTCCTAACACTAATAAAATTGTATTGATTTGCAATATGTTAACCGTAAGATCCATTATTTTTAGTGTGAAATGATCTTAAATATAACCGAATTCTTAAGAAATGTGAAGGTAAAAGCGTGTGTGTGTGAGAGAGAGAATGGGTACTGACCGAAGTCCATTCCCGTCATCGAAGAAGAAGTATTTGGATTTCATATCTCTGAGGTTCAGTTTGGGGTTTTCACCTCGAAGAACAATCTTATCCCACAGCACCACCTGGTTGAGAGACTGTGACACACAGCGTTGTACAGTATCAGCAGTATGATTCAAGCATTTTAAACTGAATATTGTGGATTGATATTAAATGTATATCTGTACAGCAGTTTGTATCTATCATACAAATATAGTTCAAGATGCAACTATGCAGAGCCACTTCTACAAACACAAATTCCCAACCAGAGTTGATTTTGACTTCCATTTCTCTCTGCGGTGTACTCTGCAAGCAGTGTGTGTGTGTGTGTGTGTGTGTCTTTAACTCACATTGCTTTTTGTGGTGTACTCAGCAGAGAGATAGAGAAACAGCTGTTTAACATTCCAGTCAAAAATTGGCTGCAAATGTAGGACACGTTAAGGAACAAGTTCTTGAGAATACACTGGAACATGTCAACATCATACCTACAGATTAGAAACGTGTGAACAAAGTGATTAGAAGAATACTCTTTACCGTATTTCAAGGCCTTCCAAGAATCTATAAGAAACAGGTAGTAAAACTGGCCTTTCTCACACACACAAGGGTAACAAGAAGCGTTCCCAACAAAGACCTAGTGTTGAATCCTACCACAACCACGTGTTCATGGCAGCAAACAACAGAGGCTACGGAGACAGAGCGGGACGATCAGCTGTTTGATCCCCTTCAGTCCGCATGTCTGAAGCGCCTTGGGCATGATGTTGAACCCAAATTGCTCCCAAAGCCTGTGGATGATTGTAGCAGCCTCAGCCATCAGTAAATGAATTTGTGTGTGAGAAAGGATCCTTGTTTACAGCTAGTGGAAAGCACACAAGTGGTCTTGATACTACAATGTGCAACATCAATGAGAGCCCATTTACTAAAGCAAGATGTACTTTTCACTACAGTATTCTAAAAGGATATCAGCTGACAGGTCAAAGGTAATGAAACCCAGATCACTGCGCTCTCTGGGTCCCGTGAAGTCATCCACGTTCTTCCTGTTGACCAGAGAGAGAAAGACACGAGAGATGAAGAAGATGAGATTATGGAAGGAAAACATAAAGCGGTGCAGGTGGACAAAACAGGAGCTGAGGGTGCATTTAGAAAGAATCTCCTTTGGAAGCCTCATTACGGAACGGAGGGTAAAACATTTGGGAAATGCTAGAAGGAAAGAAAGTAACTGCTGTGTATGACATTCAATCGAAGTAGTGTCGATGAATCACATTGTGGTGAAATAGTTGAATGGCTTGATAAATAATAGGATCTACAGGGATTTCAACACATGCAGTTCATCAGTTGCATTTTTGTTATTTTGACACTCACACCCTTATATACATTTTTGTTAATACAGTTGAGTTAATTCAACTCAAATCTTTTTTTTGTATAGCCCCAAATCTCAAATTTGTCAGAGGGCTTCACTGTACATACAGAGACATTCCTTTAAACGGGGAGAAAAACGGAATAAACACGTGACATGAATTAAATCAACGTTAAGCACAAGCTAACGTTGGATATCAGACCGAACCAGCAGCGCGCGTGCTAGTCGTGTCTGCTAATTCTAGCTAGTGACGTCTGATTGCACCTAACGTCCGCAATACTCATTGTCGGTGTGCAGTACAACGCGAGGGCCGTTACTGCATCGCTAACACACGCTACACAGCTAACGTAACGTTCACGGTAACAGATGTTACACACGATCATCTTACAGCATGACTCTGGAGACGTGGATGTCCACGGGAACTCTTCGGTCTTTGAAGGCTGTCGTGACGAAACATCCAAACGTTAAGGCCGCCATGACGCTCAGGGAGAAGGCGAACAAGGAGTTCGCTCGAGATAGAACCGTATTCATGTTTAAACCGCCGCTACGACTATAGGATTAATGTGAATAACAGCAATTCAAAAAGAGATGTTTCGTACAGGATGTACGCGGTAGCTAAGCTGGCGTACACAGGAAATATCAGGTTTCACACAATCATCACGTACATCCGGGTCCTGAGTTTCAGAATAAAACTATTTTCACGCGTATATATTTTTTCTTCTTCTTCTGTGTTAATTTAATACATTTATATTGTTGTTGGAGATACAGTCATTAAAAAAATAGTTTTACTATTTATATTCCTCCAACGATTTTAGATAAGCAACTCGAAAGAGTCTGCTTAATAAAGTGTATGGACCTCTTCATAGTGGACGTGTCCTAAAGATATTTTACTCTTTGAATTCCGGTATTTTTGTTCTTGAGGTAATTTGAAGCAAACTTGATTCAACTACGAGTGATGAGTAAGCGGAAGAAGTCGGCTTCTATTTTTTCTACTTTATTTATAACGAATTTAGGAACAATATAGGTTCATGGGCGCCGTACTTGATTCATCAAGATGATATTCCTATTTGTTTGTATAACAGAGAGCATGTGTTTTTCTTCTGTCCTATCTACAGTAAGATACAAGACAATAAACGCATAAGGCTCGGAGATGCATAGTAATCTAGAATGTGAACTGACCTGAATGATGTTGCAGGGTAATTGTCAGCCCTATTTTTAATGTTTTTTCATTGATCCCTTTTTTAAAATGGTGCCTTCATCAACCGTGCCAATAATCCATCAAATCATCACTTTAATATTACCACTGAGTAATCCATCCATCAATCGATCTATCTATTCATATATTCCTCTACCTAACCATCTATCCCTGTATACCTCTAGTCTATCTCTCCAACTCTCAATCAATCTATCCATCCCTCCATCCTTCACTATGTATCTATGTTAGGAGAATTCATACTCAACTCAAATCATAAAACGGGACATTTTTTAAATAATACTTGCAAGCAGGAGAAAGACTTGACACACACATATATATCTATTTTGCCCTTCAAAGCTCTTCCTCCATTTTAATTTGATATTTAAATCTTTGGGCGCTAAAAAACAACCAAACACAGATCAATAATTGTCTACCATTGTGCATCAGACAGATGTTAGTGAGAGATGTATGGGGGCCTGAAACAATGTTTGTTTTGGCATTAACACTCATTAATGATCATTAGAGTGTGGCATTTTGAGTGAATAGAGTGAGTGTTACAGAGACCGTTGATTTAACTTACCTTGAATTAAGGGCCTGATGCCTTCCAAAGCATGCTGTGAGAGTGGGTAATGTCTTATGAATGGCAACCCTCTGGCTTAACCTTTGTGTGTATCGGATGTGGTGATTATTTTATTTTTGCTACATCTTTCTTATGTCTTGACCATAAATCCTGTGGTACTTTTCTTTATACATTCTCCTGTTCTGAGAGTAGGGGGGATCAGTGCATGTTGTCTTTTGCTCGCTAAAACATTATCTGATAAACCTTTGTCACATGCTCTTAATCACTTCTTAATATCCTGTTTTACTCTCGATATGGGAATGTGTTTATTTTCAGCCACGCTTGGGTTTGCATGGCTGCTTTTACCCAGGGACTTGGAGCCATTATCCTTTTGTTGTTGCCGTTCATCTTACATGATATTGAAATAAAGTGCGAGTTGAGGTTTGACTACTTTACCCGCTTGTGCTTGTATCTTGTTATTTTTCCCTTCTTGCCGCTGCGCTTCCTCTTGTTTTAAAACTCTGCCTGTGCTGGCATGTGTGTGTGCGTGTGTGAATCCCTGTAGCATTTGTATTTATCCTGCTTCTAACTCTGTTTTTTGCTTTGTAGTATCATATCTTAGCTTCCACTTCATCATAGTGTGCTTCCTTCGACTTATTTTCTGTTAGTTTGCTGTCTTGCTGTTAGTAAGCCATATTGCTGTCCCGAACTGGGCCTCTTGGTGAGACATATCAGCACTAGACAAACAGAAACATGGCTCTTAGTTTATATTCATTTTAATGACATTAGTATATATATATATAAACCAATATATTTTATATATGTGAAAAGGTCAAAAACACTCGCATGAGAGGAGTCTTGCACTTAGTTCTGACTCAATCAGTAGGCAGAAATAAAGGATCTGGTCTGAAGTTGAAGTCTATTCTTAAAGCCAATAACATAACCTGAGCCATCATTTGGAAAATTACTGATTTTAAATCAACAATTTATAATGTTCTTCTATATTCTCATTTAGAGTGGCTGACCGGGCTTTTACACTACATGTCATCATTCACCCATTCACATGATGATGACAGGAGCTACCAAGCACAGTGCCACCTGCCCATCAGTAACTAACATTCACACCAGAGCAATTATGGGTTAAGTGTCTAAGTGCCAAAGGACACACCAGAGCCAGGGATCAATGGGCCGATGCTCTGATTGAGCCACTGTTGGTTGTGTTTGAGTGGTTTCTAATATATGTATTGCATGTACCAATGTGTCTTGGTCAGCTAGATATTTCAAGTAGGAGTTGAAGAACTTTCTGGCTGTTCTTGTCACAGCCCTACATTTTCAAAGGAATATAAAAAATAGTGCGACATCATTTCCCCACAACTTACCTTCAACAGTATAAAACTTCTGTGAAGGAAAACGGGACTACGGAAGCCTAGGAGGCGCACAACAGACGAAACGCAATTTCTCATTTGATTTCCTTTGCAACTCCCCGACGGTAGATTCGCTGCATAGACATCCTTTCTCAATACCTAAGACGGCGAGAATGGACTTGCGTTCCCAAGAGAACAGACACGGGAGAACGCTCATTTCCGCAAGTGAAACAGCAGCTGACTTGATGACGTCAGCTGGTCTTGCTAATACATTTTAATACAGTTCTTGACTGTTACGTATTTTACTATCAAGCTTGTTTCGTTTTCATTTAAAATAAAAAATGGGATGTATATAATGGAGCGCCACAGTAAATATATAGAGTATATAAAATAATTAGGCAAAAGATATTGCAATGGATCAGGTCAGAGTTGTTATACAGTCGAACAGTTTTCTAGAAGTTGAAGAGAAAGCAGCTGAAGTTTGTGGTGCTGCTAAACTGGATTACACTGACAGGTGTATATTTAATATTTATTCATATTGGATGGAACTCATAAAACACATAAAACGTTACTGAGGTGAACATTTAATTCAGGGCTGTTGTTTATAATGGTATTATAAAGTAAGGGGAGGTTGGATACAGTAACAACAATTAAACAGTTAATATCTTACTGGATAGTTACACATTCCACACACATACCTACCGTTTGTCTTCTTGTTAATTAAACATCAAGAGGCCGATAATCAGTGTGATTGTCATTATACAGTTAAATGTATAGACATCACTATAAATTAAATTGAAAATGTACCTGAACCTCATCTGTGTCTCTACATCAATAGTGATTGACCTCATTGTATTTTATGCATATAATATAGTGATCAATGAGGCTATATACTGTAAGATACGTGACATCATTAGTTATTAACATCGTAGTATTTAACATCTATGTAATGTAATGTAATCTATGATACAGTGATCGATCAACGTTCCCCACAGATCTTGGAAAATTACTAATCAGCTTATGATCTGCATCTGATACCTATTTTTTGTTATTTTTGTCACGTGTTGATCCATGTATTGCTTAAAAAGGCTACTGTTTAAACACTTTAAGCACTTTTTTGTTCGATGGACCGGGGGAGGCTTTGAATAATGAAAAATATTTCTCCCTAACTAATGTTGTGTAATTTTTTGCTGAACACAAATCATTAAGTGCTCTTAAGAATACAATTATTAACAATATAGGTTAGGTTTCAGTTAAGAATTGGTTGAATATCATCATAATCAAAATGTCAATCAACATACCTTAGTCTAATCTTAAACATAGGTCTATTAATTAAGCTATATTAGGGTACATAGACATAGTTTTCTTGTTCAATGTTCCGCTCAAGTCTAGAAGGCTCTACAAGTCATGATCAGATGAACATGAATCAGAATAAGTTCAGGTATTGCACATCTTTAGCATACCACCTAAAATCCACTAGAATGCAGGAAATAATAATACTTACACCAAAATTTTCTGGGGTGGACCTTTAGCTATGTCTTTGCTTCTCTTCTGCCGCTAAGACTTTGGGCCCCACAAACCACCAGATTGCAGGGCACAACATGGGTACAACCCCAAAGTAATTCCAATTCCCTGACATTTGAGCCACCGACGGTGGCAGCCATGGCTTCGCGTGTGGCAACATTTTGGTCACCTCCCCGACAAAATCACACTCCAATGTTTTTTTGAGAAGTTGGCAGCTTTGTATTGACCACTGGCAAATCCGTTACAAAACTATATATAGGAAGTGCATGTAATATAATAATATCTAAAATGGCCAGAAATCTGATTTGATGATGTGATTCAGTCAGATCGTCCTCTGTGGAAATATTAAGATCAGGAATCGGATGGAGTGAATAAATCTGCTAAACTGTCACACTGTCACTACGCTGGCCCACGCGCAGGCTAAGCAAAGAGCGGAGGGTTGTGTGTAGGCTGTCACTTCATGAACAGAAATAGAGTTTCTCGACCACACGTGGTTGCGCATGTGAGATAGCCGTGTCGGTTGAACATCACAAAAATAACAAAGCCGTTGAGCCAATCACATTCTCCTCTACCTCAGAGCCCCGCCCACCCCACTAGTCCCCTTTTCGGCCCAGCTCACGCCCAGCTGCTGCAGTCTGTTATTTGAGGAGTAAGCGCGTGCGATATAGTCTCGGGAATATGCCAGAAGTTCCGTCGGCAGCACCGGAGATGTCCCGGAAAAGAAGCGCCGATCCCGGTCCGTTACCAGAGCAGGTCCCGGAGAGGAAAAAGGCCTGCTGGGGCATTATGACGAGCCAAGGTTGGTACAACACTGTGATGTGGTTCAAAGCACAACATGTTTTTGCTGCTGGTGGAACGAGCTCTCTGATGACATCAGGATTGCAGAGAGCCTTCACATCTTCCACCGCAAACTAAAGACACACCTCTTCACACTCTACCTCCACTAAAAGACTAACAAATTGTAGCTCTTAAGAGCCATTACAAGTATAATTTATCTATAGCCAGTTGTACATCGGCTTATTTAATTAACTTTCTTGCCTTCTCAGTCTGTATCCTTATGGTTGAACTGCACTTATTATAAGTAGATTTTGATAAAAGTGTCAGCTAAATTACATGTAATGTAGGGCAACGGTTGATATTTGCCTTAGAGGGTAGTTAAGTAATTCTTGTAAAAATACAAAATGAGCTAAGAATTTAAAGTTGCTTCATAGATTACTTATACAGGTCATAGGTGTTGTGGGCTGTTTGGCATTCAATATAGGTGCCTCTACTCAGGGGCAGACTGGGACTTGTCGAGTGTTTTGCGCTCAGTGAGGGAGGGACAAGCAGTTCCACCCTAAAGGATTTACGTCGGCTCGCGTTCCAAAACGGCTTTGTCTGCGAGCAATTCAGGTTTTGAGTGTCAAACTCAATCACAGAGTGTCCTAATGATTATGATAGACCCACGGGCCAGATATAGGTATACTTCTACTAAAAACTAAAACAAAGTTAGACTGACGGAGATTAGATGAGTAAAGAAGATGGAAACCATGAGTGTGAATACACATCAGGAGGATTAGTATAAATGTTGATCAGTGATTATTGACTTTAGGTATTAGAGTGAATTTAACGTGTTCTGTAAAGATCTATAGTCGGGTTTGGCAATGTTAGAGGGGGGGATGCTACGTGATGGAGGTGGGCTTTCCCGGTATCCCCTATGGCCAGTCTGTCCCTGCCTCTACTTATGCCGCAGATACAGTGCATCCGGAAACTATTCACAGCGCTTCACTTTTTCCACATTTTGTTATGTTACAGCCTTATTCCAAAATGGATTAAATTCATTATTTTCCTCAACATTCTACACACAACAACCCATAATGACAAAGTGAAAACTGTTTTTTGCAAATTTTTGCAAATCTGTTAAAAATAAAGAACGAAAACATAACATGTACACAAGTATTCACAGTCTTTGCCATGACACTCAAAATTTAGCTCAGGTGTATCCTGTTTCCACTGATCATCCTTGAGATGTTTCTACACCTTGATTGGTGTACTAAATTCAATTGATTCGACATGATTGAGAAAGGCACACACCTGTCAATATAAGGTATCACAGTTGACAGTGCATATCAGAGCATAAACCAAGCCATGAAGTCCAAGGAATTAGCTGTAGACCTCTGAGACAGAATTGTATAGAGGCACAGATCTGGCGAAGGGTACAGAAAGATTTCTGCAGCATTGAAAGTCCCAATGAGCACAGTGGCCTCCATCATCCGGAAGTGGAAGAAGTTTGGAACCACCAGGACTCTTCCTAGAGTTGGCCGCCCAGCCAGACTGAGCGATCAGGGGAGAAGGGCCTTAGTCAGGGAGGTGACCAGGAATGGTAAATGGACTGTACTTGTATAGCGCTTTTCTAGTCTTCCGACCACTCAAAGCACTTTAACACTACATGACATCATTCACCCATTCACACCCATTCATACACTGATGACAGGAGAACCATAGACAGTGACACCTGCACATCAGTAACTACCATTCACACACTGTAGTCGCAGTTACAGGAGCAATGTTGGGTTATGTGTCTTGCCCAAGGACACATCGACATGCGGCTTAGCAGAGCCTGGGATCGAACCGAATCACCCTCTGATTGGAGGACGACCGTGCTCCCCACTCACCCACAGTCACCAGGAACCCGATGGTCACTCTGACAGAGCTCCAGCGTTGTTCTATGAAGAGGGGAGAACCTTCCAGAAGGACAACCCATCTCTGCAGCACTCCACAAATCAGGCGTGTTTGGTAGAGTGGCCAGACGGAAGCCACTCCTCAGTAAAAAGCACATGACAGCCCGCCTGGGGTTTGCAAAAAAGCACCTGGAGGACTCTCAGACCATGAGAAACAAAATTCTCTGGTCTGATGAAACAAAGATTGAACTCTTTGGCCTGAATGCCAAGCATCGTGTCTGGAGGAAACCAGGCACTGCTCATCACCTGCAATACCATTCCGACAGTGAAGCATGGTGGTGGCAGCATCATGCTGTGGGGATGTTCTTCAGCGGGAGGAACTGGGAGACTAGTCAGGACTGAGAGAAAGATGAATGCAGCAATGTACAGAGACATCCTTGATGAAAACATGCTCCAAGCACTCTGGACCGCAGACTGGGGTGACGGTTCATCTTCCAACAGGACAACGACCCGAAGCACACAGCAACAACAAAGGAGTGGCTTCGGGACAACTCTGTGAATGTCCTTGAGTGGCCCAGCCAGAGCCCTGACTTGAACCCGATTGAACATCTCTGGAGAGATCTGAAAATGGCTGTGCACCGACGCTCCCCATCCAACCTGATGGAGGTTCTGCAAAGAAGAATGGGAGAAACTGAAATAGGTGTGCCACGCTTGTGGAATCATACCCAACCTGCAGCTCCGAAAAGGGAACCGACCACCGCAACCTGCCGCTCCGAAAAGGGAACCTGCCACCGACCAATGCAACCTGCCGCTCCGAAAAGGGAACCTGCCACCGACCACTGCAACCTGCCACTCCGAAAAGGGAACCTGCCACCGACCACTGCAACCTGCCACTCCGTAAAGGGAACCTGCCACCGACCACTGCAACCTGCCGCTCCGAAAAGGGAACCTGCCACCGACCACTGCAACCTTCCGTTCCGAAAAGGGAACCTGCCACCGACCACCGCAACCTGCCGTCCGGACAAAGGATCCTTCCACCGCCCACCGGAAGAACCTACCACCGCAACCCTTCCGTTCCGAAAAGGAAACCTGCCACCGACCAATGCAACCTGCTGTTCTGAAAAGGAAACCTGTCACCCGACCACTTTTCTCACCCGGCCCTACTGACTACATGTGCGCCCACCTCGTCTAGGCTTCACGATATGAGCAGAATATTACTCCCGTAGTTTGTGCCGAGGTTGTCGATCAGTGCCATGTAAGTTAGAAGTCTCTCTTCTGTCTCCTTTTAGGTAAATAGCTTTTGGCGTCTACCGGGAAGTTATGTGCTCAATGGTGGATTTGCTGCTTAACCATATATTACATCCCGATGCATGTATCACAACCACATTATGGCAAAAAAACAGTAAAAAAAAAACAGGAGCTGTGCAGATGAATTCCTCCATGTGTCAAACAGAAGGTGATGAGTGGCAAACCGGACACTTTAGGACTGATAGTGTCAGGAATGATTTTAATAATCTCAAAGTTTGAGATTATTAAAATCATGGTGCTTTAAAAAATAAATGCAATTGATATTCAATGGTACATTGGACAATGACTATTTTTTTATAAGACCAACGGAAACCGTGTTAGTTAAATGGTATATTTTGCCATACTTGTAACACAACTGTTTGTGTGTGTGTGTGTGTGTGTGTGTGTGTGTGTGTGTGTGTGTGTCTAGGGTCGTGGGCAGATCGGTCCCCTCTCCATGAAGCAGCTTCTCAGGGTCGACTGCTTGCCCTGCGCACTCTGCTGGCCCAGGTAGGATCTTTACACTCACACACTCACAGACGCAGGGTATTTGGCAGATTGGTCCAAATTCGTCTAGTAAATTATGTGTGTGTAGTAAAGAAAAAATACTTCAGAAAACTCACATTGTGAAAACCATCTGCATAACACACTTGCAATATATATATTTATTGTTTGAATGTGTGTGGCATACCCATGATAACATTTCTCTGGAACTACTTTGTCTATGACAACAATTTTTTCTGTCAGGATAAAATGGAACGTGTGTGTGTGTGTGTGTGTGTGTGTGTGTGTGTGTGTGTGTGTGTGTGTGTGTGTGTGTGTGTGTGTGTGTAAAATATGGCACACAAAAAAAAATCACTAACAAGGTATCAGCCCAATAAAAGTGATAGCCCAGTATGTGGACAGTAAGCATGGAAAGTTTGAGAGTTGATAGAGTGAAGAACAACTACTTTACAAAATGCTTTTGTGCATGCGTCTCGGCAGAGGAATGCCAGGACTGAACATCTGTATAAATATCTGGATTTTTGCATAAATTCTGTTCGTCATTTAAAAGCGTCAAGGAGCTCTGTGAGTCATGCAAAATGCCTGTGACTCATTGCAGTGCATAAATAAAATTCATATCTCCAGCAAAGGTACGATGCATTTATGATTCATACACTTTGATGGCTTGGTGTTGTTTTTTTTTTTTTTTTCTTACTTCGGCAAGGTTTGTCGTGAGAGAATGTTACATATATCACTGGATTGCCTCATCTTCCGTGTTAGCTTTTCAATTGTTGTTCTATTGTTGTAACCTTTGCATGGCCGTCTGTGAATTATCTGAAGGAAATACAGAAGACATTTTCTAACTCTGTCATATGGGGTCAGATCAGTCTCAATAATTGCAAAAGCAAAGTCTTAATGTTGTGTGCTTGGAATTTTTAGGGATATCACGCCAACATTGTCACCATCGATCATGTGACCCCTCTCCATGAGGCCTGCCTGTTAGGACATGTGGCCTGTGTCAGAGCATTATTAAATGCTGGAGCTAATGTAGGTGTTCATCTTATCACCACTGTTATCACATGTTCACCATATGGCCACCCTAAAACATTTTCACTGTCATTAGACCGCAGGGGATTTCCAGTTATACACCAATGTGCGTGTAGTGACTGTCTATTTCTGACCTACATATGTGTGAGTACAGGTGAATTCTGCCACCATCGATGGTGTCACTCCTCTGTACAACTGTTGTGCCTCTGGGAGTGTCGGTTGTTTGGAACTGCTGCTGCAGAATGGAGCGCACACACACACACCCCACACACACTTCCCCTCGGCTCTGCACGAAGCCTGCAAGAGAGGTAAATACACAGAAGGGACTGTGTATTCATAATATAAGGTCATAGTTTGATAAGTCTGTGTCAAGGCATATATGTGATGCTAGATATCTACTTAGATTTGGGATATTGCATGCATGTCTCTTAATGGTTTTGAAGGCTGCTTTAAAGATTTGTCCAGCTGTTCTCTAGTCATTATTTGCACCTCACTAGTGATGATAAAACATCAAATCTTATTGTGTGAATATTTTTTAGTGAGCCCTGTGAAATTGTTTTGGTTGGTTTAGACCTAAATGTTTTGATATTAGATTTTCTCAAATTCTCCAGCTCTTACCCCATCACCAGGTGTAGATGTAATTTGGCTCACTCATGCATGGTTGCATTTTTGAGACTCGTATAGAAGCGTAGACCTTTTAGCTGTTAACATGTAACAAAAATCAAGCAGTCAATATCAGATTCTTTCAAAAACCATGATGTAAGTTTTAGCAATTGGGTAGACTTACTCTTGAGCCATGGATACTGCTCAGTAAGTGGTCACATCAGAAGCAACAGTCTGTGAATATTTAATGACTGCTTGTGTGCTTCCAGGTAACAGTCAGTGTGTGGAGTCCCTGCTGTCTCATGGAGCAGATCCAGACCATGAAGTGTCCCACCTGGGTACTCCTCTCTACATGAGCTGTCTACACCAACATACGGCATGCTCAAAGATCCTGCTGCACAGAGGTGTGTCACATTTACTCCATTTCTGCTATTTTGGTCTTTTCAGTCGACCAAAATGAAAAGCTTTAGCAAAATGACAAGTCATGCTAAGTGAGTGCTGCAAGATTGGCGCCACACTAACTGACTAATACATCTTGCAGGCTCTTGCCTTTTATGAAAGGTCTTAAATCCAGAGAAATACACTGAAACACGAATGCTGGAACGCAAACCACACGAAGCTAAGAGAGCACAGTAACGGAAATAACTGAGGAGTGAAGGTGATGAGGGACCGGAAAAACTATTTAGTCAAGTGAGACTAATTGGTGAGGTGAAGTACAGTCACACAGGTGGGAAACACAAAAGGGCAGTAAGTAATGAGTACATTAAAATACTAGCAGGATGAGTATATTAAAATAAGTGAAAAGTGTAACCCATGAAAACCGAAACTGATAAGGACGCTTGGATGTAACACCCGTCCTTTGGTTTCTAAACGTTGTTCATTTATTTGTCAAGAAATGTTTATTTGTCACCCCTTGGCATGGGTTACGGCCTTGGAGTGGGCTTTTTTTCCTACTGGGGATGTCTCAGTTAAAGGGTTTGGTCAAGCTTGAAGAGGTAAAATGATGCAGTGTCAAACAACCAGGATTTCCAGAGCTTTTTTGGGGGTTCGGACCTCTGGGTTGGGCTCCATGACTCAAGACAGTTTCTCTGTGAAAAAGTGATGTTAGTTTATATTCTTCTGAACTCTAATTGATTCTAATTTGTTGCACTGCATATTCTCAAATTATCTTCTCTTCCATCCACAGTCAGAGTAAATGTATTATTAAAATCTCCTCTCCTCTTGTCTTTGACTTTAGGAGCCGATGTTAATGTAGGCAAAGGAAGTGAAAGTCCTCTACATGCCACTGCCAGACTAGACATTGCAGAACAGGTGTTGGTGTTACTAGACTACGGAGCTAATGTCAACATCAGAGACGATAACGATCAGCGGCCCGTTGAGCTGGCGCCTGCTGGTGGAAAAACACAACAGCTGCTACAGACATTTGAAGGTGTTGCAATATCTTCTTGCAGTGATTCTCAACATTGACTCACGTAATCACTCCGAATTCAAGTGAGAATATCCCCCTGTCTCTTCCTAGGTGGTCCGAGGAGTCTGTGCCAGTTGTGTCGACTCCAAATCAGGATCCTGATTGGTCGATCCAGACTGAAACTGCTCCCGCTCCTTCCTCTCCCTACCCTGCTCACCGACTACCTGGCGCATGTATAGGAGGATGCACACGTACAGCAGGACAAGGGAACTACAATTCAAGTGACATTTCTTTAACATAGGCCAAGCCCTAACCAATTCATGTCACAACACATCACATGTTTTAAACTGTATAGTTGTTTGTGCTACTGCAATGTCACACACCAAAATACACTAAAGATTTACTCTACTGCAAGTTGACTGAAAATAGTGCAATGCCTTATTTTAGTCCAAATGGAGCTTTTCTCTTTACCCTCTTCCACCGTCCACCCCACTGTCTTTCGAATTCCATGCTGTAACAGTTACTCACCCGGTACAATTAAATATCGTTGCCAGGCTCCTTGGGTCATTTCTTGGAAGAACTGGACATTCTTCTGTCCAATTTCCCTGAAAATGGCCCTCCGCTATCCTCCTGGGTGACTTCAACATCCAGACAGAAGTCACCTGACCTCTTACACCTACTTTCTTCTTTCGCTCTGTCACTCAGTCACTCTCCTCCTACTCACAAAGCCGGCAATCACCTTGACTACATCTTCACTAGAAACTGCTCTACCACTAACCTCTCTGTAACTCCACTTCATGTGCCTGACCACTTCTTCATCTCTTACACTCTCCCACTCTCTATAACTAACGACCTCATCAACTGACTCTGTACCTGTTCGTCGCAAAATTCGCTGCCTCTCTCCCTCCTCTCTGGCATCCTCTCCGCTCTCCCTACAACTGACTCCTTCTCACTCTTGCATCCGAACGCTGTCTCAACCGGTGCCATGAGAGCCACCATGCGAGCATCGGAAAGGAGATGGCGTAAATATAAACAACCTGATGACCTGCTTATGTTTCAATCTCTTCTATCTCTGCTGCCGAAAGCTCTTTCTACCAATGTAGAATTGAATCTTCATTTTCTAACCGCATAAACTCTTTTCTATCTTCTCCAACCTCCTCGAACCCCCTAGTCCTCCTGCACCCTTCTTCCAGGAGGCATTGTCAACTACTTTACCAAAACAATAGCTGACATAAGCTCCAATTTTTCAAACCCACCTCCTACTACTCGTGTCCCACCGACTTCATCTCTATCGCCCTCACTTTCCTCCTTCACTCCCCTGTCTCCTAAGAAAATTCTTACCCTAGTAACCTCTGCCCGTCCGACCACCTGCCCTCTTGACCCCATTCCATCACATCTTCTACAATCTATCGCTCCTGACCTTCTTCCATTCCTCACCTGTCTCATCAACAATGCTCTGTTATCTGGTTGTTTTCCCAATTCTCTGAAGGAGGCAAGAGTTAACCCCCTCCTGAAGAAACCCACCCTTAACCCATCTGAATAAAACAACTACAGACCAGTCTCTCTTGAACGTGCAATCTTTAACCAGCTCTCCTCCTATCTCCACCGTAACAACTTCCTTGACCCCTACCAGTCAGGCTTCAATCAGGAAACATTTATTGCCAAAATATGTCAAACATACAAGTAATTTGTCTTGGCGGTTGGTGCGTGACAGTAGACAGTGTAACAATAGACAACAAGACAGCAGTGCACAAGAAATGAAATGCTAATGCAATGGGTTAGTAGAATAAGGCCATGGGTTAGTATAAAATAAGAATAAAGTTAAAGTTTAATATTTTTTAACTTTTAAATATTTTTGAGTGCACTATCGAACAAGTGACGAGTGACCATTCCACAGAGACTGCTCTCCTTGCTGTCTCAGAGCAACGCCACACTGCTAGAGCCGCCTCTCTCTCCTCTGTCCTCATCCTTCTGGACCTCTCTGCTGCATTTGACACAGTCAACCACCAGATCCTTATTTCCTCCCTTCAGGAACTTTGTGTCTCAGGCTCTGCTCTCTCCCTTCTCTCGTCCTACCTCAACGGCCGCACTTACCGGGTAACCCGGCGAGGATCTGTGTCGGAACCTTGTCCTCTTACTGCTGGAGTTCCTCAGGGTTGCGTCCTGGGTCCTCTTCTCGCTCTACACCAACTCTCTCGGCGCTGTCATTCGCTCGCATGGCTTCTCCTACCAAAGCTATGCCGATGACACCAGACTAATTCTCTCCTTCCCTCACTCGGACACGCAGGTGGCGGCACGGATCTCTGCCTGTCTAACTGACATCTCTCAGTGGATGTCCAACCCACCATCTCAAAATCAACCCCGACAAGACTGAACTACTTCTCTTTGACTGCTAGAAACCTTGGCGTGACACTCGACAGTCAACTCTCCCTGACTCCCAACATCACTGCGACAACACCTGTAGATACACGCTCTACAACATCAGGAGAATACGTCCCCTTCTCACTCAGAAGGCAGCGCAGGTACTGATTCAGGTTCTTGTCATCTCCCACCTGGACTACTGCAACTCCCTCCTGGCAGGTTTCCCCGCCATGCGACCTCTGCAGCTCATCCAGAATGCAGCAGCTCGACTGGTCTTTAACCTTCCGAAATTCTCCCACTCTACTCCGCTCTCTTCACTGGCTACTGGTGGCTGCCCGCATCCAGTTCTAAACGTTGGTACTCACATACCATGCTGTGAATGGATCAGGTCCAGCTTACATCCAGGACATGGTCAAACCCTACATCACGACCCGCACTCTCCGCTCTGCATCTGCAAAACTCGTCCCTCCCTCACTGAGAGCAAAACACTCAACGAGATCACGACTCTTTGTTGTCCTGCTCCGAAATGGTGGAACGAGCTCTCTGATGACACCAGGACCACAAAGAGCCTTCACACCTTCCGCCACAAACTAAAGACACACCTCTTCAGACTCTACCTCGACTAAAAGACTAACAAATTCTAGCACTTAAATTGTACTTATAATGACACTTATCTATAGCAAATTGTAAATTGGCTTATTTGAGTTTGCACTTTCATGTTTCATAAGTTTGTATCCCTATGGTTGAATGCACTTAGTGTATGTCGCTTTGCATAAAAGCGTCAGCTAAATGACATGTAATGTATTTGTGACAGTTGGTGACCCAAACTCTGAAATTATTTTGTCCAGCTCAATGTCATTTTCTAAATATTGGAATGTATTTCCCCACACCTCAAGGTGTCTGCATGATTATGTTAACATGAATATTTGTCTATGACACAACCCCGTAAACCTGTCCAGCAGTGTCACTGCACTGAACATGTTTGTAAAAGTATTTCAGATGAATTTTTAACATACTAGTCTTGTAAGGTTCATTATCAAGCCTCATGTTTTATCATGAATAATTATTTGTGGTTGACTGCGGACTCAAACACAAAATTAGCAACAAGCCTAACTCTTAGTCCAGTTTTATAACCAGCCTCCAGATGATTTGTGCTGTGTTGCTTGCCAATGAATCTCCTTGAACCCTTTGTCTGAGGGATGTGGACGTGTCCAATGGCATGTTAGAGGTGATAAACTGGAAAGTCTCAGGGTGTTCAGATTAACAACAGCATTTACAAAGATAACACTACAGAAAAACATGAGTTTAAAAAAAATCATCACTAGGCTTTTTGATGTGGGCGTTACAACAATGAGTAAGACTCTTACCGCGTTATTGAGCAGCGATAAACTTATAAACCAGACACACTGCTTGTTACTCTTCCCACACCCACTAACCCCGCTTTAAGTCAATGAGAATGTCTAACGTTGTGTTTGGAAACTGTACGGTAAATATGTCAGGCAACATTGTTGCTTAAGTGGGGTGAACCATTTATTGGCGGTACAGGTGTGTGCGTCTCCGGAATGGCCTAAAGAAGCCGCAGGGCGGTGCTCCGTGGGAACAGTGTGAGCGGGCGCAGCTCAGAGAGACCAACTGTTAGGAGGGCACAGCGTCAGAACCGGAAAAGGAGCCGTTCCCATTAGCCGGTATCCGTATTTAGCGTAAAGCACCCCGTCCTGTCCAGTGTGCGCCAGTGTCGTAGCGACCGAGCGCTAGCGTTAGTTGTGACCGTACCAGCAGCCTGTTAGCCCTTGCTACGGGACGAAGTTAGCATCTAGCCTAGCGTATCTGTTTCTGCAGCCTGCTGACCCGGGTAGAGCTTCAGAAATGAGGCTCAAAGTTGGATTCATTATACGGAGTTTGCTCTTCATTGGGACCTTTCTTGGGTTGTTGGTGCTGTGGTCTTCTCTGTCGCCGAACAACAACGATGAAAATCCATTTGGAAAACGGGTAAGTTGACAACATCAACCAAGTTAACCTAAAGTAGCCACGGGGAAACTGCAAAATCGATTGTCAGCCCATGCGAAATGAATTACGGGGATAAGGACTGAACATGAAAGCAGGGTCTTGGTAGCAGATGTGTGTTTTCAGTAGTAAAAACATCATTCATAATAGAGCGAAATGGTAATATACCCATTCATCTGTGGCTAGCTCTACTAGCTAGCTACATCAGTTGTCATGGAGACTTGTTCGTTGCTAACAAATAACAGCTACCGACGCTAACCTAGATACTCTCTTCTCATGTAGTATGCTTTGTAAATATTTTTATTTAACACACCAGTTATATATTCTGTCGTTTAATACTATTTCAGTACCTCTATTGACATGTTGCCGTTATCATTAGCTGTTCTGTCCTTAATCAAACAGGATACATATCCGCATATGTCACCATGTCGGTGGCATGCCTCCATTAAGGCGGAACTGTCCCGAAAGTTGAATATCACTTATTAACTTCGCAGAAAGTATTTCGACGAAGAACATTGGCAACTAGACCGGAAATGTGTCCCGGCTAACATTTGCTTTTGCATCATGACGAGAAACTGTCGATGTGTAATGCTGATGAGCGTTAGTTTATTTTGAGGATCAGATAAATGATGTGCTATCAACATATGGAGGTAGATATTATTTATAACATATTATGAATACATACTCCCATCATATAATAAGTAGCCAAATCTATAACGATCTAATAATGTAATAATAAACTATACTTAACTTACTGTTTAGTACTACTTGTTGAGTTGAGTAAGTAACATTGAGCAGGTGTAGAGTGCATGCTTGCTGTGTTACCAAGAAGAACAGATGTCATATGACATACTGGTTAAGAAAATTGTGAATAAAAAATGTATCGTAAAAGAAGGAAATCGATTGTTATCTCTACCCAATGTAATTGCTGTTTTTGGTTAAGTTAATTGGTGCCTCTAAATTACACGTAGGTGTCGATGTGAGTGTGAATGGTTGTTTGTTTCTGTGTAGCCCTGCGATTGGCTGGATGTACCCGTCTCTCCCAATGTAACTGGGATTGACTCCAAAATGTTTGTGTCCTAGTAAATGTCGGGTAGTACAACCAGTAAATCAGGTAGTGAAACGCCAAGTGATTTCATTATATGAATGGTCATTTGAAGCAATATTTTTTTCTATTACAACATTTTTGAATGTTTAAGTGTTTAAAGATGTTATACACGTTCAAACCATTTTCATGATACTTTTATATACGTTTTTTTTTTAAAGTAAAGCGAAAGGAGAAGGTATATGGAGGCCATTTTGAATTTCACATCTGAGTCTTTGGCTTCTACTATCGAGTGCTCCAAGCAGAACGTGAACGTAAACCTCCCAGCACTGATGAGGAGAATGTTGTCAGTCTAGATGCAAAGTACCCAGAGCATTGACAACCCCGCAGAGAGCAGGAAGCAAAGAGGGCCAAGTTGCGCAGTAAAATTAACAAAATGAAAAACATAAATGGAATCTTATATACCAACATAGAAAGATTGAGGAGAAAACATTCCAAAAGGAAAAATCAATACCTAAAGAGAATATACCACGGTTTGCAAAGAAATGATCCACTCTGAGAAAAGGCCAAGCTGTTGACTTCCTGTCGTGGTGAGAACAGTCGCTTACTGTCAGGGAGACGGACTATCCCATACTGTCCTTTCTTTGTACGCAGCCAAATGTGTCACACATGAACACATGTGTTTTATGATAAGAAGTTCAAACTCTTGACCGAAGCTCTCAAACTCATATCAGAACCGTTTAAGATTTCATAAAGACATCAGTGTATGTGAATCAATGATGGTATACCGCAAAATTGCCATATGGAGGGAATACAACTTCAAGGAATAGGTAAGCAACCAAAACGGAGGCAATATGTTTTCAGTTTGTCTCTCCCTCGACCTATTCTTGGGGGCTCACAGTCTCAGGAAATTCCCCTCAAATTTAACATCAATGGCCATTTAGACTCCACAATGTACTGTTTATACGTTTTAAGGTTAAGGATACTGCGACCTCAACAAACATTGTTATTTCAATTAGCACAACAGTAGGTAATGGTTAAAACAACGAGTTGAAATGTGCACGTATAAACATTGTGTTATTACTCTATTACTGCCAGGGGTCCAAAATTCATCAAGTCACCTTTTGTAGAAGCACAATAGTTACTCAGTCAAACGGTGAATGTGCTAGTTTTTTAAAACCAGATAAAGAAAGAAAAAAATGATCTTTTAAAGCTCAAACTTGTGTCAGGTTTGTTGTCTGCTCTAATTAATCTTCCCAAATGACACATGCAGCTGTTTTATTGCTAATTTATTCCTTGTCCCAGCATTGTAATGGCTGTATTATATTCTAATGCAATGTCAATAATTTATATTGTGTAATATCCCTCCCATACAGGATAATGGTGGGCTGCCCAAAGGAGACCACCAACCTGATCAGTTTAAGCCTGTGGTGCCCTGGCCTCATGTGGAAGGGGTGGAGGTTGACCTCAACTCCATCAGACTCAAACATGGTGAAGAACAGCTCCGTTTTTAAACATCCCATAAACAAACCCAGCTTCTACATTCTTGAGAAAAATACTTTTATAAAGTGTTACCTGCCATATTATGTTTACAAGCGGTATACGTTTGACTTTTATTGGAAAGGAGTGTTTGCAAAGTAGGTAAATGAGTGGTTTCGCACCATGGAAATGTATGTATATACATATGTGTTTTAACATACTTATCGGATCTCTTTATATTGTATGTATATTTTTATCTTATTTTCTTTTATTTTTTAAATCTATTTTATATTTATATCTCGCACCAATCACAAAAGACAAATTGCTGCATGTGTAACATACATGGCAATAAATGGCTTCTGATTCCGATTCTAAGTAAATGCAGGCTTGAACACAAATATCAGGAAATGTTTGTTTATGATTTGTTTACAACATTCTCTCATATAATGGTAATAATGTGCATTCTCTGTCAGAAGAAACAGAAATTTAAGATCTGATCAACTTTTATTTTATACATTTTATCTCCAGGTCTACAAAAATCTTAAAAAGCATGCAAAACGCACGTCTGTTTCTGAAACTAGTGACCTGATCTGTTTTGTAGAAGGGAGGCAAATACCCACTCCAGGTCTAGGTCTTTTCATCATTATTTGATACTTTAGCCAGTATGATGGTGTAACGGATATTAAATTACAGTCTTTGGGGTATTTAAAGTTTAGAGATGTACTTTATTAGTCTGCAGGAACCCGGCTGTACAGTACATCTCGCTATGGATAAAACAATTTGTTTTATTTGTTGAAAATAAGGTCAAAAGACATTACATACAGTTTAATCAGCACTTGTACATTGTGGTATTGTGTCATCTTTTGGTGTTTGGTTGTATCTAGGGGGGGTCGACGATGGCTATCATCCTGACCAGCAGCAGAACCAAAAACAGGTGATCCAGCAGCAGTATGTGACATTCAAGCCCCACAAACAAGGCCACACCAGCCCCGTCCTGAAGAAAGGTATCCTGGGAAACTTTGAGCCCAAGGAACCCGAGCCTCCGGGTGTCCCTGGCGGTCCTGGAGAGGGAGCCAAACCTTTTGTCCTTGGTCCAGAGTACAAAGATACTGTCCAGAGTTCAATCAAAGAGTTTGGCTTCAACATGGTTGCCAGTGACATGATCTCACTGGACAGAACCATTAGTGATATACGCCATGAAGAGTAAGTACTACTCTTTACACTAATCACAATTCTGCCGCTTCTACTGTGTGTGTTTTTGTTGGAATGCTGTTTCAGCATTCCAAGCTTTATTCTTTAAATCTTTATTCAACATATATTTATTCTTCTTCTATTTCTTCCATGCCACCTTTCAGCTCCTTCACATTTACAGCTATTAATTGAATTAATATAAATCAATATTCATTTTTATTGTATTCTGAAATCCTCCTAAACATTTTCAACTATTTAAAACAAATCAAACTTTTTTATATATAAATCAATTAATATCACTGATTATGTTTCATGCATTTTTCAGACCGTTTCTGAGATTTACATTGGTGTGTATGTGGAAGGCTAGAGTGGAGAGCAGCTTCAGAATCTGGTTCAAAACATATTAATATTTCCCCAGCATTGCTTAAATTTTCACTTTTCATTCTTGGATCAAATGATCCAAAAGACTTACACATTTGACCTCAGCCCCCCAGAGAGCGAGACAAATCTTGTGGCACATTTCTCAGAGAAAGCAGAAGTTTTTGAAACTGCCAATAAAGTTGTGTTTCTGGCCCTACAGACGTATAAAGGATATCCCTGCGTTCAGCAGAGTTTGGGGTTTCAAAAATTGTTTTTGGGTGATTGGATTTATAGTTTTGCACAGGCACACTTTTCTCATCCAGGGCAAAAGGGCAGGTTGAGCTTGAGTACCACTAGGAGTCTATCTGTGCACGTGCTTGGTTTTGCATCTATGTTGACTTATTCAGCTGATTAGTGCAAACTTGCTTGCACCCCCCTCCCCCCCCTCTCTCTCTTTTATTTATATGCATGCATGTATGTCTGTACAGTGTTTCCCACAGATCCAACGTCAATGTGTGGGGGCTGACCCGGGGGGGGGGGGGGTACGACAAACATCATCGCTAGATAGAACTATACACCATTCACACTATATACAACTCCCATAGCTGTAGTACACATTTCACACCCTACGCTACCTGTTGATACAGCCTACATGCGCATGCAAGTCTGTTGAAACTTCTGTTTGAGCAACGGATTTTACGGGGCTTGCTAAAAATAGACATGCAAGACAGACGCTGTGTGTGTGTAACAACTAACAAATTGTAGCACTTATATTGTACTTATAACACCACTCATATAGTAAATTGGCTTATTTGATGAAATTGCACTTTCTTGTTTCTTGTTCTTCTGAGTTTGTACCCCTATGGTTGAACGCACTTAAGTCGCTTTGGATAAAAGCGTCAGCTAAATGACATGTAATGTAACTGATACTACTATTACTACTGCTAGTGTTTCTACTGCTATTAATACTAAAACGACTCCTCCTACCAGTAGTCGTACTAAAAATACTGATTAGTAGAGTCATAAAAAAGAGCTATTGAGTCAACTCAGACCATCATCTTGCAAACCCCTCCCTCTACTTCCCTCTCACTCTTACTCTCTCTCTCTCTCTCTCTCGATGTCCACCTTTATCGCTTTCTTAATCCCTTTCTCTGTCTCACTCGCTCCCTCTCTCGTTTTAACTCATTAACTCTCTTTCTCGGTTTGTCCATCTCTCTCTCTCTCTCTCTCTCCTTTTTAGTCTTATTCATTCTAATACTACTATTATTACTACTACTAGTAGTACTACAACTGATACTACTTCTTCTAACAGTACTATCAGTAATTCTACTGGTGTTACTACTTAAACTATTACTACTACTACTATTAGTACCAAAAATACTATTACTACTAAAAGTACTATTACGACTAATAATTCTATCCTACATTTTACATGCCTGTATTTTCTTTCTGTATTTTTTACCACCACATGCGTCCTGAGTGATCCAATCTCAAATGGTCGCAAGATGCATTGAGCAATCATTGAGGTCTCGTTGCTCATTGTGCTCGTTGCTTATGTGTCACCCACCCAGAGAGGGAATTCACAACACCTAGTGTAGCCGAGGGTTATGTAACCCCTATACTTTATGAAGGTAATAAAATGATAATATGGAGGGACTGAACTAATACAGAAAACACTTTATATCTCCCACGGTTTCCCTTCTGTCCTTTGACAATGCAATCTCTTAACAAATGCTCTGCGTCAAGAAACTACACAGGTGTTCCAGTGCTCTGCACGGGTCTGACACCTGCCCTTCCGCCGGCCTACTGCCATCCGCGGCTTTCTCAATCTGTGTTTGGTGGTTGTGCAGTATTCACATCCTCTGGAATCACTGTATCAACTCTGGGAAACTTGTATTTAATGTTCATAAGATACAGCCAAATTCACGTATATATTTGATATTGCTACTGCTGTTTCCTGCTGGTTAACAACAGTTATGCATTTAGTCTTTGCAAACAATTTTGTTGATGTTAACTTATGAGAAAGTGTTTACTTTTGTTTTATGTGAAGATGCATTATAGTACCAGTTGTGAACTGATACAACACTAATTTAACTGGCATCAACTTGGCAAACACCCATACACATACAGACAGAAGGTGTGGCTTGTACACACCCTACTAAACAATCTTCTTTTAAGGTTTTAAGTGTCTTTCACATTACATGACTAAACATGTTCGCCATCCCACACACAGCGTTTTCAGAAAGTAACAAACACCTGCATGTTTTTCAGGAATATTTAAGTTAACATCCAGCAGCAAACTGAAAGAAATAAGTGTACATCCATCCTTTTCATTAAAGCGATGTGGCCTTAAATTAATAAGTCAGCGTATTCCACGCCCTATACAAAAAAACAGCAGTTGGAACAGTGTTTTCCCCTAGGTCAGTGATTCCCAAACCTTTTCTGTCAGGTCCCCTTTTAGAATGAAGGGACATTGTTAAGCCTAGTTTATGCTTCTGCGTTTTCAGAGTGACGCAAGGACACGCAAACGCAAGACCCCCTTGCAGCAGTGGCGATGCACTGGGCAATAAAGTCTATGAAAAATAAATAAACATACCAATGACTTCCACACACAAAGACGTGACTCTCTAGGTCGTATTCAACAAAACACGTTACTCCGCCTGTTGTTCTGGAGGTGAATTGCTCTGCAACACACGCAAGACTTGCTGCAATGAGGCACCTACAGCTGGGTGTGCTGTGAGGCATTCTGGGGGGCTGTAGTATCTGGACCGGCGCCCATCTTGGGGTGGGGCAGCTGATCCAGTGTGGGAACGTAGCAGCCTTCTGCCACCCCCCCTCCCCCTTGTGATGCCACAATACACATGTGTCTAATGCACACTCGCTCCGCATCTGCCAATCTGCTTGTTGCCCCCTCTCAGAGCGCTAAACACTCACAACAAAATCCTGACTGTTTGTTGTCCTGGCTCCTAAATGGTAGAATGACATCAGGATAGCAGCCTTCACCACGATCTCTCTCAATCAGGACGAACTCCACCATGGATTCATCACTATTTGTTTTGTTTTGCATTGGCGAAAAAACATTTGCAACTTCCAAACTCAACTGACACAGTGCAGATAATAAAGAACACACCTCACTGCCCACTACTCAATAGGCTTCTCCACCAACACATTGTCACACTGCACTAGATGGATGGCTGTTTCACTGATTCTTAACATGACCAAACCTCCTATGGGTGACCGCCTATAAGCAGCGCCATTCCTAATGGTGACCCGTAATGCATGAGTTTAACTCACCAGCACTTTGCCCTCTGTCTCACCTCTCCAGGTGTAAGTACTGGCACTATGATGACAGACTGATGACCTCCAGTGTGGTGATAGTCTTCCACAATGAAGGCTGGTCTACACTGATGAGAACAGTCCACAGTGTCATCAAGAGGACTCCCAGGAGATACCTGGCTGAGATAGTCATGATAGATGACTTCAGCAACAAAGGTGGGTTTGCTTTCCTCACATACTGTATTTGAGTGTGTTAAAATATGTAGCGTAGCTGCATTGTGATAATCTCTTGAATACTTCCACACCAACACACAAAGATAAGTAATTTTAGAATTATGACCAGTGTCTCACTGTATAGCTGTATACTCTTTCTGACCTCTGTCAGCAAAGTGAAGTCATATTTTTCTAGTTATTAACTGCTTTTTTTTATTGTAGCTGTCACTTTATTATTTTCAGGTGTCAAACAATTACCTCTGTTAGTGGTTTACATAGTAAACTGTGATGGTGTAAGATGATATTGTGTGTGTAGAGCATCTGAAGGAACGCTTGGAGGACTACATCAAACAATGGAACGGTCTTGTCCAGCTCTTCAGAAATGAGAAGAGAGAAGGACTGATCCAGGCCAGGAGTATCGGAGCGAACAAGGCCACTAAAGGACAGGTATCCAATCATGATGCTTCAGCTGCTCCTACTGCAAATGTTGTCACCAGTGTGTGAATATTTCATGTAATCGATTACTCTACCTTGAAAATGTACAACATTCCAGATACAGTTTCTATCCTTGGACCCTTAGCTCATACTAGTTGAGAAACACTAAGCTGGTAGCATTGATCCGACTGACACCATGACAACAAAGAAACACAGACATCCAAGTGTTTTCTTACCTAGGTGCTGATCTACCTGGATGCTCATTGTGAGGTTGGAATCAACTGGTATGCTCCACTCGTTGCTCCAATTTCAAAAGACAGGTAACGCTCCCACACACACACACTTGTTAAGCATACATGATAAGGGCTGTCAATTTCGTTTGACCTTCTAAAGACCTTCTAAAAGCTAACATCCCCCAGAGAAGACTTATTCCAGTCTTGCATTCTATCTATTAAACCATAAGGAATCTTTCCCTTTACATGTTTTTCTTTTTATGGTTGGCAGTCATTTATAGTGTAAACGGGAAACCCTGTTCTAAAAATGTTTTAGTTACTATTTCTTTAAACAGCGTTTCAGTAATCCATTGTTAGTGGGTGCAGGCATGCACATGGCAGCTTTTACACACTGCATCATTTTTCATGTCCTATACCTCAATATGAGATATAAGACCTGTGCTCTTACCTTTATTCTAAACTAAAGGCTCAATCGGATACATAATTAACACTGTTTACCCGTACTTTTCATCCAGTGGTGCAGATTCATGGGCTGCTTGTATTTTACATGTGTGTACATGCATCAACATCAGTTGTTCCAGATATTTCACTGCAGTAAGTCTGCTTCTGCTTTCAGCTGTAACAGAGTACTAACGCACTGTTGATGCAGGACTCCATGCATACATCCCCCTGTGAAGACACACTAGAGATTTTGAATATCTATCAACACAACATCCTGTATTGCAGGATGCACCAACTCCAGGCTGTATGTACTGTTTATGCATCCTGCCCGTTCCCAGGAATGTTTCTCTGATGTGACAAAACTGAATGTGTTTTGTATCATTTGGAAATGGTACAAGACACATGATACGCATTACTCATTCTCGTTTTACAGGTTGGACAAAATTCCATCAATTTCTATTATCACCTGTCATTTTACTAAAATGTTTTTGTCATGACAAGACTCCCATCATGACTGTACGCTGTGAGGGCAGTTCATTAACACTGTACCGTTCTTTGAATGAAGCTTGTGTGTAAGGCAGTTGGAGAGCAACCTTTTTGATTGAAGGGAAAACCGATGTGGGTTAAGATGTTGAACCTTGATAATAGTGGAATCATCACACTCTTAATGGGGATTTCCCCAATCCTGCAAGCACTGGTACGGCATGGTGACCCGTAGTGATCCAAATCCGGGTCGTGCAATCAGTCAAAATGATGGGCGCAGATATTTTTGTCATTGTTAAAAGAATTCAGTCAGTAATTGTTTTAGTTAATGTAATCTTGGCTTCATATCCCAGCTGTAAAAGTTACATCTTTAACATTTCAAACAGGTCATGGAAAGGAAACGACCTTATCAGTACGGTACAGTAAGGTTTGCGTGTGTGTCTTTGTTCGTATGTTTGTAGGACTGTGTGTACAGTACCACTAATAGACTATATAGATGGTAATGAGTACAGTATGGAGCCTCAGCAAGGTGGAGACGAGGACGGCCTGGCTAGAGGAGCGTGGGATTGGAGCCTGCTCTGGAAGAGAGTACCGCTTAGCCAGAGAGAGAAGGCCCAGAGAAAACATACCACCCAGCCCTACCGGTACATTCACCGCAGCCAGCATGCTAACACTCATCCCTGTTCTGTTTGTTTTCTCCACATCCCATCCCCTCCATCCCACCTGTCCTATTTTCCACTGTACTTCGTTCTGTCCCCGACACCCCACTCAATGTCTTTGCATTTTACTGGCACTGCTGTCCGTATTTGTCCGTTTTCTTCCTTTTCACCCCTACACTTCGATCCCCTTGTATCTTGTATGCATGACCCCACCCCCACTCTGTCAGAACGGTGTGTACCGTGCCTCTGATCGACTCCATACACGGCCAGAGGTTCACCATCGAGCCCCAGGGTGGAGGAGACGAGGACGGCTTCGCTAGAGGAGCCTGGGATTGGAGCATGCTCTGGAAGAGAGTTCCACTGGGAGAAGCAGAAAAAAAACTCAGAAAAACTAAGACTGAGCCATATAGGTACAGAAAGCAAATCCCTACTGACTATTCTGGATAGTGTCATCAACACAGAAGACAAACGTATCCCAACTAACCCCGGTGCTAATGATATGTCTGTCATTAAGACTACCATAACTAACTAAATGTATCTGGCTGTCTGGCCACCGTCCGCTTCTATTTAATAGAATGATTGGTTCTGAATCTAAAAGCAGAGAGGCGGATGGTTTTGGGTTAGGACCTTTTGTCGGGTCTACAGGATTTTCTGGTGTGAATTGGGTTCGGACTGGGGCACCATCACCCCCACCTTTTCCCATTCACTTTCATTCATCATTTCCTGTCATTCCTTTTTTCTCTACTTTGCTTCTGCTAATTTGCTTATTGTGTATAGACTTTGTTTCTTTGTCAGACTGATTTTACGGGTTGTTATTACTACTGTAACAGGCTACATTTTACATGCAGAACATTCATATAGCACCAAAGTATGGGCTTTATAAAACAAGTAAAGTAATGTCATAGACATGCTCTGAATACAGAAATCTGTCCTTTTTAATTGTAGGCAATGTAAATGCCAAAGGTTGAAAATAAACTAACTCTATAATACGTGATTTTCAGACCAACCTTAAATTTAAGAAACCTTTAGTGTGAGGACTCACATTTTTGAAGTATCGCATTGGAAACCTTTTCTGCTGCAGAAAAATATATTTTTTACGTTTTTTGAAGATGGCCCTCGCCTTTTGGTCCCACTAGTGGATTACAGCTATCTATGGCCTATAGCACCGACTTCTGCCCAAATGACGTAGCCAGGTGTCTTTGGCTATTTTGCGACAAAGGCTCCTTTAAAATTAGTTTGACAATTGAATGGAAACATGGCTTGTGATGCACCTGTTTGAGTGTGTGTTTCGGGATGTGTCTGTTTTTATACCTGCAGGTCTCCAGCAATGGCCGGTGGTCTCTTTGCTATTGAGAGAGACTTCTTCTTTGAGCTCGGTCTGTATGACCCAGGACTGCAGATATGGGGAGGAGAGAACTTTGAAATATCATATAAGGTAGACATGGAATCGGCCCATTTTATACAGACTGACGCTGAATGGCCACATAGCGTTTGGACTAATCTTCATCTTTATATTTAAATATACTGTGTGTGTGTGTGTGTGTGTGTGTGTGTGTGTGTGTGTGTGTGTGTGTGTGTGTGTGTAATTATATATATATATTATATTATATTATATTATATTTCTGTTATCTGTAGATCTGGCAATGCGGTGGCCAGCTGCTCTTTGTACCCTGCTCTCGTATTGGACATATCTACAGACTTCAGGGATGGCAAGGCAACCCTCCACCGGCACATGTTGGATCGTCACCCACTCTAAAGGTGGAGCCGCTTATGCTTTGTTCTGTGTAGATTCATGTCTAAAACTCTGTAAACCCCAAAGACAGAAATATGCACATGCATTACTTTGATCATATTTTTACATTTTTAATGTTTCTGTTGGATCATGTTGATCACAAAATGTGTGCAATTATACAGTACCAGTCAAATGTTGGGACACTCAATTTGAATCAATATAGCTCATCCACTTTTACCTAGCAACCTTGGAAAAAAACAGAACGTAAATTATTGAGTTTACAGCGGTCTAGACAGCTTCAAAGTATTGGAAAACTAAAGATCGTAAACAGGAGGAGTTAACACGATACCTCCAATGTAAAAACCTTTATGCATTCAACTTTCAATGGCATTTTGCAATACTTTGGGTAGACTGCACACACTCTATACATCTATATGTTTATTAACCCAAATAAACAGTTACTATTATTATCAGCATTATATTATAGCTCAGAAAGCTAAAATGTTTATGTCATATTAACTACAATACATGTTTGTCTACAGAACTATGTTCGTGTGGTGGAGACATGGTGGGATGAATATAAGGACTATTTCTACGCCAGCCGTCCTGAAACTCTCACTCTGGCCTACGGAGACATCAGTGAACTTAAACGCTTCAGGTATAACTAACAAAATATGCATAAAGGCTGAAAAAGCCATCAATGCAGTGGCGTCTTTTCTCTGGCAAGTTTGATGTCCCTAAGCTAAGAGGCACCTAATTCAGCTGCATGCTGCTGGAAATTCTGCAAAAACTCCAAATTAAAGGTTCTGTGAGCAAAAACATTGAAAAAAGCAAACTTAAAGTTTAAGTCAGAGTGTCAGAACTCTAACCAAAGTTTATTTTTACTACATTTTTAAAACATGAGTGTCACAGATAGATGGCCCGTGTTGTTGACGTTGCTTGTATTTATTTAATTTACATTTACATTTATTGCAGAACACCTGACATACTTCAAAATATATGTTGTACAGCCGCAACTTGATAATACTCATCTGTAAAATGGAATGAACTTGGAAAAACATTTGACTGTCTAAAATCATGATATTGGAAATATGGAAATTATCTGTATTTGTCTGTTTTAGAAGAGAAATGTTCTGTGTAGAAATGTACACGCATACAGTAATATCTAGTTTTAGTTCTCCAGTTCTTGTCTGCTGGGGAATTGGTCATAGTGAATATTTGAGTGAAGCTGAGCCAAACTCCTTGTAATCTCACATACGTTTGGCACGCATCTCCCAAGTTGCGATAGCAAGTTCATCGGAATTGTCTCAAACTGTCTGTACCCATCGGGAATCGTGTGCTATTATGGGAATAAGAGCAATGACTTACGGTTTTCCCAATATAAGCACATTTGGAGCTCCATTGGAATGAATGGAGTACAATGTGTGTGGGTGTTAGATAAACCCCCCGTTTACTCTACTAGTGTAAGGTAGGACTGTTAGACCAGTGGTAAGGCATTCCGCTTTGGATGTGGAGGACCCGGGTTTGAATTGATACGGCGGGGGCCGATAGCATGACGCTAATATGGCGCTAGCTAACATTGCACTAGTAATAAAAGGACCAACTGCTGACAAGTGGCTAAAACAGCCAGAGTAAAATGGGTCATGTCTTTAGTTTAGTTTAGACACAGTGAAACTGTAAACTCACTGTTTGTTTGTTTGTTGTTTTGTCAGGGAGGAACATCGATGCAAGAGCTTCAAGTGGTTCATGGAGGAAATAGCATATGACATTCCACTGCACTACCCGTTGCCTCCTAAAAATATAGAATGGGGGGAGGTAGGCTTACACACACACACATATTTCTGTTTCTTTCATGTTGTTTGAAGCTTGTTTGTGAAGTTTGCTGTGTCTTTAGGTTATGTATGTGCATCCTGTGTGTGTCTGCATAGATTCGAGGCTTTGAGACAAGTTACTGTATTGACAGTATGGGACACACCAATGGGGGGAATGTGGAAATAGGACCATGCCACAGGATGGGGGGAAACCAGGTAATCCTAAAAACAAACACACACACCTCATGTGTCTCCTTTTGCTTGAATCAGTCCAGATGGACACAGTCATGATCTGGTTGGGTTTGGTCTCTGATGAGCATGTTTTCCAGAGAATAGACAAACAATATGCAGCCCTGTCTTATTTACCTACTTCAAGACGAACCAGTCCTTTTCCTTTTTCTGCTCATATCTTAACTTGCCATGCTCTGTTAGAAATCAGTGGTGCCCTTCTTGGTTTGAACTCTGAAAAAACAAATTAGTAGTAGTTGTTTTGGTTAGACATGGTTTTAAGTTCTAATACTTAAGTCTGCAGTATATTAATTACTGCAGCGTAAACTCCGTATGTGTCTGTGTAGTTGTTCCGCATCAATGAAGCTGACCAGTTGATGCAGTATGACCAGTGCCTGACGAGAGGAGGGGATAACTCTGCTGTTATCATCACACACTGTGATCAGAAGCAGCACAATGAGTGGAAGTACTTCAAGGTGAGACACACACACACACAAATGCAAAACATCTCTTCAGTGCTCTACTCAGCAGTGGGTGCTAACCGGAAAGGATGAGAGCACACTCAAATGGATACATTGGAAAGTAGAATAGAAGTGATGGAATGAAGAAGACTTAATCCACTCTCTCTTTCCAGGACCTCCATCGGTTCACTCATCTAACGACAGGTAAATAACTATCTGCAATTTTTGTGGAAGTGGAATGATGATTAGCAAGTCTTCATTTCAAACTATTCAAACTATCAGTCAGTGGTGGTGTCATACTATCAGTGTTGTCTATAGTCATTTCACTTTGGTTTGTACATACCCCGTTACACACATTAACATTAATCTTCTGTATGAACCCAATAGGGAAATGTCTGGACCGCTCCGACCTGCTGCACAAAGTCTTCACATCAGACTGTGACACCAGTAAAACCACGCAGAAATGGGAGATGAACAACATAGTGGCTGTCTGATACTCAACATCCCGCACAACCCTGGCAGCATGGTGGGAAATCTGGTGACTGTACAAGGGGGGGCACACACACACACACCAAGAAATACAACCATTATTTTAGACGTATATCAAACCGATACTGTCCTTTCAAAGAAACTATTTTGGGGATTTTTAGCAGTCAGTGTCACCTCCAACATTGATACTGAGTATTGACTATACAACAGCTTGAATCCCAAACTGTTGGTTGGTACAACAGTTTATGACACCATGGGCACTCCAGATGGCAGCAGAAGGGCTATTTGCTTTGGAGGCTGATGCTGTGGGTTCTCGCAAGGACTTATTGGACTAACACTGAACTGTAAAACCGTTTAGGCTCTGTCTCCTTCCTTCAAAGCGGTTCTGTTTACCCTGTTTATCCCTTATTTGCTCTTTTGGGCTCTCCGGTCTTTTATAAACCACTCCATTCATTGAGTCCTTTTTATTGGTGGAGGATGTGTTTACACTGGCTGGCATAATGTTTGCTTTGGTCTGCAAGTCAGGTTGAGATGTCTTTCAGGCTTTAAAGGCACCTCAACAAATATGGGTGTCCTATCAGGGTTGATGGTAAATCTAGTCTATTGAAGCAATACGTTGTTCAGTGAATGCCGTATTGATCATCATCGTAATTCCTCCCCCCGCTGCTCTCGGTTGTCTATTCCACTTTATCTTCAGAATGCTGAGGTTCTCCTCTGTAAACCTCTCGTGCATAGTAGTGTACATAGTCTCTGGCTTGACGTCCTCACCAACATCCAACCCGCTGAATAATTCAGTTTCTGTTGGCATGGGTTTTCATTTGAACAAAACTACCACGAGTAGGTTGGTCTTTGCTCCGGGCACCTCAGATTCTGGAGGATCCCCGCCAGCTCATTCATGGAGCTTTTAGGCGAAATTTGTGTGTGAATTGTCTAGTTTTCAGTTCCCCTTTTGGGACAGAGGATGTCTCATGTGTACAGATTGTAAAGCCGGAACTGATTTTGCCGCTGTGAAATGAGCATTCACTGTCAGTATAGCAGAATAGGAATGTATCTCTTAGGAACCACACTATTTACCATCAACATTGATTCCCTGGAAACATACAGAGAAAAGCAATCAGTGGTTTCCAAAATAACACATTGAGGTCCATTCCTGTTGTTTATTGCCTGAATATGCTTTCAAATGCACAATAGCATGACCACAAATAACTGTCCTTTTCTATTCCATTGGTTATCCTTTAGTTCTATTAATATCTCTATCTGCTCAAATCTAGTTTTACCAGCTTCTACAGATAAAAAGATACTGTCGAGAAACGTGGATGGAGAGAGCATCTTTTTACTGCCTGAGGACTTATGAACTGCCTGCCTTACTGACTGTATTGATGAGTAATTACAGTAGCTGACTGACTGTGAATAACTGATGGTGGGAAAATGAAAAGGTATATACCAGGTTGTTGGGTGGGGAACGATACCAGTGCAAAATGCACAAATTATGTTAGGGAAAAAAACAAATGAAGATGTGTGATTTTTTTGTTTTGTTTTGCAAGGTAAAGCGGGTTTGGTGAGTGGGTGAAAATGTATGCAATGTTTTGTACAATGTAAATATATTCCTTTGTAAAGATGATCATAATGCATTTTTAAGGGCCTTGAATGACGTTGTAAATATCTAACTTAAAGCAGAAATGTAATATGGGCTGAACTATGGATGATTAAGCAAATAAAATAACAGATTTTTACTACTATGACTACTACTTTTATTGTGTTCTTTCTTTCAACAACCTGGTCCCCCTGGTCTAACGCATGTGCTCACTCACAGAGTGCGAGCCTAGTGGACGTTTTAGGAATAGCAGCTACTTTTATAGAAATGCAATTTATGTATTTTTGTAGTGATGGCAAAGTGAAGCTTTCTGAACCAGTGAAGCTTTCCAGCCAATTGTATCGGAAAAGGTTCATTCATTCAATGCATCGCAAACTCTATGATGACTTCTGCTGTTGAAAACTTGTAGTGCAAATGTATCGAATAGCCTACTAGTATATTTTGGCCCAATCTGATTATGAAAAGTTGAACCAATAAATCATCTAATAAACAAATGAATTGAATGAATGAATTGTGTCCTTGTTTGTGTATTTCAATTCTCTGTACATTGGAAAGAAGTGGAACAAACACTTATCTATGTCTGTCTGCACCTTTGTGCATATGTGTTTGTGATCATACTAGCAGAATAATTAATAGTATATATATATATATATAAATGACTTATATGTAAGAAATATAATTTAAAATACCAGCAAGTGCTTCCTACTGCATGTGCAGTTCATGGCAGTCATAGGGACTTATGTGAATTGTTTGAATGTGGGAAGTGATTTGCAGAGGAAAGGTCAGTGGGGCAGTTATTGTGCTTTTGGACAGGTTTCTTATGACAGGATATTGAGGTGCTTGTGGACACATGGGATGGGGCATGAAATTATTGATTTTTATTGAGAAACACAATTTTCTCCACAGTATTGGGGTTGAGTCGGTTTTTTAGATACTGTTTCTCCAGCTTTAGAAAAAACGCGCTCACACGGCACGATGAGGCAGGAATGCTCAAATGATTACGTGCTAATACAAATAGATATGGTAAATGGTCTGTACTTGTATAGCGCTTTTCTAGTCTTCCGACCACTCAAAGCGCTTTAACACTACATGACAACATTCACCCATTCACACCCTGATGACAGGAGAACCATACACAGTGACACCTGCCCATCAGTAACTAACATTCATACAACATTCAAGCAATGTTGGGTTAAGTGTCTTGCCCAAGGACACATCGACCTTCACTCCGACACAGCGGGTCTTCACTCCGATGAATGTTTGATTCAGCCAAATATCTGGTGGTCTCCACAATAAAAATAAACATCCATAATTACACAATACAAATGACATACTTTGCCTGCCTATTGCCAACCTTGTTAGAGGAAATCAAATTGAAGTGCTGCCACATCTCGGAGCGACCTCTCTTTGCCACAGGTTCCATTGTAAATTTGCGCTTTGCTACTACCACGCGCAACAACACTGACTTTGACTGTATCAAACAGACAAGGCCTAACCCTGTTTCCAGCCGAAGCGGTCACGTGACTGTGCGCAGGAACGAAGCTTCGGACGTCACTGATAACGTCACTGAGCCGGACCGAAGCTTCCGACCTCACTGATCACGTGATCAGCAGCGAACGAACCGAGCACCGATACATTTGCTTCGCCTTGCACTGGTTCATATTTCGACACAAGCTTCGAAGCAGGAGGGTCGTAGGTAACAACACTATCTTTTTGTAATTCTCACAAAAGCAAATTCATCCGGCGGGCCCGATTTAGCCCGCAGGCCTCGAGTTTGACACCTGTGTTTTACAGGTTTACATCGTCCATGCCCTCTGACGTCAGAACCGGTCTCGTGCGCTTCCCCCATTGGCTACAACAGCGGGAAACGGATAATAACCCGGAAATTTGGTTAGCTAAACTACGACCTGTTGCGATTTTACCGACAGTAAGAGTGTTGCTGAATATTTTTCCCGTTAGTTTTACTCGAAGTGAGACGGTACCTCTTGAATAATAGCTTAACATTACGTTAGTTGTTGAGAGAAACGGGGACGGTCGCGTTGAGGTGAAGACGACAAGGAAATGAAACGGTGTAAAGTCATAGTTGTGTTGCAGTTTCTGTTGGTGGGACACATCAAAAGTTGGGATGACGGTAGGTGGCATAATTGCATTTGCTCACCTCTGTTTCAGTACTAACTGTTTAATTAATAATTCGCATGTTTTGTTTTTACTTAACCCTGACATGGAAACGTAAGTAGTATGCAGCGCGAAACCAAAACATACAACTTCCGCTAACAGCTTTCCAATTTATTCTGTGAATTTAAAACGAAATCAAATAAGGTTTTATGTTAATCCAACAACTGGTTTATAGACTGATCTGATACACATGCTGTACTATTGAAGTAATTAACAATAACTCTAACGTACAGAATTGCAGAATAAATCGAGCTGCCAAGACGAATATTCACGTTGGCTTCACCCGGAAAATATTTAACCTTTGATCTGATCCCTTTTGAGTTATTCCGTATCATATAATTTAACAGCGCCTCTCCTTTCACTTACTGAGTGAGTATTTACAAAGGGCCAAAATACTTTTTAATTTAATTATAAAGTAAGATGAAAACAAAAGTACATTCAGTAGGTGCTCAAGTTGTGGCAGTGGCAACTCGCTCAGGCACTTCCGGTCGCGAGCTTAGGCCTTTGCCGTGGCGAGTCCCCATAAAACCTATAGATTTGGAAATATAGCATTGTTTGTAATACATGTGTCTAAATCTGTGATTAACGCGTTATCCCTAAAAATGACTAATGCATGGCGCCCCATCCTGTGGATGACCTCTTGCTTCCTGAGAAGATGCCAATATGAAAAGCAGGACCTTTGGTATATTTGTGATGTGACGTATGACTCGATGTGAACCACTCTTTGTCTCCTCTCCCCCCTGCAGGCAGCGTTTTGCTGCGTGATCTGCAGGCGTTGACTCTGTACAAGAATCGATACACCACAGCAAGGCGCGCCAGTCCAGTCCCTCAGCTCCAGTGTGTTGGAGGCTCTGCAGGATGCCAGGCCTTCGTCCCCGAGGTGGTGCAATGTCAGAACAAAGGCTGGGACGGAGTGGATGTACAGGTGAAGAGGGAGGGTCTGGTGGGCAGCTAAGGCAGAGAGACAACGTATTGAGTATATTATTTACTCACAAGTTGGGCTGAAACACTTTCCCCATTAATGATATGGTACAGAATGTAACCAACTGTTGAAATTAACCATCATACGTCTGAGTTGATGTTTTGACATATTTAAATTTATCCTCAATTCAGACATGAAGAAGATAAAATAAAACAAAATACACTTGTTAGACCTTACAACCAGTTAAATGTGTGGACTTTCTGCTTGGATAATGATTTAAATCAAACAAATTAGCCTGAATATTTACACTTTTTAAAAACTGTTCTCTGAAAACGGGAAGAAAAGATACTTGGAAGAGAGAACATACAGAGAATATTCAAATCCCAGTTCAGACACAAGATGTCGACCAAAGTATTGAAACTGTCTCTTTCATAAACCCTCGTTACAGAAGTCTATATTTCACAATTTCTGCCTGTTGTCTTCGTTACACCTTGATATTAGATTTACAGAATTTGCTTTTATTCATCTTACAGTTACAGTTTTCAGTATTTGGCAATTCATGCTAGTTTTCCTTATTTGCAGATTTACACCTAACATCACAATATTCTAAGTTAGTCCACTTATGCCATGCAGCAAATTAGAGTTTTGTAATTAGGAGCACCAGATGCAGAAATATTTTTGTAATACCTGGGCAGTTTTAATAACTGTTGAAGTGTTGTGTAGTTATTTTGATAGAAAATATGACTTTTTTTGCTTTAAAACACTGATCTCCTTTCAGTGTAACTGCCTGTCAAGTACAACAACCCAAAACGTTTCACCACCCTTGACTGATAATATCTCAAGCTGATGGGCCGTAATATGTTTTTATAAATGCCTATGTCATGACCCATATTGGTACCAATAATTGCTGTGTGTGCTGATTGAATCCAGAGAAAACATTCCTATTGGTAATTTGTAACCCCTGCACAGTGAGTGGGGGACATTACATCAACCATAGTGTTGCTAGTTCAGACTTTCATTCCGGTCCAACGCACATAAGCTGTTATACCTATAATAGAACATATCTGCTGTTCATAAAGTCCCTGATTTTGAAAATCAAATAAAGGAGGAAGTGTTTGTGTGTAACCTTCACCTTTGTTGTGTTTCTAATACAAAGATACGGTATTGAATTGCGTTTACTCCTCATAGTGGGAGTGTAGGACTGATATGGACAATGCCTACCGATTTGGTCGCATTGAGGTGAGCTGTGAGGGCTACAGCCACCCTGCTGATGCCCTCATACTGAAAGGCTCCTGTGGGCTGGAGTACACCCTGGAGCTGACTGAACATGGCCGGAGCACGTCACACGGTGGAACCAAAAGTTTTGGAGGTAGGAGGATAGATGATGCAAAATCACATAAGCTCGAGATATTTAGAAACATGCTGTTTTTGTTTCTCTGTCTCAGGTCTCGGTGGTTTAGCCTCTAGTTTCTTCAGCGCTTTCTCTGGAAATCAGCACCAGCACCACCCGCACAGCCAGCAGAGTCGTCAGAGCGAACCCGCAGCCAGTGGGGACTCGGGAAGGTCTGCTGGTGGTTGCTGTGCTCCTGCTCGTGGCCTACGGCGTATACAAGCTGTTCCTCAGCGGGGAACCACGTCCCCCTTGGGGCAGGACGGTGGACAGGCAGGTTACACCAGGGATAATCGCCCATGGCTCCACTGCAGCACCACCGCCCCCGGGATTCAAACCCGACTTCACAGGTAAGCCATGCAGAAACACAAGGGAGGGAAGAGTGGCAATTGATGTTTGCACTGATTCTCGCGTAAATCTTTCTTCTAGAAATAGCTGAATGAGCACTATAGTATTAATAGATTTAAGTACCTTGCTGAACTCTTGACTCTCAACTTGTGTTGTGTGTTAAGGCAATCCTGGTTCCAACCCAGGCTACGGTTTCCACAGTGACTACACTGACAGGCAACAGTACCCAGGAGGCCATGCTACTCCTGGCACAGGTGGGGGCTTCTGGACTGGCATGGGAACTGGAGGAATGCTGGGATATCTCTTTGGTCATAATAGGTCAGTGAAGAGAGAGAGAGAGAGGAGAATACATGACTACAACCTGGAAAAGCAGGATTTGTTCAGCTTCCACTCTATTCCAAGCTTTCTTTGTGATTTGTGCTGCGTGTGTTTTGTGCAGAAACCGGGCCAACAACTATGATCACTCCCCTTACAGCAGACATCCTCCGGCTGCAGGCTACACATCTTCCCCAGGGACACGCACTGCTTCCGGTAGGACTGTCTGTTTCCACATGTCATCAACCTTTTACCACATTTGGTGGAAAGATATTCATGAAGGCATTTATGCTTAAGGTGGTCTCCCATATGGTTCTTTTTTTACACAAACTCAGTGGAGCAACAGGAAAGGGACCCCGTTATTTTTTCTTTCACTGTTGTCAGTTAATTTGGAAGAGGACGCTGTTCTATTGCTGGTCCACTTGAGCTCTGATGGGGGTCACTCCTCTCATTGCACACATTCAATGATCGCAATCGAAGCACAGGTGCAAAAGATAATTTTGACTGACATATGTCAGATATTTTAGATTGTTTGCTTAGATCTTGTACAGTTCTTGCTAGGGAGTCTGATTTATTTTAAGTTTTCACATGTGAGCCAGAAATATCTACTAATTGCTCTTGGTTAGTAAAGAGGGATTTAACTTTCCATTGTTTGTACATTCACTTATTATTTATTCACGTCACTCACCCCTAATGAATATTATTATTTAGACTAATTCCATACACATTGTTTAGGAGGTGTGCAAGTTGGAAATACAAGCAAACACGGGTTATGGTTGTACTCATAATCATCAGAAAGGTCACAATGTTGAGATGTGGTTGCCATCCTTGTGAGGTTATTCCTCCCACGTTCGTTGGGGAATGCATGGAGTTGACAAAAATGTCCATTAGACTCCAGAGACCTGCTGTAGGTGCAGCTGACTGACTCACATCCTTGTTCACCAGGTTTTGGAGGAACTAAGAGAAGATAAAAGTTGGAGTTGGACAGTTGATGAACACGGAATTACAGTGATAGACGAATGGATCAAAGCACAGTGCAAGAGGAACTAACGCCATGGTTACATTTCTTAGTTGTTCTTCTTTCAGAGGTCACTTAGTTCGCTACCGAACGAAGGCATTCATATTCTCCTGTGAAAAGTGTGGTTTGAGCTCCAGTGTGTGGTTTTCTGTTGACTTTCTACTTTGTTAATAAATGAGTATGTTCGGCTTCCTGAGCATTATATTTACATTTTGGCATCTTTTGCATTCTTGTAAAATAAAAGGCAGACATAGAACAAAAAAGTGAACACGGCAGAAGAAAGAATCAACAGCTGAAATGTAAATTCTGTATTCGTAAAACCAGTTTGGATTTATCAAATGTATATCGCTACAAAATGGCTGGTTTACCATTCCAGAACAAAAAAAGTGCTGCGGAAATAGTAAAGCGGAAAGGATTGTTCATTTATACACACATTCGATCTTCCCAGTTATAAATGAGTGTTTTGGTTGCCAAGAGTTTGGAAAACCGTGCTGTAGGTTATACTTGGTGTAATTGTCTGAGAGGAGCTGTGTAAACCTGGCGAAAACTTACACCTTTTCAATTATCTGTACGTTTGTTTTAAAAACAATAAAATGTAGGCAATTATGCTTGCTTTTCATTTTAGTTGATTTACAATGTGCACTTTTCTGCCGGGGGAAAGCAGCAGGACTGAAAAATGGAGACAAAGCAGAAGTGCCTGAAACTTGCATTCTCTCTCATGGTCACAAAGGAGCGGCTCCTCAGTTTGCAAAAGGACGTCAGATTGTCCTGAATTGCTTTTGTTTAGTAAATTCTCTCTGCAATGAGTTTAATAAATATTCCAAAATACATTGTCAGGGAGATTCTGTGCCTGGTATGATTTTATTCACCTTGTATATATGCTTCCGTTAGGCAGTCTTATTATAAAGCTCTCCATAAATATAGCAAACAGATATTGAGGAAATCAAGATGGCTTACGGTTTATGATTTTTATGTACCTCTTTTAATTCCTGTCCTCTTAATTGATTTGGTCTTCTCTGTTTGCCTTTTATTCTCTCTTCACTTAAGGTCAAATGTAACCAGTTAGTGGATCTAAGGAAATGTATACAATTGTTGAGGTCTCTCTCTATTTTGCATAAAACTTGAATTGTGATTAAAATGTTTTCCCACAGGTCCATGTATTTAATTAAAAATTTCCAATCAAGCTATTGTGATTTTTTTTCTTTTTTTTTTTTTTTACACGAGTAAGACAGCCAATCAAAGACCCCCACCTTCATTTTTAAATCCAACAGCATCTACGGTTTGATCCCAGTCTCAGACATTCCAGCGTGTCAAGCTTCAGCCGCTCAACAGTTATTACAGGATATGTTTTTAACGACCAGATATGACAAGTAGTTGAGAGACACTCTCGGTACAGTTTTGCTCTCAGGCCTGGCAAGTGTTGGTTATTATTATTATTACATCACCAACTTTATATTCTTCATTGGGTTGGATTTGAATACACCTTGATACGCACAGTATATTTGTTTAAATATTCACATCACATTCAGTCCAAAAGGGGCACCAAAGTAGGCCTGCTCACCAACTGGTGAACTTTGATAGTTATGCACATTAAACTATCAACCATGATTTAAAATGTAAAGACGAATTAAACAGCAAACCGACCACTCAAAGCGCTTTTTATACCACAAGTTCTCATCCCACCCACTCACACCAATTCATACCCTGATGACAGGAGTTACCTGTCATCTATTCATTATTGGTGGTCCACTTAATATAATTTTGATCTGCAGAGCGGAATACAAGTTACTGTAAACTATGGATATTGTTTTTGTTTTGTTTTAATACACATTGATACGTTTTGATAAAAGTTTAATTCACTTTTAGTTGAGTTGCAACAAAAAATAAATGTAGCAATTAGAAAATGTTTTTTACTTTCGACATGCAGAAAAGAAAAAAAATTAATTACTTGATATTGTATATTATAAGAATAACAAAGTAGGAGAAAAAAACATACTAATGACACTGACCTCAAATAAATGCTGCTGTTTATGAAATGTGTTCTTGATATTTGTGGGGAATACACGTTGAACCCGTCACATATTTACACGTCATGTCTAGTGATAGAAGTGAGGACAGGCTCTGTCGATGGTTTCTTTCTGGTCCAAAGCAGAGCGAGGCCCGCTTCCCGGAAGTTTTGATGGGAGCAGTAAATAAGAGGGTTCAGACTACAGTCCAAGTATGACATCACTGATGAAAGAGTCCTTAACCAATGAGGTGCCGGGGACAGGTCCATCCTTCCCAGCAGGATGAGCTGAAACAAAGACAGTCTATGAGTGCACAGGTGTGTGTTTACTCTATGAACATCTGTGTACATGGTCAGACAAAAGCTCACGCGTTGTTCCATGTGTGCAGCTAGTGAGAGCGTGTGTTACCTCAGACGCAACAAAAGGAGTGTAGCAGAGCATGTAGAAGGCCACCAGCTTAGGACTGACTGAAGACAGATCTGCTTCACCATCCCTGGTACAAAGAGGGAACAATATTGAGGAAATAGAATTTATACCCAGATACTGTTAAATGGTGTAAAAGGTAATCAGGTAATCATGTATGGCTTCCTATATCCAGCAGGTCGTTGGTAGTGTAACAATGAACGGGGGAACCTTTTCGCCATATACTACACGGCGTACACGTGTCCAAAGGACGTGTGTCTTTTGGATCTCAAGAGCTCGTACTGAACAAAAAAAAAACCTTTGATGGGAAGTCAGAACAGCTGAGGAGGATCCCTCAGCTGGACAGAATCCAGGAAAACAGGCGTACGGAATGAACAATGTAAAATAGCCATTCGTTCCTTTTTAGTTGGAATGCAATATAAATATGGTTTATGGCGTTTGTCGTTCACTTTTTTTCAGTCATTTATATTACGTGCATACATTATGTTTGTCAGACAGTAAATAACATTAAAGCAACATAGTAATGATAATATAAAATAAATTAAAATGCATGTAAAGTGGGATAAGACAATTCATATAGAGTTGGTCTATTAAGAGTAGAGGGAATAAAGGCCTTTTTATAAACCAGCCTCCCCAAAACCCAAAGCTCAGAGTCAGTCTCAAATCAAGGCTTTCTTACATTTCACAACGGTGGCCAATTATGGTCCTTATCGGTTACTCTGATGATTATTTGTCAGCTAACTCAATTATTAGATTTATCTTCAAAGTTATATGAAAGGGTCAAAGGTGACAACTAAAACCCCTTAGTCCCTGAGGCTGTTTTTGGCCTCTGTTCTGAAAATGGCAAAAGTGAAATAACACTGTAACTACTTTGTATATTTGGACAATTTATTTTCTGTAGGATAAAAGGGAAACCTTGAGAGTGCTATGATGTGAAATATGAAGATGGCACATAGATTTTTCTTTAAAATTCCAGAATAGGCCTGAAAAGAAATCACCTACAGGGTATTCATCATTATAAAACCTGGCAAAACCAGCTTGATCTGACCAGTTTCAAGTTTATTTTGTGTGAAATTATCTTTTCTCTGGTATTTTACCTGTTGCAGCTTGAGCGGCAGCCAGTGGCAATCAGTAGAGAGCAAAGGACGATGAGGAGGAAGGGGAGGAAGATACAAATGGAGAAAGCGCAGAGAATATAGACCAACATATCTGAGTAACTGTTCTCCCAAAAGACAGCACACAACATCTCTGCAGGGTCGTACCTGTATTAGAGGGGAATGAATGATGTTAATTAGAAACGACTATGGAGCACTATGTGAAAGATTAAAGCAAGCGTCTTACCTGATCCAGGTGTAGACAACAGGGACACTCCCAAACACCACCCCTGTCACCCAAGAAGAAAGGCAGGCTGCTGCCATGACAACAAAGACAGGACTTCTTGTGGAGGCCATGCCAATCAGCTGTTGCACACAGAGGATGGCTGAAAAAGAAAACAGACACCTTCAACCTAATTGTTTCAATTATTATTATGGGACTTCAAAGGTATTAATCGTCTATGGTATTAAGGATTATTATGGATTGTCCCTATGCCACACTGTTGTACTGATGCAAGGTAGGACGGCCATCATGACTTATCCTGCTTGAATTAAGTTGTTAGAGGCATCAGACACTAGCGTCCATGAATGTTAGAAAGATTGATACTGCTTGATCTGAATCAAGCAGTATCAATATTTCTAACATTCATCAATCAAAACCAGATTTAGTTTGTATTGTTCCATTCAAATCTTAACTCTTCTATGGTAGTGTACCTAAGCTCCCTATGGAGGAGGTGATGAAGGCAAACTTGAGCAGGCTGACGACTTCACACCACGGTGACCTCTGCCTTCCTGTCAGCATGGCCAACAGAGATCCAGGGATGATGAGGAGGGAGCAGCCTTCACAACACAGTGGATCATGATGAGAAATTAGGACTTTCTGCACAAAGATAGCATGTCAAGCACTGCGACAGGTGTGCTAATTAAATTAAATGCATTCATGAGTTTGGTTTGTAAGATAGTTGTATACATCAAGGAGCATTTAATTGTGTGATGCATTGGCATTGGTGTCTGTGTAAATTGTACCTAAATCTGACATGGTGAGGCTGAAGAAAGGAAGCCAGTAACGACAGCAGAAATGACCCCTGCACTAAAAAGGAAAGACAAGAAGAGCAAAAGAACTATTCAACTAATATGCATAGCATTTCACACCAATACAAGGAACAATTGTTACACATTACCGTGACTTTGACCAACAGCACAAGAAAGTTTCCCACAACTCCCATAAGCATCTCCATTCCCAACACAGCCACCAGCAGCCACCGTTCTGCCTCCAGCCACGGACGTTCCATGAACACAGTCCCGTTCAACCACTCACTCACTGGAAGATAAGCAATATACAACATATCAGAGTTTATTATAAAGTAGCCACCACAATGTTATTCAGGGAAGTCAAACTGATTGACTGAGGTTTCATATACTTTGAATACTTGTTCGAACACTAATTAGTCAGTTTTTTTGTTTAGTTTTTTGCATCACATTTTAAAATAGAAGGGACATTTTTGGCTATTGAAAAGTGTCCCAAGCACGCCTCTCTCCCTCCCAGATGTTTGCAGCTGGATCTTTTTCTATTTTCTTCCAACTTTGCCCTGTCAAAGATTTTATTTAGAGAGTTTGTCCTAAAGTGAATATCATTATAATTTAATATACTGTACAGATTGTAAGGCCCCTGAGATAAATTTGGGATACATAAATATTTATTTAAACCCTAGTCATAATGTGTTGGTGATATTTTACGTTCAATCCTTTAATGTTTGACTTTTTTTGATTGACATCTGGATTCATGTCGTGGCTGTGTGTGATTTCATTTTCTCACAAGTTATGTGAAGGAACACAGCTTTACTAATAATTACTATACAGATTAGCAACAGATTGCATGAACTAAATGACTTGATACAGCAGAGAACAACTGAAAATAACAAGGACTGTGAATTTGACACAAAATAACCGACAATGCAAATTTCATGACGGAAGTGTGACCAAATCCCTGCATAGTCTAAATGTGTGAAAATGACAGCATATGAACAACCAATGATTCACTAATTTGAGAAAGTGACAATTAAAATCTGTATGCACTATAAAAAATGCAGTTCACAATACTGTTGTTGAACAGTGACCTCTTCATAGAAATCTAAACCATAATGATTGTTAAGTTAACATATTCCCGTATGTTATAGCTCTGATCTGATTTGTTCATACAGACAAAGGCTGGTTACCTGCTTAAAACAGACAGCACTAAACCTCAATTTGTGATTATTTTCTGTTTGATAGAGAAAAGCACACTTACTTTTACGATGAGCTGTCACAGCCTTCAACATAGGTGTTTGTGGTGTAGACCTCTAATGCGAGCGTCATCAAAACCATTTTCAATTAAAATGAACATGCTCCATTTAACCTAGCAAGAATTGCTCTGACGCACGATGCGTGTGTGCCTGTAATTCAGCGTCTACCACTCAAAACAACTTCTTTCATTAGTGACAACAACAGCAAGGAAAGAAAGCTATTTAATAGCCATCAGATGCAAATATATATTAAAAGAATTTGGGTTTTTAAACTGTAACAGCAAATGGAGTTGAATTAATTTTTCTTGCTTCTGGTTTTTTAAAATAAAAGTGAATAAACCTCCAGATAAGTACAGCCAACTCACACACCCTAAAACAATGATTTTGGAGAGGTGGAAGAGGAAGGTAGAAGTCAGACATGAAGATAAATGGTTAAAGTGAGAGTTAAGGGTAGGTGGAGTATTCTGGTAATATACTGTTACTGTTACTTATACTGTTCTTTACTGCTGTGACAGGAGGGTGTAGACAGGGAAACAGATGGTGAGAGCAGAGTCTGTGTGATGTTAGATATTAGTTATTACATTAGCATGTTAGATGAAGTGAATGCAATATGAACCAACATCATTTATAGTCCTTTAAGACATATAATTACTGTACACATTAACATCCTGCCACGATGGAATGTTGAACCTGGGCACGGATAATTGGCGTCCTCAGGAATCAGGAATAAGGAAACATTTATTACCAAAATATGCCAAACATACAAGGAATTTGTCTTGGCGGTTGGTGCGCAACAGTAGACAATGTGACAATAGACAAGACAGCAGTGCACAAGTAATAAAATAAAGTAAAATGAAATGCTAATGCAATGGGTTAGTAGAATAAGGCTATGGGTTAGTATAAAACAAGGGAATAAAGTTAAACATTTTAAATATTAAAAAAGTTTAAAAAAAATATTAAGCATAAAGTGCACTAACGAACAAGTAACAAAGTGACGAGTGACGACAAAGTGATGAATTACAGTTAAAGTGACATGTGCAGTGTGAAGGGGAGTGACCGGTGGAATGTTATAGTCAGTCAGTGGGGGACCGGGCTCTGTTGATGAGCCCGACTGCCGACGGGAAGAAACTGTTCGTGTGGCGGGAGGTCTTAGTCCTGATGGACCTCAGCCTCCTGCCAGATGGAAGGGGCACAAACAGTTTATGTCCGGGGTGAGAGGGGTCGGCCACAATCTTTTTAGCTCGCTTCAGAGACCTGGAAGCGAACAAGTCCTGCAGGGACGGCAGATTGCCGCCGATCACCCTCTCTGCAGAGCGGTCCTTAATGGATTTCTCAAAATGTTATCCCCAAAGAGGGTTTTTGGGGAGTTTTTTCTCCTGTCACCTGACTAGATGAGCAACTGGATGCAAGACAGCCGAGTAAAGCAAATATCTTGAGTATTGGACTAAATGAACTGTGTTAAACCTTATGATAAAGTGTGATGTACTGTCATAATTTATGTTGTGTTGTAATTAAAGTGTACTAGTTATAAGATGAAGACAAACTATGCATGCTATGTTACATTCACATCTATATTGAATGCATTGGAATGTGAGGGACAGATAAGGCCGAGAGGTTTCAGGTTGCAGCAGTGGATTCACACCTGGATGAGAAGGGGACAAACCAGGAGGTGACACGTTTGAAGGAGAAGCCAATGACATTGAAGTGCACCTAAAAGACGCACCGCGGGAGCTTTCAAAGGACTAAACCGGGAGAAGAACTGTTAGAATATTCCTGCAGCCGCTGTGATAAGTCTAATGTGACCCAGTCTCTAATGTGAGAATTCTCTATTTCGGAGAATGTTTCACTGTTTGCATTGTATTTCACTCTGTAATTGTATTCCTTATCACTTTGTTTAGTTATTAAATACTTCTGGATTTTTACATTTAAGCCAGTTGACTCTTTGATTCAGCGTTTCGGGACGAGAACAAAGGAGTGTGACCTCCCTCGAGGGTCCAAACGAGCCCCCCAATGGGAGAGAGAGTTAGTGCGAACAGGTGGTGTTTGAAGATGCTTCAATAAGAGCTTATTGACTGAAGAGAGAAGTGTGTATGTTGTTTAATTGGACTTTCTTATATCAGAGGAAGGTGCCTTCAGATTTAACGACCTGCCGTTCATATCATAGGAAGGTGGCGACAGACCCGCCGATCGGATGATGGGAACATGGCAATAATCAAAGAGGCATGGACACGCTAAAACAAAAGTGGGACATATGTATCGAAATAAATAAAGAGAACCCAGTGGCGGCCGGTGGTCGGGCGAACGGTTTAGCGACCGGGGTTGCGGAGGGGTAGTAGTCAGTCCGCGGGTGCTCTCTGTCCGCTGGCTTCGGTCGGTTATCAAAACATTGGTCAAATGACCCGTTTCAGACTTTATGAGCATATACAGAATCCCATTGTATTAATTTCTAAAGCCGCATCAAGACATACATCACTTTATTTAAGACGCTGAGCTACTTGCAAGTCGCTGTGATCTGCTAGATTGTCAATAAAGTTAGAAAAAAACATATACGGCAAACCCACGGTCACGAAGATACTCATTTGGCGTTACATGGTATTTGCATGTCGCTAAATACCCAACTGAGATCGGATTATGCCGTTCTGAAAAAGGATCCCACCACCGACCACCGCACACTACCGTTCTGACAAAGGAACCTTGCAACGACCACTTATCGCAATCGGTGTCACTCGAAATGTGACCCGATGGACACGGTGGAGTAAACTAAAGCCAGAGGGTGGCAGTAATGTAACACTACGCACGGGAGCTGTTCTCGTTAAACCCACGAAGAAGAGAAGGAGGCCGGTGAGAAGCTTCCGGTACACGGAGGGTCCGTTGCGCAAATCGTCCGCTGTTCTGGTTTAGAAGGCCAAATAGCGACTTTTCGGTGAGTGTAACATGATTTAGATTAATAAACTCGTATTTTTTAAAGATATTGCGGGACCTCAAATTTTAAAATGATTATTTTTCATACTGTACGATGAAAACAGCAGAAAAGCCCTTAAATGTCCTCACGCGACCTGCAAAAGTCCTTGACAACATTGTTATGTGACTGTTCCTCTGCTGTTGATGCTTAGCGTTTCCTTTACACGAATCACGTTACAACCTTAAATCAACTTTGCACAGTACTATGTTGGTGTTTCTCAGTGATATTTTCTGTGTGTTTTGCAAGGTGCTGTTGGCTATTGTTAGCTCAACAATGTCATGCTAACATCTAACGTTAACGTTGTCAGCGTGAATTGCTCGTGTTAACGCCACATTATGGTGAATTTAAGTTAACCTAACACTTGTTCGGTGAATAATTCATTTTTCGTTCATAATTAGATTATAGATTAGACTAACTAGAATCATTAACATAAGCGTATGGTGTCTTCAGCAGTGCGTGGGTTTAAAATAAAAAAGTGTGTGGGTTTAAAATAAAAAAGTAACGTTACGTCATCCGTATGTTACAGGTTCTGTACTGTAACTTATAATGTCACGAATTACCAAATGGTATTTGTCACAATCAACCTTGGGCCATTTAGGTTTTGATATTAATGTTTAACGTTAACGGTTTCTTCTCTGGTTCCAGCTACAAAGACGCGATGGCTGCACCGTTGCGTTCACTTTACTGCGCGTCAAGGACAGGTAAGATCTCTCAGCCAGACAGAATACTAAATTACAGAGCAACTGATACGATGGTAGTTAAAGATGTATTTATTAAATATATTGCAGTTAAAACGACAACTAAAGTGTAACCTTAAAACAACAAGACAGAGCATCGGTGAGTGAGTGAGGGAGGGGGTCCACCTGCAAACCGAAGACATGTACTAATACGACCGCTTAGATAGTGAGATCAGGACAAAGTCAGGTGCACGGATCGGCTGACTGCAGGGGTAGGTAGGTAGGTACTAGGCTGTCAGCTGGCGCTCTGTCTGCTGTGTACGCATCCACGAGCACAGTGTGTGTAATGGCCATTTGTCCTACAAATCTTTAAATGTCAAAGGGCCACTGCTGCACCTAGTTTGGTCTCTTTTCACGCAGTAAGAGAGGTATTGTCCAGGCGTTCTTTTCTTGTTGTTTCTCATTTATTTACATAGAAGCCACCAAACCACATACAATAAAGCAGTCTGCCTTCCTATGCAGTGCTCTGTGTCACTTGTAAAAAAACATTTGTCACCCAGGTGCTTGCTGGTCCCACCTGACTATGCCCCTAAGTAACCCCCAGGTGCCCACAGCATTACCCAATCAGTGATCCAATTACCCAAATAATTAAGCAAACTATATTCAAGAATAAATAACTAAGTAATAGCTCCCACAGTATGCATGCACGTGTGGTGGTGTAACTGCCTGTGTAAAAAGGCCCGCTGATATAATGGGGCATTTTTAGAACCTACGCTGTGCTTACTAACAGGTTTTTAACAAAGTCCCAAATTAAATTAGAAAAAAAGCCTGTGGCCAGGAAATGTATATCAATGACATGGAAGTCTAATAATATAATAATACATTTTTATTAATAATAAAAAAAAGTAATAATTTTTTTTTTTAACATAGAGTAAAAACGCCTTCTGATGCGTTTTAAGAGTCTCCCCTACTGTCATTGACAAGTGGTATGTGGAAACAGTTGAATCCCTCTTTTAACAGTTTACATATATCATCTCAAGAAAATATATTTATTTTTGGGAATTCCGGCAGCCTTACTTGGAGTGCATCGGTACAACATTACCGGTAGGCCTGTAGGTATTTGGGGTTTTGTCAAAGTAGTATCTCTTAGTGTTATTGTTAGTGTTAGTGTTGTACTACGCGTACTGTAACACACTGGTGTGTCAATGGCAGCTATATGAAAAAATAGATCTGCCTGCGCTCAGCAGAAGACCAAACACAAGATGTCTTTGTCATAGAAGATGTTTTCATGTTTTCACACAGCATGTGTACTATCCTTCAGTTGTATAGTCAATGTGATGCAGTAACTTTTAAATAATTCACTGTATCTTTCCTTTCAGGCACTTTTGTGTCCAGCCAGATTCTAGCAAGGTCCTTTGGGGTGTCCACACAAAGGGAAGGATTCAGTAAGTACCACCATAACACACAAATACACTGGATGTGTTGTATTGGAAATAATAAGTATACCAAATATTGTCTTTTGAGGAGAAAAAAAAATCCCCCACTGTCGGCTGTCAGTAAGTTCTAGATGCCTTCTAGTCAGAAAGCTGAAACAGTCTGACTGAATTTGAACCTGACTCTTATTAGCTATTTATAATAGTGTGTTCATTACAAGTCACGCAGCAGGATTTATGACTATTTATGAAGTCATGCACAAACAATATTTACACACTCATATGTATTGTTTTGGTTTTATGATTTATTAAAAATAATAGTTGTTTTTTCAAATTATCATTTTAAATATAAATAAATGAAAAAAATATTTATAATTGCAATATATTTGTATTTGAAATATCACTTTTCTAGAGCAGGAACAGTAATGACAACAGCAAAGTTTTGCCAAAATGATATACAGAAATATTGACAAAATATAGTAGAGAACTCTCTGCACAGTGTGGTCCCTTTTCATTTGGCTACGGTGCCTTGTGAATACACGTAAGCACTGCGCTGAGTTGCTCAGAGAGGAATTCTGTATCGTGTTCTCAAGTGCTACTGTAAAACTCCGATATTCCAAACTCTTGTCAGTTGCTGAAAAGCTTTGCATTCATTAGATTTTTAAGGAAAATATTAACCGTTTTCTTGTTTTTAACCGTCAGTTACTAACTGCCAGCAACACCAGCTCACCGACCTGATTGTGTTCTTGTATTCAGAGTATGTGAACGCCCAAGAGATCCCCACAGACATGAAGTCCATCACAGACCGAGCTGCTCAGACGCTACTGTGGACTGAGCTCTTCAGAGGTCAGCTGACTGTCACACTTACACATAACATACATGTGGGAATGTTCCATTTTAACAAACAAATGGTCTTTCATTTTAGACCTTTGTACTAGTAGTCTTGCCAAATAATAATGAATACAACCTGAATTGTACCCCATAAGGCAGGGCTGGGTGTCAAACTCAATCACAGAGTGTATATAATCATAAGAGAAATATATATTTTTCTTATTTCAACATGAAACCTTCTTTGTAATGTCAGGGTTGGGCATGACAATGAGCTACCTGTTTAGAGAGCCCGCCACCATCAACTACCCGTTTGAGAAGGGGCCACTGTCACCTCGCTTCAGAGGAGAACACGCACTGCGCAGGTGAGGTTAACCAGTGTGATATTATTTATTAGTATGATATTACAAAAAATGACATTATTTTAGATGACGAAAAATGAATAACCATTGAAACACGGATTCTTTGTTTTTTTTTAACAATTATGGACTTTTGCATTTGACAACACTATCATTTTAGGAAAAGTCTAATTGTGTTCCCCCTTTTCAATATGAAACAGTGCTCTGCTATTATGATCAATTGGATCGCTGTATTGACTAACCCAAGACGAGACAGGAATGAAATGATCATGATATACTGATTTATCAGGCTAAAAGAAATGCTCTCTAATTAAACACAAAAAAAGCCTCATTAAAATAGTCCGATTAATGAATAGTGTTGTTGGTACAATGTTGTTTATAAATAATGTTTGTTTTTCTTCTCAAGACTAAATCTTAAAAGTAATAAGTAATCACTTTAGAAAGTATTTTAGACACTGTTGTTTAATTGTGATTATATGTTATTTTAAACACAACTACACACATTTGATCATCTTGGAGGCAGAATTCCACCGGTTAAACTGGCGACTCTCCCTGCTGTCCTCATACACTTTACTCTCAACTCTCCATCTTTGCATATTTCGCCATTTTTAGTTCATTTAGTGTGAAATGTTCGCACACCTTGGACGACTTAACTCTGTCTCTAACTCTAACAGACTTCTCTGCCTGCCGGCCATGTGACTCACAACAGCTGCTGGCGCTGCTGGCTGCGCTTTCCTCTACGTCGGCTCGTCTCTTCTTTATTTTTGCTCCGTTCGCATCTCCGCAACTTATTGAGTGGCGTAATAATCGTGCGACACAAGGGATCCATAATGAAATTCGTTGCCAACACTTTTAATAATCGATTTTTATCTATTTGTTGTTGCAGCCCTACTTTTTTAACCTAAAACTACACACCTTTGATCATCTTGGAGGCAGAATTCCACCGCGTGGAACATGTTGAACTACCGACTCTTCCTGTTGTCCTCGTGCACTTTGCTCTCAACTCTCCATCATTTCACGGCCGTGTTTGAAGTGCCAACAATCTCCCCACATTTAGCCAGAACGTTTTAGTTTTTTAGGGACACAGTGGTGGTCCTCAGCAGACTGTGTGCCGCGCAGAGTAACGTTAGATGTTGAGATAGAAGTAACCTGGCAGTTAGCTTAGCATAGCGGTGCTTTAAGTGGTCTGTCGGCTACTCACCCCCCTTCTGTTTGACACGTGTAGTAATTCCTCTGCACAGTTCTCTGCTGTATGTCGCACTACTGTTTGTTTTACTTCTGATGCATAAAGCTCTCCCCATCTTGATGTAACTGACTGCAGCTAGTGGCCGTTTTGTTTCTGCGGTCAACTTTCGGTTTACTGCCGGGACCGTTAAATATTTTTTTGCATTACTCTAGGCTACATTAGTCTCATAGATTAATGTTGACAGCCCTAAATGTAATGTAATCTTCATCAATTTACTGCCTCTGAATTTATACAGAAGCTGATTTAATTTCAAGAGTTACAAGAATAGTAATATAAAGAAAGCTGCTACCTGCAGATTACGTAGCTTGCTGTTATGATGTTTTTGGAGATCGAAGGGGTGCTCGGACAGAAACAGCAGTGTAATGTCTACGGTACACATAGACTCTCTGACAGTGATGAGCTTACACTGTTGCTTCATGACATTGGCCCAATGACTTATCTCTCCCATCCAGCTTTTGTGATTGATGGGCCAGATCATAAAACAGCTGTGTCCCATATTTCTGTTTCCCTTGTCTGATTGGTTAGTGGTGAGATATTCTTCATGGTTAAATGAGAGCCTGTGGAGCTTAGATCATTTTTTTATTCTCTATAAATTATTCACAATAAAAGTCTTTTATTTTAATTATTTTTTCCTGGTTCCTATCTGCTGTTTTAATACGCCTTTTTTAGAAGTAGCGTCTAACGAAGCTCCGCTAATTTAAGGATAAGTCTTATTTTGAATTTCTCGGGATGAATTATGTTTGGGGTCCTTTGTGCAGTATGAGCAACAATGTCCACGTTGTGATTTTTCACCAGGTATCCTTCAGGAGAGGAGCGCTGCATTGCCTGCAAGCTGTGCGAAGCTATCTGCCCTGCACAGGTACACACACGCACGCGCGCGCTACACATGACTTGATTGCATCATGTTCATCTTGTGATGTGACTAAAGGCTGGCGCATGCGTCTTTAAGTTCTTCAATCTGATCCATTCTCTCGTAAAAATTCTTCGTTTTAATAATGGTGGTATTGCGCTATGAAACCGGAAAGGATGCAGTTAGCAGACCAATCGCTGTCTTGCGGGCTGCAGGAGGCTTGCGTAGCACGCAAGGAAATGTGAAAAGGCACGCAAGGGACACGCAAGGGGCTTTTGCGCCTGCGTCGCAACGCAGAAGCATAAACTAGGCTTTACATTACACTACACAGTTACAATGTTTGGTAACAAGTCTTTGTCTGATTTCTATTTAGTCTCAGTTAGGGCTGGGCGGTATGGCCGAAAATCCATATCACGGTTTTAAGATTCTGACAGTATCCCGGTATATGACGGTATTGCTTTTTCAAGGAAACGCATTAATTCATTGACCCAGAAAAGGGCCGCCAGCTACCCGATCAGCTGTTTGCCGCTCGCTGGCCAACTTGCTCGCAACTGGCTGGCATGTTAGCTCTTTAGCGTATTAGCTTGTTGTGGCTGCTAGTGTTGCCACCAGAGGCAATACCAGCGGCTCGACAGACTTTGCAATAAATTGTTTTCTGATCCAACTTACGTTGGATTTTCCAAAACCGAAAACCGTCCAAACAGACTTGGCTCCTCCATTGGGCACAAGTTGTGTTGGTGCATCTCTGGTCTCTGGTTGTTCCTCCTGTATCGCTCTTTTCAGTGTTTTCATGGATCAACAGAGTCACTTCTTGTTGTGAGCTTTACCCAGCATACAGTTTGGCTGGGTCATTTTTATAAATGTACAATTATTAGTGTTACAAATTGTTTACGTGTCACAAGCTGTTGTGTCGTGGTGTTTTACCCTGTTAAAGAGTCTTTGTTGTTGTTATTCATTGTCTGTATGAAGTTATAACCATGACCCAACCTCAACACACATAAGAGAAGTCGCTCCGACCGCTGGACGCTCCTCCATGACGTATAATAATAAATCCTGCTGTCTGCCGAAGAGCAACGCAGTTGTTATGGCGTAACACCGGCATGAACGGAACGTGAGGAATTCATACCGTTTGTAAATCTTATATCGTTTGAACCAGTGTACGTGCAGCCCTAGTCTCAGAGCCAAATTAGAGAAATGTCTAAAATAGAGCGTTGTCTGCATGTCTCTTAATAATTAACTATGTTTGTATCCAGGCCATCACCATTGAAGCAGAGACTCGTGGTGACGGCAGCAGAAGGACGACTCGCTATGATATCGACATGACCAAATGCATCTACTGCGGCTTCTGTCAGGAGGCGTGTCCTGTGGACGCCATTGTAGAGGTGCGTGTATGATCCCTTTGTGTTACAACACACTCCTAAAGTTTTATACCCTCAATGTGATACTAATGGTCACCCAGTAGATGTCGACATTATGACGTATTTAAGCAATAAGGTATGAGAGGCTGAACTTTATCGTCCAATAATGGGCCAACGGTTCGGGGGTGTTGTTAGGCCTGACACGCTATTCTCGTTAGATCCCCTTATTTTGTTTTACTCGGACGGGCGGTGTTTTCCTTTAACTTCTCGTAATGTGGAAAAACATCACCACTGCCACGGAGCAAATACCACCAAGAACTGAATCGCTGACTATCGCTGAATAATGCACACCCCCTGTGACTCACTCTCAACCTATCAGAACGCTGGATTTCATCTACCCGTATAATAACAAAGGCTATTGCGGAACTGCTGGTTAGGAGCTTCTTTTAGAATTGAACGGTGTTTGTGTGCTGAAAGGAAGGCCGTACTACCAACGGGGGATACAAATATTCACCGGATAAGGATTCTGTCAAAACATAGTTTGCTGTATTGAAGTGCAAATTAATTCCAGAATATGTGGTGGAACCAAAAAGCAAATTATGATTGCAACATTTTACGCTCTATTGTTTGTCCGTCCTGAATGCAATTATTCTCAACATGCTTGTGCTCTCTGCTCTATTATTTTTAATCCTGTTCTTCCCTCTGGTCCCTTTCTTCTTTTGTCTTCTTTCTTCAGGGGCCTAACTTTGAGTTTTCCACTGAAACGCATGAAGAACTGCTCTACAACAAGGAGAAGCTCCTGAACAACGGGGACAAGTGGGAGGCAGAGATAGCTGCCAACCTACAAGCTGATTACCTCTACCGATAAACACACACAGTGTACAGTCAGCACATACAAGAATAACCTACCTGATGCACATACGTCCATACTGTACATACTGTAAGAGACATACTCAGCTGTGGCTATGCTTCAGAGAGGGATTTTCTTTTATTTCAAATCAAACATCACCAACCTATTTCCTCTGGTTTCAAAGTCATCCCCTTTTTGAACTATGTTTCTGATTTTACAATCTGTTGTGGATTACATATTTATTGTGGAATGATGGCTGTGTGTTGAAGTGTGTGGCAGTCCATCTGCCTCAGCATGCCGTAGTCATCCACATGGATGCGTCTGCACTGTCCCATGCGACTGAAAGGTTCTGCTGTTGCAGTAATTGGCTCTGTTCAATGATTGCAGATAGAAGTAAGATGTCATACACCAATATACATGGATTAATGTTAATATCTTGGACATCAGTGCAGAGTTGCTCTTTGTATTTTTTCCACCCTTACTCAAGAAATAAAATCCTGGGAGAAACTCTGTGTTGAGTGTGATAGTTTTGACTGTCATCTCAAGGAATGAAGACTGTGACTTGTGTTGAAAAAGCTAGTAAGTGGGCCTTGAGTCAAGAGGGATGTTTATTTATTTTCTTAATTATGTACATCAAGCATTACCGTAAAGGGAAGGATGGCCACCATGAAATTTAGTCGTGACCATTGAAGGTCACTGTGTTACGTTGTCAAATGATTCATAATGCTTTTAAATTGTTGTACTTTTCCCAAACAATGAAAGTATGATGAGGTTCATGTGGATAGTATCAATAGTTCAGCACAACAAAATAAAATTGTGAAAGTTAATATTCAATATTTAATTCTTCACATACCTCAAAAAATCCCGTACTTTACGGTGAATAACTATGGGTGGAAAAATTAACCAAAAAATTCAAAAGTTGGAGGAACTCTTTCGCACTCACTCATCACTCATGATTTGTAACAAGGTCATAAGGCACACCTTCAATGAATGACCTATTTTAGAACATTTTTCATATATAGGGCGCACCGGATTATAAGGCGCATAAGATACTGCAGTCAAACGTTATACAGTACTTATGTACATGTTATGTTTTTGTTTATTTTTAACAGATTTGCAAAAAACAGTTTTCACTTTGTCATTATGGGTTGTTGTGTGTAGAATGTTGAGGAAAATAATGAATTTAATCCATTTTGGAATAAGGCTGTAACATAACAAAATGTGGAAAAAGTGAAGCGCTGTGAATACTTTCCGGATGCACTGTATACAATAAGCTATGTAGGCAGACGACATAAATTATACATCAAGCTAGTTGACATCTGTCGCACTCAGATACATATTTACCTGGACACTAATTCCGTTGAACTTAACGATCTGAAGACGTAACTGTTTTTTTTTTTTAATTTGTGGAGAAAGTATTCTAAATACAAAATGACTCCCTTCTAAAGTATTTTGTTACAAATTACTTTTGATGTTTTAATTGGCCCTGTAACATACAAATAACAAAATACTCAAGTAATTGAAATACGTATTTAAAATACAGGTAAAATAAATCTCTTGTGTACCAGGCATGAGAAGACAAATTTATTAGCATTGATCTGTACAGAAAACAACACACAAGCGGTGTTCTGTTGTGCACTTCTCCTAAACCCTCACTATACAAAACTCCATTGTGTCGGAACATAATCTTACTAAATCTAACAAATATTAGGAAAACAGTTAATTCGAAGTTCACTTCTAAATGTGCAATGAAACAAACCGCGCCACAAGTAAATGGGTGCAAGGAATTGAGAGACTGGACAAAAGACAAAACAAACAACACAAGTTGTCTCTTCTTACCCTTCACAATAATGCAAAGTACACATTACACAAATAAATACCGCTATCCAAAATACCGCGTCAGCATTACTGACACAGGGGACACTTGGGGAAGGTGGTGCTTTCTGTCATTACTAGCCCATGTGCTCCCTGTATCTTATTTCCCTTGCTAAAGAAAACAAACATGTTCTAGCTGATGTCAACGACACTCAAAGAAACAGTATAACAGCAGTAGGAATATTAGTTTTCCAAGAATCAAGGCTGAGTAGCTCCAGATAAATGTTCAAGCCTTTTCTTCTCTGGTGTCTCATGAGCAACTGCCCTGTATTTGTGAGGCAATTATCTACAGAACACTTGTGTTGAACGACTATCGTGTGATGGTTTTGCCTGTTTACTTGCCTAGAGACTACAAATTGAGATTATTAAGTAGACATAGCTAAATCTTATACAAAGTAAAGCAAGGGTTTTAAAAAGATTAGACCATGTTTGCAATAAATAAATAAAAATATTAACAAGCTTTAGGCTATTTACAACAACTGATAATGGTAATAAACAAGACACAAGAATAAAAGGAGGTTGGTCAGTTTCTTTCATGGTTTCTAATGTTATCTGTGTAACTATATTTAATAAGTAGTAACTCCTTCGGATTTCTAAACCCTAGTTTATGCTTCTGCGTTTTGAGAGAGACGCAAGGAAACGCGGACACAAGAGCTCCTTGCGTGCCTCCCGCAGCGCACAAGGCTGCGATTGGTCCGCTAACTGCATCCTTTACGGAGTCTCACATTTCCGTTTTCAGCACAATACCGCCATTATTATAACGAAGAATGTTTTCAAGAACTTTTGTCGGAAGGAATGTGTAAATATGACCACTTCTACAAGCCGTCATTGGCGGACTATGAGGACGCGCGGATGGCTTCTGACTCATGGAGGGAGAGCTCCACAAACGCCGGTTTGTCGGTCGAGGGGAACAAAGTTGTGGACAAATGTGTCCGCGATGAAAAGCAACAGTGGCGATGCACGGGGAAATAAAGTCTATGATAAATAAATAAACCAACCAACGATGTTCACACACAAAGACGTGACTCTCTAGGTCGTCTTCAACAAAACACGTTACTCCACCTGTTGTTCTGGCGGTGAATTGCTCTGCAACACACGCAAGACTTTTAGACCCATGAATTGAAACGGGTGCGTCGACACGACGGTGCATAAAGACGCAGACGCAGAAGCATGCGCCCGCCAACAGTGGAAAGAAGCATTCACAATATGACCACAGGCAGCAGTAGTGGCGTATGAAATGCGTGCTCGTTCACGTCGTTCCGCAACGCACGTTCACGTGGACGACGTGCCTACTGCGTCATTTGAGCGCCGCTTCGCTACCGATGCACTTTTTTCCCCCAAAAGCCCAAAGATAGATGTTCCGATTTCAGGTGAGTATTGTTCCACAAGACAAATATGCCCTCTTCCAGCACAAAATTATATATATTTGAAAGACAGTTGGGTACTAATTTACAGACTATACGAGACGTGGAGAGACAGGGTTTCTATTGTTTATGCGACTAGCTAACGTTACTAAATTCAACGAGGTCGGCGGCCTGTGAAGCAGCCCGCTTGCTTGGTCACATGAGTTAGGAGGAAGGTGAGCGAAGGATACGCTTATTGTTAAGTAAATAATAAACCTCCATAAAAAGGCAAATGTGTGCTAGTTATAAGCTCGGTCGAAACCGTAATGCATTCATTATTTATTGGGTAGTGGGACCAGTTTTCCATCGACGTGGGTCCTGCGTGATGTAACATCAGCGTTAGCATGGTTGCTAACCAGTTGTATTGCTAACGTTGTGTATAGGGTGTACCGGAGAAGACGTCCTGGGTAATATGTATTCGTGTAATCCGTAAGAATGAGATACTAGCTGGCATATATAACGTGAGATAAATGTCTCTTAACAGTCTAAGGCTGCGGGGTTTTGAAAGTGACGAACCTTGCTTGGTCACAGCTGACCTGGCCAACTACTGAACGGGTTATTCGCCTAACGTTAACTTGATAATGTAGTTTTACGCAGTCACCGCTATACAGTGTTGACGTACAACTTACTATAGTTACAACTGAGGTACAACTTAAGTTAGTGTAATATGACTGGTGTTTAGTCCATCTGAATTCTCACTCTGCTCAATTTTCTCTTGTACCAAATTGCTGTATTCCACAATGTTGTAAATTTAGCTTTTAATCAAACCAGGTCTGTAAGAAGTACATTCATGTAGGAACTCTCTTACCATATATATTTCATTTGCCCTGTTACTTGTCCCTTTATCGTTGTTCCCTGGTGTCTTTGCAGTCCCTGGATGAAGACTGTACGTTGGAGGAAGAAGACGAGGGACTGGTAGAAGATGAAGATGAAATTGATCAGTTCAATGATGACACCTTCGGTGCTGGGGCCATCGGCAAGTCATGCATTACCACTCCTATACCTATTTATAATCACTCAATTTCAGTGCAGTGCAGTTTCAAGAAAAGGCTCAAAGAAAAGTTACACTTAAACATGTTTCAAATATATGAAAATGAAACTAATTATTTGTTCACACAGTAAAAAGCAAGAGGTTTTGACTAACTATATGCTGTTCATAGGGTGTTTAGGGTGTTTGTATTTTTTCCTTGTGTATGTACTAAAGCCAAATTGTTTGAAAGTGTTTGTCTTGTGATAAACACACACATAACCACACATGCAAAAACATTTTGTAAACACAGCATTGCATACATTCCATGTCATGGCCTAACATAACACCAGTATACTGCCCACCCCAAGTAGAGGGCTGTTAAAATGTCTGGTTGGTCGGTCAATTACTGGGATTGTTAAACAGTAACCCCCTAGTCCCCCCCCCCCCCCAAAAAATAAATAAATAGTCCTTTAGAACTAACTCAAAATTGCATTGGAGAGTATTAATCTGCATAAAACAACCACAGTTGTGCCCCTCACTTCTTCCAGATGACGACTGGCAGGAAGAACACAAGCGCCTCGCTGGGCTTGAAGACAAGGACGGGCTTGGCGCGGAGCTGGCTTTGGGAGGAGGGGGAATGGGAGGAGAATCTGATTTAGGCGCAGCTCAGACCTCAACCTCCACCCATCTCCATTCAGCAGGCCATGCCCCCCTTTCTTCACTGAAGTTCTCCTTGTCTTCCTCTGAACTGCCTTCAGGTTAGTGATGCAATTAGAGGACTGCTGGAAGCCGCGACATTTGACTTAACTCAGGATTCCTCTTCAGTTTCTGTGTAATCTGGACTACTCCCTAATGCGCTGGATATTTTGGTGGCTTAAGATAATCTCTTAATTAAGTACGGTAGTGGTATGATGTTTAAAAGTTTAAAATCTGGTTTAGCAGCATTTCAAATTTATTGGTAGTTGAACGCAATGCTTGTCAAAGATTCCTCCCTTACGGATTGTTTAATATATTATTTGTATAGAAATAATATATCTTGAATAATATATATATATATACACCTGGTTGGAAAATCCTAAAGGCTGGCGCATGCTTCTGTGTCTGCATCTTTACACAACGTTGTGTCGGCGCAGTCGTTTAAATTCATGGTTCAAAAAGTCTTGCGTGTGTTGCAGAGCAATTCACCGCCAGAACAACAGGTGGAGTAACATGTTTTTGTCGAAGACGACCCAGAGAGTCAGGGTTTTGTGTGTGGAAGTCGTTGGTTTGTTTATTTATTTATCATAGACTTTATTGCCTGGGCTGCAGGAGGCACGCAAGGGGCTTTTACGTCTGCGTGTCCTTGCGTCGCTCTGCAAACGCAGAAGCTTAAACTAGGCTTAAGGAAACAATTTTTTCAGATGTAGATGATCGAGGGGGAGGGGACTTGGCTGAGTCCCTCGCCAGACTCATTCTGGAGGCTGACCCGGCCATCGCAGGGGTCGGAGCAGCTGAGAGACCTGGTCCGTCCCCCAGCTCTTCACGTTCCAGCCTTTCTGCTCTACAAGGCTTGAATCGCCCCGGAGTCCCGGCCCAGCCCTCCTCCATCCCTCATCCCATTCAACCGCACCAGCATCCCCAGCACCCCCAGCACGAGCTACCTCCTGGGCCCTCTGCTTCAGGTGAGAATGAATGCAATAATTTTTTGTATTGCTAACTTCGATTACCAATTTCTGTGTGTGTTATGTGCTATTTGTAAGATCTGCCCTGAAACATGAACATTGAGTATTACCAACAGAATGTGAATAGGTTACTGTGTTTTTGAAAAGCTGCCCACTATTTGTTTAGAGCATGTGGCCAGATATATTTTATGTGGATGTCTAAGCAGTGCTTGCTGTGAATAGTCTGTAGTACTGACGGAAATCTGATTTGGCTAGTTGAACTATGAACTACTGCTCCAAGTCTATTCTCGTTCTACACTTAACATGGTGATCCCTGAAGACAGTCCTGGAGTTGGACAGGGCCCGACTATCTCTGCCCTCTCAAGGCTTTGGCAGCCTTTCCACATGCCTGCCTTTTTTCGGGAGACTTTGATCACTCTTATATCAAACAGGCTGTTCTTTAAACAGTTCAAACCACACTATATTCTCTCTAGATCTCAGTATGCCAAAGTCATATATGTGAGTTTTAAATATTTTGAAATATCTTCTGATTTAAATATTCTCAACTTTTACCTTGAGATTGTTTACATAGGTGAAACTGTTTGATGTCAAGCTTCATAGTGTCTTGGAATTATTCTGTGTAGGTACACAGAATAATACCAAGTAGGCAGGTGCATGTCATTCACGAATGGATATTATTAAGACTAATAATAATATTAAAATCTGTTGTCCTTTGCTACTCAGGCCTTCCTCCTGGCCCTCCGCTCTCGTCAATGCTCAGCTACCAACAACAGCAGCATTTACTGCGCAGAGGGACTGCTCCGATGGCCCAGGTTAGCTTTCAATGTTTGTTTTTCGTGAGTAGTATGCTTTATTAACATATTAATTGGGGACCGATGGTTCATATGTTTTCACAATTCACTAATCAGGAGCTTCTTCTCTGGATTTAAAGTGGAGTTAAAGCTGTGAAATTTATTTTGTGCAACATTCATTTAGAGTTTGTTTCTTTTCATTCATCTGAAATTTTATTTCATTTCATTTGAAAATATATTTTCTCTCATTTACATCTAGATGAACTCTCACAGTATCTGGGAGAACAGTATGGGTTTTGGGCCTGTCAGTGTCACTCCTGGACTGGTTACACACATGGAGGTGAGAGACACTCAGTCTTCTGCTGATCACGCACGTCTATTACAGCATGTCTAAAAACATAGATTCAAATTAATCTAATTAACACCTCACCAATGAATGTATTAAATCTCCGTTTATATCGCCTCCGATTCCTCCCTCCCTCTTGGTGTCCCTCTCCTCTTTCATGACTGGTAACTTCAGATGTCCACCTGACAGTTTCCCGACTTTACCAGCCAGTCTAGCATGATTACATTACAGTACTGACTATACCCCATTCAAGAAATATAATTTCAGAAATATATACGTTCACTTTGGAAATGGCTCAAGTAAACTGTTGATATTGATTTAATATATGTGCCGTTATGTATGTTAAAAATATTTTATTCACCCTTTTTGTCCTCAGGATAGTCCTCTAATGTCTATAATTAAAGAGGTGGGCCTTCCAAAAAGACCTCCTCAGTCTAGGAATGATGAAGTACGGGACTTGTCAGAGAGGGTACCACCCCCACGCTCTTCTTCTCCTGTGATTGGGTCCCCGCCGGTGAGGGCAGTGCCTATTGGAACCCCGCCCAAACAGCCAATGAGCCATGCTCTAAATCATCAGGTGAATAATCCTAAATCTCAGGTCTTAAGAAAGGGCCTGATTATTATCACTGTCTGTCAATCTCGAAGAATATTTTCCTTTGTTGAAGGTAACAATAAAAAGTTTGGCAATATTATGTTGGTGTTTCTTGATCAGTTTTCCACATGTTTAGGTATCTTGCAGTCACACATTTGTTGTATATACTTAACATGTAGTTGACTTTGTCACTGTTAACTCTGTCGTGTGTGTGTGTGTGTGTGTGTGTGTGTGTGTGTGTAGATTCACCATCCCACGGCGGTTCATGTGAGAGCCCCGGTCCAGCACAGATACCCTCCTCCTTTCCCTGAGCGTGTGTCACCCAACACCCTCCTCAATATAGCTGTGAGTTTTTCCCTCAGCGCAATCCTTCCCTTGGTTCCTTGGTTTTTCAACTTTATATACACATTACATCAAAGAATTCTTTTGAGTTCTAGGGTTCCTTTTAATTGGAAGGGCACAACTCAAGAAATCTGTGTTTCTCTGAATTTATTCATGAGCAGCTTGAACATTGAATCTCTAAATTAAAGATGCTAATTAAGAATATTTATTTTTGTACCCATTATTTCAATTCAGTGAATTTTTTGAATTCTGTACACATGCAACAAAACCCCCAAGCCAAAAAAGGAAAAACCGTTTGATGAGAGAAAAAGGGTAAGAAACTTCGAACAGCAGAGGTGGATCTTTCTCCTTGAATGTAAAGAATGCAATAGATGTCATGTGTACAGAATGGATAGCCTAGAATATGTACTTTCAATTCATACAACAGAAATTATTCAAAATATTAAGAGTAGCAGGACAGGTGTACAGTAGGATTACCATCAGATATAATCAGACATCCACAGAAACCTGCGGGGAGGGAAAGCACAAAAATAATAATATACGTGGTTTAGCTCTTCCAATTTAACTCTTGGTAAATTGGCAAATAATTGTTTCTTTTTAAAAAGGAGTAGACGAGAGGAACAAACCAATGTCAATTTTCATTATTTAGTGTTATGACGTTTATTTGGATTTTTTGTTCAGAACTCTCCGCTGTGTCGTGGTCCGTTCCCGCCCGGAGTTGGTACAGTCCTGTCTCAGATTCAACATGCTCAGCTGCTCAACTCTCAGGTTGGTATCATACACACAGTCCCTTTTAAATTGCTGCATACGACTCCTGGTTTCTTAATTAAGTGTTATAATTTGATACCCTGGGATGAGAGCAATATGGTTGTTAATGTAATCTAGAGAACCAAAATTATGGGGCAAGGAAAGTATTATTCTTTATTATAATAACTCCTCATTGCTCTAGGAACCAGGAAACACACTTATACCAAAAGGGGAAAAGCAGATCCTTTTAGTACAAATTGTCTCATTAGCTAGTTAATAACCCTAGGTTTGATAAGAGTTGATATTGTGTAAACCTGCTGAACCAGTGATGGGTGTAGAATCTGCTTCTCAAAGTAATACTGACACAGCAGCCCCAATGTTTTCAATAATTCCCTCCTTAACCATGTGAATTATTCTCTCACAGTGAGTAAGTTACTTGGTCTGTCTCTGCAGGTGGCTGGTTTTCCTCGCGGTGGACCTGGGCCTCCTTTGTTACCTGTTGGTAGTGGTTTCAGGCCATTCTTCGGGGGGCCCCCTCCTCCACTTGGTCACAGAATGGGCCCGCCCCCTCACGGCCACCTCAACCACACGCCACCCATCCGGCATAACACCACCCACCTTCACCCCCAGCACCGCCGGATGCTCACACAGCGCATGCAGAGCCGGGGAGGGTAAGCGAGTTTGTGTTCATACAGTACATGTTAGCAATGACTAACATGTACTACAAACAAAGACACACTTGAGCAGGTTACAGATTAAGATCATACTCTCAACAAAAAGGCAGCTTTTGCTTTTAGTTACATTCCAAAGGCCACTGCTTAGACCGTGTCCTTCTGTCTCTTTGCCTCCTTTTCAGGGACCGCGGCAGGACTGGAGGGGACCGGCGAAGCAGGGACCCCTACAGTAACCTAATGACTCAGAAAGAGAAGGAATGGGTAACCAAGATCCAGATGATGCAGCTGCAAAGTACTGACCCTTATCTGGACGACTACTACTACCAGGTTGGTTTTTAGATTCACCAGTAACCCTGTTCTTAACATTCATTGTAGGAGAGCTTAAAATATCTAATTATCAATTACAAATACACACTACGCACATCGGTCGTATTGATGGTTTTCTTCTTTGCCCTAACGATGAATTTATTGTATTTATATATTTTATAATCAACAAAAAATTGCTATACTATGAGTTTTATTTTTTGCATTGAATTACTGAAATAAATACATTTTCAATAATATTTTAATTTATTAAGATGCACCTGGTTTCCGTTTGCTAAATACAGCAGAGTTGAGGGCGACTGAGCTTTAACAGCCGAATATTTATACAATCTGACCGCCAACAACTGGCTTTTAAGACGGCAGACGCTCAGATCTCTGGTCCAATGAAGGTAAAAATGTTAAGGCTGGCGCATGCTTCTGCATCTGCGTCTTGTCTTGTGTCGACGCACTCGTTTCAATTCATGGTTCCAAAAGGCTTGCGTGTGTTGCAAAGCAATTCACCGCCAGAACAACAGGTGGAGTACTGTTTTTTGTCCAAGACGACCTAGAGAGTGATGTCTTTGTGGGTGGAAGTTGTTGGTTTGTTTGTTTATATATCAGACTTTATTGCCCTGCGCATCGCCACAGCTGCTTTTCATCGCCTTTTCTCCGTGGATATTAGGGGTGTAACGATTCCTTTTAACAACGATTCGATTCAAATCGCGATTCATGCTTGCCGATTTGATTCATGGACGATCTGGGTTAATTTAGAACGATTCGATTCCGTGAGATGCAAACACACATCCATACCGTTTTTGTGCTTAAATCCAATGTGCAGTTTCCAAGTATCGATACAATCGATTATGTACCATTTCAATCGATTTGTAATCGATGTATGTCGTCCGAAATGCCCATTTGCGGAGCACAGATCGATTCAGTTGGATCGCAGGAATATTAATCAATTCAGTGAATGAATCGTTACACCCCTAGTGGATATATTTGTCCCATATTTTCCTCCACGTATTTTTCTCCACAAACCAACATTTGTGGAGATCTCCCTCCATGAATTGGAGGCCATCCGCGCGTCCTTATAGTCCGCCAATGACGGGTTGTATAAGTGGTCATATTAACGGATTTCTTCCGACAAAAGCTCTTCAATCTGATCCGTTCTCTCGTAAAAAATCTCTGTTCTAATAATGCGATATTGTGCTATTGTGAGACTCCGGTAAGGATGTAGTTAGCAGACCAATCACAGCCTTGCGGGCTGCGTGAGCCTTGCGTAGCTTTTGACCCTAGTCTAGAAAAATGGTCGACGCACGGAAGAAGGGGTGAAAAGGCACCTATTAATTACACAGGTACTGACAAAATGTTTTATTTTAGTTTAAAGTTGGCTAGAGATAGCCTGAACACATGCATATCAGTCCGATATCATTAAAATAATTAGGTTCCCAGAAAGCCTCAAATCAAAGAATTAATCGGTTTCCTGTTATAGTATATTCCATAAATGTAATTTGTGTATACGCTTTGTTGAGTTTAAAAAAAACCAAGTTGTGTCCTGTCGATCCATTTAGCATTTAGCTCTCTTTGATTTGGGTTATTTGAATGAGTTTACCAAGTATGTATGTAAAGGTGCACTCAAAACATGATACTCATGATGATAGTATACATGGTACTCTTGTTACGGACACAGCGATTCTAAACGACCAAACTAAAGCTACATTTGTGGAATCATTTGGAAAAGCGCCTGGACTGGTAATAAAGCTCTATGTGGGACATCTGTTGCTCCATGATCTTGTCATTGTAACGGCACACTTTATCACTGTATGTAGAGTTTTACCACGTGTTACAGAAAGTGTTATTTTTGTACCAGATCTTTGTCTTATCGCCTAATGGAGGACTTTTTTTAAATTAGTCAATAAGGGAAGCTTGTTATTCACATGAGCGGGCTGACATCTGTGGTTTTACTACGAGGATGCTGCTACAGGTCCAATTGTATTTCTATTGTCGTTGGTTCTCTCTGTAATGTCAAAAATTTGTTCCTCTAGTTGATAAATTGTGTAACTGATATTGCGTGAAAACAAGATAATGATGCTTGCGTTGCACATGTAGAATTACTATGAAAAGATGGAGAAACGTCAAGACAGAGAGAGTGACAGCAGCAAGAAGGAATACACGACCAAACTGATAACTCCACAGGTCGCCAAGGTTGAACACACCTACAGACCAGGTAAAGGACAATGGAATACATGCAGTGTTATCAATAGTATGTGATACCGGAGACTTCTAATGAATGCGTTTGTCAACAGTTCAGTTTGCAGGCTCTCTTGGGAAGCTGACCGTCTCCAGCGTCAACAACCCTCGCAAGATGATTGATGCTGTGGTGACAACCCGCACAGATGACGAGGTCTGTTTTTAGGATTTATTATTTGACTTTTTAATAGTGTTCTTGTTTTGTTAGACATTAATCCAACAGCATTAATTCCTCAAGTCCCATATTCCTATAATGTACAGTAGAGGCATAGGGTAGGACAAAGCTTCTTCACAGTAATAGACAGGATCCATTGTCTCTAACTGTCTAACTCTAACTGCAGGAGGACAGTTTGCTACTTACTTTGCTATCTAGGAAGATGGGGGAGAAATCCATACAAGTATAGAGGGTTGTGGAGTCCGCTGCACAGTGACTGATTCTTAGTTGGGAAGTTAAGGGTTACACCAAGACAATATTTGACTGCTTCTGCATGTTAGTCTTCTTCTGCAATATGTCATTTTGCAACTTTTTTGTAAATTGGACATAAATTAAGCAGTTGAAACAGGAGCCTCTGTTTAGATCAGCCTTTTACAAAGAACAAAACATTAGGAACAAATATCAGCTGATAATGAATGCTGGCTAATTGACCAGAGCACCCCTAACCCGATCAAAATATGTGATGTGTTACATCACTTTGAGCGTTTGTCTTTATAATTAATCCGTTACTTATCGGTAAATAGGTGTCAGGCTATGGAAACATGATAAACAAACTAAAATAGTTTGTGACTAATCTGTTTTATATTGGCTGGTGAAAGCAAGAGATGCACAGGGGCTTATTATCTATCAATCCATCAATGGAAGTGCTGACAAATTTGAAAAATGCAATCTAGTGTTTGATTCTTTACCCAGATTCTTGTGTATTATTTTAAAGAACAAATGATAATACAATTTCAATTTGAAGTCTTTATTGGTTTTTCTCTCTGTCTACCTGCAGGAGAAAAGAGAGAAGCAGGTGTGGAACAAGAGGCGACAGATCCTCTACACTGTGGAGAAGGTAGGACGTTGATGGCTGTTCAAACTGCACAAACATTAAAGAAACAATTTAATTATAATTGATTCAAACAATTTAATTATGATTGATTCAAACAATTTAATTATGATTGATTCATCATTCTGGCAGATGAATCATACGCATTGATGTTACTTGTGTAAGGGATCCTAAAACCCAGTTGGGATTAAAGTCAAAGATTCGCACAAAAGAAGAAAAGCATAACTTTTACAGTATTTTGATACTAATTGATGATCCGTATTTTGTTTGGTTATACAGCTAGGATACAAGGCAAAAATAGTTTTAACTCCTCTGAAGTCAGTAAATTGTTAGTAATTTATAGTTTTTCTTTATGAAAACACAATTCCTAAAAAAATGAACAGAGTTCACGTGCATGCCTAACGCCCATGGGGGATTCATACAGATCATGGATAGAAAAGGGTTCGGTACACCACTAATTTATTTTTGTATTATGTGTCCTCATTGTCATAATTTGAGCAGCCCTTACATAACCTTTCGTTTAGCTGATGGTTTTATCCAAAGCGACTGATAGTAAGATTTACCCATAAATCCTTATACTTTGATCTCCATGTGGTTCCCCCATATTTACCTAATGTTGTTGGTCCACTGGCAGTTATTTGGAATTTGGGACAGGATTTATGCCATTTTCCCGGAGGATTCCCAACAAATATTAGGTACTTCCATCTCAAATAAAAATGGAATTTTTCTTTAGATGCTGTTAGCATTACAGAAACTTGTTTCCTATCTAAAATCAAATGTGTTATAGAAGGATTTCTGTAATGAGCACCGTGATCCTATGTCCGTCTGAGTTACGCCTTTCTATTCCTCTTCGTCTACTTCTGTCCAACAGATGTACAGTATGCTGTTGGAGGTTCAAGACTTTGAAAAACGTTTTGTACAGGCGCCAGAGGAGGACAGGGAGGCTCTTCTGGAGCGGCATAAAACCAACACCACACAGTTGTGCAACTCTCTGCGGGAGAAGGAGTGGGACAACAGGTTAGCTGGTGCGGTAGATCAAATAGACACATAGGAATAACTACAAGAGCAAGCCATATTCCTACACACACTCCTGCAGCCGCATGTAGTTCAGCAGTGTATTTTTTTATATATATTTATTAGGGCTCTCAATAATGAAAAAAAAGAAAAAAGAAATCCTCAATTAACCTTGATTTATGGCAATTAATGAATGTTGTTGTTACTATGTTGCTTTTTAATGAATGTTTGTCTTCTAAAGACTAAATCTTAAAAAATAATGAATAATCACAAAGTTTTTATTTTATACACTTGTTTAATTGTACTTTTTGTAGGGCTGCAACTAACGATTAATTTGATAATCGATTATTTCTTTGATTTAATCGATGAATCGGATAAAAAAACAGCATTAAAAAGCTTTAATTTCCAACCCTTTATTCTAAAACAGAACTGCAAATTCACCTGCAAAAATACTTCAGAAAGTACAGGTTGCTCCTTGAACTAAAGAAAAATACAAATCAGAAAATTTAACAGGATTTGTTTTAATGTCAGAACTTGTTCTCTATACTACACACTCCGAAACACACGCCCATGTTCACTTGAAGCTTATTCATTAAATTATTACCATCATTGAAGCGGAAGTTAAATAAATGTATACGCCCCATCTAAGTACAGCTAAGAAATAACCAAGTGCTATGAGATGAATTTAAAATGGTATTTTTAAATAAATGCATTAGAGGCTTCTTAGTTAGCCGTGCTGATTTAATGATGGGTATGGGTTCTTCTTTACTGGCTCCCAAAACGTCAGCACCTCACAACCTCTCTGGTTCCGCTCTGGCTTCCACTGAACATTATATGTTGAATAACCTACAACAAACACTCTTTAAAAGGGTAAAACACCACGACACAAAATCTTGTGTCGTGGTGTTTTTACTGTGGTGTTTTATTGTGACACATAAACAATTTGTAACACTAATAACTGTACATTTATAAAATTACATCACCAAACTGCATGCTGGGTACAGCTTGCCCATTATCACAACAAGAAGAATCTGTCACATAAAACACAAAAAAGAGCTTTACAGGAGCAAAAACAATAGACCAGAGATGCACCAACACAACTTTCCCAAGAGAGGAGCGGTGTCTGTTTGCAAGGTTTTTGGTTTTCAAAATCCAACGTGCGTTAGATCAGAAAACGAATTAATGTGTTTACTTGAAAACAGAAATACCGGGATACCGTCCGAATCTAGCAAAATACCGTGATATTAATTTGTGTGTGTGTGTGTGTGTGTGTGGGTGTGTGTGTGTGTGCTAATCATTTTCTCTTCCTCTTTAATAAGAGTGAATGATGAGCAGTGTGTGATGATCATGTCAGTGAGGAAGGGCAAGCGGCTCATCTCCAGGCTCCTCCCCTTCCTGCCCTCACCGCAGGCCGCCGCCGTTGTCATGGCGATTTCCCGTAATCTCCCTGCCCTGGCCAAGAAGGACAAGCAGGACCAGGTAACTGGTGCAACATCATTTTTATACACCGTTCCAGTGGAACTGTGACTAGAAGTTATTTTGCTACTTGCTTATATATGTAAGTGTGTACATTTATTTATTTAGTTCCTAGTATATTTAGTTATTGTGGTTCTTTTTTTGCAACCTTTTCTTTTCTTTTGTATATTATTATTATATTTTACCTACTTATTACTGCTGCTCTTGTATTGTTTCTGGAATTGAAGTAGTGTAATAAGCTTCCTGCTACCAGCAGCTGGCTTTATTCTCTGCCTTTGCTTTTCCGTTCAGGTGCTGTGCTGGTTAGTTGAACCGGTTTCTGCAGTGATCCAGTCATTGTCAAGCTCCACCCTTACAGACTTGCTCCAGGAGCTTCAGGGCAGTGAGGGCCAGCTGGCTACAGTACTGCACAACAAGGTACAGACACAATCACCACATCAATCATCTAAAATACAAAGTAAGTCATTAATGGAGAAAAGATGAGAGCGAGTTGATCCTCTAGTCAAACTGATAACTGATAACCTTTTCGCTACAATATCAAGAGCACTGATATTGACCACTGATTTGAACACTGCACTGTAGTTCAGCAAATTGTGCATACTGATGCCTGCTCAGTCCAATCCTAAAATAGCTTCAGAGTTTGATGTTAGAGAATACAAGTACTGTGAGAGTATCATCATGATACATGATCTCAAAGGACAAGGCTGTCAATCTTATATATTTTCCAATTGACAACCATTGCCATTGAGAGACTAACTCCAGCAATGAATCTACTGACAGGACTCCGATTGTAAATCTATGGCTATCCAGAAACTATCACACACATCAACCGTTGCCCTGGGTGACATGTTCCTTCATTACTGTACTGCTGTAGTAATCGGTGGTCAGGAATTTACGTAGTGCCAATAATTATGACAAAATGAAAGTGTGTAGAACCACACACAAGCCAATCCTCCCAGCAAACATTAATCAGTGAGGTAACAAAGAGATCAAAGATAAGCTGGAGGAGCACTGAGCTCCACAATGGAGATGGAGTAAATGAGGTGAATCAACATCCACTCACCATTTTATTTTAGATATATTGTTTCGTTACTCCAGCAATGTCACCTGTTTTATGAATGTCTATTAGGGAAAATCCATATACGGATCCACTTTATTTACAGGTTATAATGCAAACGCCTTTGTTTGTGTGTGTGTTTTAGTTTGGTGTGACACTGCTCTATCTGATCCTGAGTGAAGGAGAGAGGATGCAAAGCACTGATCCGAACTGTCAACTCATGGACGACAATCGATGGTAAGCTGCTGGTGTGTCGCTCACATCCTACACTCCTCCCAAAATGGTTCTGTTCCTTGAGACAAAACGTCTCGAGTCTCTTCTCCTCTTCACACTTTGTTTTCCTCTTCTTCCAACCACAAACCTTCTGTCCAGGACTGAGTTGGTGTTTTCAGTGACGAGGGAGTTGCTCAGCGTCCCCAGCTCATCGCTCTCCCCCCCCCTCTTCATGCCTCCTAACCTGCTCTCTCTCTTCTCCCGCTACGTCGATCGCCAGAGGCTGGATCTGTTACAGGACAAGCTACAGTGAGTTCCATGGACAAACACTAAAAGGTGCAGCATTCACTGTTGTGTTCTAAATGGTTTTCATGTGTTTATTTAGGAGCAAACCGCCACTTGAATTAACCTGTTACATTAACACAATGTGCACAGACAGTATGCAAATACAATGTGTTCTTTGCCCTCACAGGATCACTTCGTCCAGTTAGAAGTTACAACTGCTATCAACACAACTCACTCCCTACCGGATGCAGACCTTTCTTTTTGTGTGTTGTATGTATGTGTGTGTTTATGTGCGTGTGTGTGCATGTGCTTTGGAGGTGAATCCCTCGTGGATTGAATTTTAATACCGCAGAATCTCTCGTCCCTTGTTTTTCTTTGTCTTTAGTCTCCGGACTGTCTGTGTGAGTGTCTGTCTGTCTGAGTGAATGAGTGACTGCGCATGAGGAACAGACTGGCGATTATAATGAAATCATTTTTAAATATCTTGTTTACGATTATGCCTGTGATGAAACTTCAAATTAAAAAGTATTTCTATTTGTATTGTTTCAGTCCAATCTTACAGTGCTAGGACCAAACATTAAGTGCTTCCCGTTCTTGTCATACTCATCATGGACAGTTCTGGGGGGGAAAATATCCATAAATGTCTTTTCTTTTATTCCACCGCTGCCACTATGAGCACTGAGTGATTGCATACAGTAGTTTGTTTTGAGAGATGAGCAGCTGTCTACAGAGGTCTGTTTAGCTCACTACTTTTCCACTTTTTACCCCAGATTTTTTCATTTTGAAACCATGTTCAGAACCAAAAGAAGCTGAATCAAGATCTTCTACAAGCAACAAATGCATTTGGTCGACATAACTCTGTCGAGGGTTCATGAAGATGTATGTTAAAAAGTTGGTGTCTGGTGAGCCTACCTGGATTAGCCATCAAAATATTCCATTACTACTACTATTATTATTATTATTATTATTAGTGATATTATGATTTCAATTGTTCTAAATACCCTGATGTTTTCTAATAAGCATCAGTTGAAAACATTTTTCATTTTTCAAAATTGATTGCATCTTATAGGGACCTGACTCGATAAAGATGTAAAGAAAACAAAGATACATAAATTTAATGGAAATAAAAGAGTGAATCTTGTCAATACTCATAGTACATCATCCATCTTCAAAGCTGCTTATCCTTCATATGGGGGGCTGGAGTCAATCCCAGTAACTTCTTTAGTAAATGGGTTACCAGTTTATTTTGTCTGACACTGAAGGCTACGTCATCGCACCACTGGAGGGGGCCGAAACATGACGTTATGAAAATTAGTTTAAGGATTTGTAGTGTTGACAATATTACAGCGCACCGGACATGCCGATCAGCATCAGAGAGTACAGGGGAGTCAATATAATGTGTTCAAATCTTTTGTTATGCTCACAGTGACTGAATTGGGATTGAGAGGAGGTAGTGAACGGAAGTGAAATACTTAAATCTCCAGGCTTCTGTAGATTAGATTAGATTCAACTTTATTGTCATTGCACAGAGTGCAAGTACTGAGGCAACGAAATGCAGTTTAGCATCCAACCAGAAGTGCAAAAAGTGCAGAGTATGTGCATATGTAAAGTGTATATGTGAATAAATAGATATGTACAGTAAGAAATAGATATGCGATATGAACAGTAAGAAATGGATATGCAATATGAACAGTAATTGGGACAAGAATAGCAGCAATTGAGGTAAGAAGTGTAGGTATGATAAGTATATGTAAAGTGGAGGTGTAAGTATTAGTGGTGGTAATAAGTGAGATGAAGTGAAAGGGGTATTAGTAATATTATATTTAAGAGGTATGTAGGTATAAGTACGATTAATACAGTAATAAGTGGTAGAAAAAAACATTCTGGTGCAAATGTTCAGTGGCTGGAGGAGGGTGTGTGGCAGTCAAGCCAGGGTGGAAGTACAGTCACTGAGGGAGATGTGTGGGGGTGGGGGGGGCAGAGTTCAGTAGAATGACAGCCGCAGGGATGAAGCTGTTCCTGAACCTGCTGGTCCGGGAACGGAGCACCCTGTAGCGCCTCCCAGAGGGGAGAAGGGCAAACAGTCTGTGGCTGGGGTGAGAGCTGTCCTTTTCGATGCTGCGTGCCCTCCGCAGACATCTCTTGCTCTGGACAGCCTCAATGGTGGGGAGTGAGGAACCGGTGATGCGTTGGGCAGTTTTCACCACCCTCTGCAGTGATTTACGGTCCGCGACAGAGCAGCTGCCATACCATACTGAGATGCAGTTTGTAAGGATGCTCTCTATGGTACAGCGGTAGAAATTCTCTAGAATCTGAAGAGACAGATGGGCCTTCTTCGGTCTCCTCAGGAAGAAGAGACGCTGGTGTGCTTTCTTTACCAGGGATGAGGTGTTGAGGGTCCAAGAGAGGTCCCCAGAGATGTGGACACCCAGGAACTTGAAGCTGGCGACACGCTCAACCTCCATCCCGTTGATATGGATGGGGATGTGTGTGCCAGTTTTCTTACAGAAGTCCACAATTAGCTCTTTGGTCTTCTTGGTGTTGAGGGCCAGGTTGTTGTCGGCGCACCACACCGCCAGGTGCTGGACCTCCTCTCTGTAGGCATCATTGTCACTGATGAGGCCAATCACCGTTGTGTCGTCTGCAAACTTGACAATGGTATTAGAACCATGTACAGGTGTGCAGTCGTAGGTGAAGAGAGAGTAGAGGAGAGGACTTAGCACACAGCCCTGTGGCACGCCGGTGTTCAGGATGAGGGTTGATTAGGTGTGGTTCTCTACCCCAGTGTTTTTCAACCTTTTTTGCGTCAAGGCACACTTAAGACACAGAAACAATCTCACGGCACACCAACAACCGGAAATGATATGAAAATCAATCCCAAACATAGTTTCAGCATGAGCATAATATACTCTAAGAAATCAGAGGAAACACGTGTTCTATTTGTTGTTTTTTATTAAACTTAACATCATCCTAATGCAAAGATGGCACAGGCTTTATGCCCAGGTATCTCTTAAGCCTAGTTTATGCTTCTGCGTTTTCCCTTGCGTCGCTTTTCGCACTTCCATGCGTCCTTGCGTGTGTCGAGCCATTTTTCTGCGACGCAAGCCTCCCGCAGCGCACCAGGCTGCGATTGGTCCGCTAACTACGTCCTTTACGGAGTCTCGCATTTCCGCTTTCATAGCCCGATACCGCCATTATTAAAACGAAGAATGTGTACGAGAGAAACGGATCAGCTTTAAGAACTTTTGTCGGAAGAAATGCGTAAATATGAGCGCTAATACAAGCCGTCATTGGCGGCTTGTATAAGCGGGTTGGATTCACGGAGGGAGATCGCCGCAAACGCCGGAGGTGCACAAAGTTGTGGAGGAAAATACGGGACTAATGTGTCCGTGACGAAAAACAGCAGTGGCGATGCACGGGGCAATAAAGTCTATGATAAATAAATAAACAAATAAATAAATAGACGTGACTCTTTAGGTCGTCTTCAACAAAACACGTTACTCCGCCTGTTGTTCTGGAGGTGAATTACTCTGCAACGCACGCAGAACCATGAATTGAAACGAGTGCGTCGACGCAGACGCAAACGCAGAAGCATGCGCCAGCCTTAAATCTCACTTTTTAAAATTGTCGCCTCAGCAAATCTGCCTATTAATTACGCTGCGTACCGCCATCCACAGGCAGAGGGGAGTATTGAGCCTTCATACCACCAACAGCGCGACGACACACACACAAACACACAAGTTGGCTCTTTTTTTCACCAATGAAGTGACAGTATGTAAAAAATGATTTTTTTTCACGGCACACCTGACAGCCTGGCAGGTGTTGAAAAACACTGCTCTACCCTAACAGACTGGGGTCTGTTGGATAGGAAGTCCAGGATCCAGTTACAGAGGGAAGTGTTGATACCCAGGTGACTGAGTTTCGTGATTAGTTTGGAGGGGATGACAGTGTTAATGTAGTTCATGTCGATGTGTCCTTGTTCCAGATACGTAACGTAACTTGAATGGTGGGTTTAGAGTCCATGGTGTCTTGAATGAATGTCTTAATACTTTGCTGTGACGTAGTGCGCATGTGATGCGTATGTAAATGTGTGAGTGGGCGCGCGGCGGGAGGGAGACGACGACGGCTGCTGTTCATTCAACACAAACACGCACGCGCAGAGAAACCAGTAGCTTTAAAAAACAGTTGCGCTGTATATCCGTCCAGACATGAAGGAACCGCAGTTCCGCTGTAGCGGTCAGCCAAATTCGTCCTTCCCTCAGCTTCAAAAAAATAAACACATCAGTCATCGTTAATAGTTTAGTTCAAGTAGCTGTTTGACGAACAAACCAACAGGTGGCTCCGTGGCGCAATGGATAGCGCATTGGACTTCTAGTCAAGCTCTGTGAGGAGAGATTCAAAGGTTGTGGGTTCGAGTCCCACCGGAGTCGAATTTTATTTAGTTGCTTCAAATTGTTCTTTGAATGAATAAATACAGTATACAAATATATCGACTTTTCTTAAGTTATGTTTTATCTTCTAAACAGACACAGACAATACGACAAAAATTATATGTTTTTTTCAAAGCATGTGAATGTGTTAGGATGGAACCACTAAATACAAGTATGAGTTAAAATGAGCATATAGGATAAGGGATATGTTCCTTTTGTTGAGGCTTGCGTCAACGTTGAATGGAGGTCTTAATACTTTTGGTTGCTTCTATAAGTAAATCAGATCTACATCAAATGATTTCTACAAAAACATAAGTTTGCAATCCATTAAGCGTTTCATGCAACTCAAAGTTGAGCAGCATTATGCAGCTCAACATTTACAAAAAAGTTAGTAGCACATTTACAGCTACAAACACGGAAATAGGAAATGTATATCTTGAAAAACATAGCTTTCAGATCAAGTGGAGAGAGTGGAAATCACTTAAACCACTAGATGGAGGCTATTTTACAAAATGTCAGTCTGTGTGCTGTTTAATAATCTCCAGTCAAATATCCAAACAGGACAGAGGGGAGGAGAGAGAAAGCTTGTGAGACTCCAAAGACATTGTAAGACCAGAGAACAGTTTGGTTTAGTCCCCCATCATATTACTGATTATGGGAAGGCTGAGGATATTGACAGCCTTTCTGCTTCACATGGCCTCCTCTCTGGCGGTAAGGATCATCATCTCATTTTCAGTATATTATACCCTTATTATACCGATCAGTCCATATTCCTTGCAGATATTTATTTTTGTGCACAGATTTAGAGTAAGATTTTGTCTTCATAACATAGTCTAGAGGTGGTTGTAGGTTGTATGGGTATTATTTGTTTATTTGCTAAATGACTTATAAATGCTACAATTTTTGCACTGACGTTAAGACATAGGTGAAGACAAAGTAGACATGGTGGGCCAAATATCTCAAGTGGTACACTTTTATGTACATTTATGTACAAGATTCTGTACCTTGATTGAGGATTTGGGGTTCAGGGTTTATCAATTTATTAAAGATAAAAAATAAAATAATTTAGCAGTTCCACAGTGGGTAACGCAGGGTCCAAGATTAAATTAAATTCTAATAGCCTCTGTAACGATGCAAGAACACGTCTTGGCGGCAGCCTTTGATATAAACTTAAACAAGTTTCCGCAGCGTGTTGTTATCCTCTAAGCCAGTTGGTTTTATTTTTAAAAAAGATCATAGTTTTTTAATTCATCAGAAGCCCAGCTTATTTTTATTGACAAAGGAGATTCTAAAGGGTTTGTTTGATTTGTTTAATTGAAGAAGTTGTTGGCGGGATGTACCAGTTATTAAATTAGGATTTGTTTCTCTGTCCAGGCTCCTGTGCCGTGTGAGGAGAAGGTAAGCAATCTTGAGGCGGAGATCCGGGGTCTGATTAAGGTGATCAACGACCAGCATCGCTACATTCAGGAGCTCCACAACAGCCAGGCACAGCAGCTGCAGTACATACCCAACTCCCACCTGGGCCCGGAGAACCTCCATAGAGGTAGGGATGGATTTCCATTTGTATTCTACCTTCACTTTACTGCATTTGGCTGTCCTACCTACCTAATGCACAAAGTTAGACTTAAGAGGCAGTAGTTGGTAAAGACCCAAACAGAGCTCAACGGAAGAATCAATGTCAAATCTTAGGACCTGATATCAAATGATGAAGGAATGCTAATCTTGTTTTGAGCCTGCTGGACTTGTAAATGGGCAACTTGTTAGCCAAAGCAAATTTGTGAGGCAATCAGCCAGGTCTTGGTGTAAGTTTTCCACCTCCAAGTGTCCAAAGAAATATTCAGAAATGCAAGCCCTGCTTTAAAGCCCTGAGAACCAACTTTTATCGGGCAGCCAATCAGCAGTAAGTATTTTGCGTAGTCAACACCTCCATCCTTGTCATGACCCTGGAACTGCTTCACATGGGGAAACAAAAAACTTTCAGCTAAGAAGAATCCCACAAACATCTCTCTGTGTGTAATTTCTGTTTGCATGTATTGTTTCCAAACCTGTATTTACCTGCCTGGTTTGAATCTTGTGTATATTTGTGCGGGCAGACTGCTCTGAGGTGTTTGCAGACGATAACGTGGCCAGCGGGCTATATGTGATACGTCCTGATGGCTCTCACACTGCGCTGACAGTGTACTGTGACATGAACAACGGAGGAGGATGGACTGTCTTCCAGAGGAGGAAAGACGGCAAAGAGAGCTTTGACCGGTGTGTGTCCGTGTGTGTTCTATGGTTTGCACACATAAAAAAAGACAAACTGAATTGAATTGAATTTGCATGTTTAGTGAAATTTGACATTGTAAGTGAATCAGAACGGGCCTGTGGTGTGTGCAGAGCGTGGTTGGAGTACAAGCATGGATTTGGAGACCTCTACTCACCTAATGGAGAATTTTGGCTGGGAAATAAACCTCTACATGATCTCACTTCTCAAGGTGTGTCTATCTTTATGTTCTTGTGTGCGTACATTTAGTTTGACATAATGTTGCCTCTGTTACTGTGTCTTCTAGGAAACCACGACCTGCGGATCGAAATGGAGGACTTTGAGGGAAATCAGCGCTATGCTGAGTACAAGAACTTTAAACTGGATGATGAAAAGGTGAACAGAGAAAATGCAAAAAATCAAACGAGTATGAGAGTGTAAAAATAAAAAGACACCTATTCCAGAGGTAAGGGTTGTAATAAGAGGTATAGCAGTAACAAGTTTATATTTTTAAAGTTTACTCATATAAAGAGCAGAGTTATCTCATTCTTGTTCGTGGAATTGAACTCATTTATGGAAAATGTTTTAAATTCTGCAGTCTGGATTACATCCATTTCTGTCTGTAATCCTTTTAAAAAGACTTGTCAGTCTCTTCTCTTGCATTTCTGATTCACATCCTTTTTGATGTCCTTAGCCTTACCTTCTATTCTTTCCCATAACAGTAGGGGTCTTGTTTAGTCTACGATGGAAACAACCTCAAGGACATCTGGCTTCACGTAAAAATACCAAAGTACGTTTGCCACATCCATGATTCATTCCATTCTTTTATTTAACTCCCCTGTTCACTCAAAGGACCAGTACCAGTTACATGTGGGAGAGTACACTGGTAATGCAGGAGACGCCCTTGCTGACGTCCGTGGTCCCCCCTCTGCCGGGAAGAAATGGACCAGTCCAAGGAGTGGGGTCAAGTTTAGCACCTTTGACCAGATGAATGGCGGCGATGTGGAAAACGATGGCAGGTGCATCAGACACAGCAAATCAGGATGGTGGTTCAGCAGGTATGATACTAATTGCGTTTTTAATACTTAAAAACACAATACTTGAAGAACCAAACGTGCAAACGATAGAGGAAAAACAATTTTTGTTCCTTTGCATCCTGCTGCAATTTAGGTGTGACTCAGGCAACTTGAACGGTCACTACTACAAAGGGCCGTATCAAGCGATGGCTGATGACGGGGTGGTGTGGTACACATGGCACGGTTGGTGGTACTCTATCAAATCTGTGGTCATGATGGTACGAGCTGCTGACCGTGACCATCCGCCACCGGCCAACGCAGCGTTGCCAGGACAACTTGACCCCAGCAAAGCGGCAGGCGACGCCATTCACGTTGCTCGTCATCAATAGTCAATTGTCGTTACAATAAGAGCTGAAAACACAGTTTACTTAAATCACATCCATTGTAGGGTACGAACTGAATGAAGTTGTGGTCATCTCACATCCTTTTTTGCCTTCTTAGCTTTTTAATAAATGTGAATCATTGCATTTACTTAAAATTAAACAATTTCCTTGATCTAATTTCATGATGTATTTATTCCATGTCCAAAACAAACGGAGCATAGTGAATTGAGGCAAAGACAGACAAATTGATTCTGTAAAACAGAGGTGAGTTACTGGCCAGTTAGGAAGAGACTGGGATAAATGATTACTGGTCGGTTTTCACCTGAGCAAAGACAGATATTAAATCATACTAGTTCAGCATTGCCTTGACACAGTGAAGGGGGGTGCCCGCTGTTCCGGCCAGCACACAGGGTTTGTGTCTCTGCCGCCCAGATTACATTTCGCACTGTAGATTAAGGTAGAGGTTGTGAGGAGATAACAGATTTGCATTAGATCAAAGGATCATGTCACTAATTTAGGTCACTTCCTCAGATGAATGAACACATGAGTTCCGGTTTGTCCACAGACGGACACTAAGTTCATCCACTTCTTCCAGAGGTCCAAGGCTTGTGAGTTATTCGTTCTTTAGAGGAAAAAAAGTCCTCTTTAAAAAGAAGGTAAAAGGCAAAATAATCCATGCTTATCCATCGAGAGGTATTTTATGACTTGTCAAACCTGAAAAGTCTCTTGACAAACACGTGTCAGGAATCCAAGGTTTTTCTCATCCAAATCTTGAGAAGCAAGCAGTATAAAAGAACATGATGAGGTGTACAGCATATTGGAATAACAGGTTAGGATAGTCATAACAAGAAGGAGGCGCCTTGTACAGACCCTGAGGTGTGCCTGTTATTAATGCTTTCTTCTCAAAGAGAAGAGGAGAACCAGGCCCTTGGCAGATAGCAAGGTCATACATAAGTGCATCTGTGCCATCTGTGCCACTACAACATTGTTTTAGTTCCTAGAAAAGTGTCTTTTCTGCAATTAATTTCAAGTGTATAGGTTCATCATTGACATCCAGCCACACTGCTGTGATGGCAGCCTTTCTCTTGTAAAGGTTACATGGACAAATAGGAGGTCACAGGAGAGGAATGGCTTGCCGTTGCAGTTGCTATCTGGGCGATAAGGGTGCAATTGTGGGGAAGGAGGCAGAGTTCCGGGGCGAGCCAAAGGGCGAGGTGGGTGAGAGGCGGCGGGGACTCGCCAGCAGATCACCGTTGTGCAGCTTCCACAGCAGCTCCTCGTTCTCCATGGACAGACGTTTGTTGACCTTGGACTCTTTCTGCAGCGTCTGCTGCAGTTTGACCTGTTCACTGGACAGTTGCCTGCGGGGAGACAGAGAGCTTGGCTGAGTTGAGGGAAGACACACAGGTCTAGGACTGTAAGGAGGTCAACTTTATCAAAGCATGAACTCAAATCTAACAAGAACTAACAGAGGGAAACCGTCGACGAGTCATCCACTAAATATATCCTCGCATTTGCAATAAATGTCCATGTGGTCACTGGGTTGTTTTGGTCTGCTTTCACTGGAAATTGTCTTTACATTCCAACAAATGATGCGGGGAGAAAAGGACAAGGTGTCAGCCGTTACCATCAAGTACCTATCGTTCTCGCAGGACTGCAATAATACCAGAATACAATAATAAAGTTGCTATTTTCACAGCTGGGAGTCACAACAAGGACAATAGCCATATTTGTTGTTTCTTCATTTGGGTTGAGTCTAATTGATTTGTGAAGCAGAGGCGAATGGATAGGCTCAACAATCCTGTTGTAATAGCAGACGGTGAGATTGAAGCCTCTGCAGCTGGAGTACGTACTTGGAGAGAGCAGCGTGTTTGTCCATCCTAGCCTTGTAGTCCTCGTTCTCCTGTTGGACCTTTGTCAGACACTCCTCCAATTTCACATTGGTCTCCAACTGTGACAAACAAAATGACTGGTTGCTTGTATATACATACAAGCTTTTGACCAATTCTTCCAATATCCACGTGATCCATCCATCCATTGTCAAACTACTTATCCTGCATACAGGGTTGCGGGGGGGCTGGAGTCCATCCCAGCCAACTTCGGGCGGGGTACACCCTGGATCGGTCGCCAGCCAATCACAGGGCTACACAGAGACACACAACCATTCACACTCACACTCACACACCTACGGGCAATTTAGAGTCACCAGTCAACCTGATCCCCAGAGCATGTCTTTGGACTGTGGGAGGAAGCCGGAGAACCCACGCAGACACGGGGAGAACATGCAGACTCCACACAGAAAGGCCACTGGGCGGAGTGGAACCCAGGACCTTCTTGCTGTGAGGCGACAGTGATAACCACCACACCGCCGTGCCGTCCTATCCCTATTCCTATCCACGTGATGTTATTTTTTAATTATTAGACTTGAGAGACTGAAAAAAACATTCCAAGATGATAATATGTGATAGAGAAAGACTAGTGCCTACCAGTTTGTCCATCTCCATGAGCTTCTTCTCCCTCTGGTGCAGCTGGTTGTTCTTGATCTCCAGCACCACCTTAAGACTGTCCAGCTCCTGCTCCAGGTACATTGTGTGAGAGTCCTTCTGCACAAACAACACATGAAGCATGGATGCTCTCTTTGGGGAAAGCATAGACAAATATAGTAATATTGATTATAAGTCACCATGTGCTGACGCTTAACATTTGATTTTGGTTAGCTAAGAAACCTTAGGTATGCTTGTACCAGTAGGGGGAAGCAGAGAAGCATATTCTGTCCGTCAATCTCCGCACCTGTAAACTCTTTGTGTTCTGTCAGAGCAGAGAGTCAATGACAGACAGCTACCATTGTAGATGTAACTATCTTTACCAGATTCTTGTCAGTGTGCACATGCCGCCTCCTCTCCTCTTCTGCTTTCAGCTTCTCATTTAGAGCCCCGTTCTCTGCTGACAGCTCACATATTTTGTCCTGGTAGGAAGGGCACAGGATCATTTTGGGGTTGATACATAGCTTTGTTTCATAAAAAAGTTAGGACAGCTCAGTGTAAAAAAACTGTCTTTTTATTTCTTTGACAAAACAGTGCAAAGAAATGGTCCTGCTGCGTAATCATTTTTCAAAACAAACTGGAAAATAATCTTGTTTGATTGCTGCGGGATCTGTTTAGGGAGCAACCACCATGCGCTTAGTCACCGCAGTAAATGGATCATTGCATGTGCATGCCAGCCTCTTTTTAAAATGAGTCAAACTATTGAAATTCATTGTTAATAGTGATAAAACCAATAGTACCCAGAAAATGTTTTCTATCAAATAGAACAAAAAAAAGGATATCATAGCAAATAAATGGAGACCGATTGCAAAACAAAAAAGGTTAACGTCTTTGTTCAACGTGTCTCTGGTTCTAGGAACACAAATTTTATAGTTTGGAAAAACACATTCAAAAAATACTTTGCATCAAGTGTCCTTGGTCTTTGTTTCATTATGACATTGACCTTTTAAAATCCAGTGTTACGGTCTCTTACAGAAAGAGATGTTTCAGTCTCCTTCAGGGTTCTGCTCAGTTTCTCCAGATCTGTCTGCTGAATCCTTTTCAAGTCTGAAATGAACAAACACAAATTGATAATAAACAGCAAACTGCATCAGCAATTGGTAATAACGTATCTAAAAAATGTAATTAATTATATCAATATATCTGAACTGTTCAATATGTAAATCACATAAGATGGTTGGTGTGTTTTGTTAAGCTAGTAATATTGCCTATTCCCAATGTGGAACTGTGAAAGGTGTTGAGTACACACCTTCTATGGAGGTCACATACTGCAGTCTAAGAGACTCCATCTTCTGGCTGTGACTCACTTCCAGGTTGTTCTTGTCTGCTTCCTGTTGGCTCCTCAGCTTCTCCACCTAATGGAAGACGGTGCAAATCAGGGCAAAGTGGTTGACTGGGGGTCGTTGTGGCGCAGGGGGAAGAGAGGGTGCGCTGGGAACCACAAGGTTAGTGGTTTGAGTCCCGGTTGCCCCTATTGAAGTGCCCCTGAGCAATACACCTAACCCCTAATTGCTCCCCAGGCAAAATGTAAAAGCTATGGGTTAAAAATGTAATGAAAGTTGCTTTGGATAAAAGCGTCAGCTAAATGACCTGTAACGTAATGGGTTCAGTGGAACTCGTCTGCCTCTTCCTGTTAGTTTTTTACTGTCTTTGTCAGTGTCACATATTAGAAAAAACATTGTGATTCTTCTATTGCAGTCCAGACTGTTGGATCATATCTTTTGATTAGAATTTAATGGAAGGGGTCAGTGGAGAAGTGGGAGGTAATACTGCAGCACAAACACAACATGGTTACGTGGAGGAAAAGTGAAATATACTTTGAAAGGCTCCTCCTCAATCAATTTGTGTACAAATGGAACCGTAACTTGAGCTTCATATTTATGTTCAGGCTGCAGTATGTTTACTGATAATTTCAATCAATTGATTCAGAAGTATAACCTTGGAGGCAGCCTGAAGTCTCTGGTGGAGATTTGTTTCACAAGTAACTGCAAGGTGTCTGCTGGATCTAAGCTTTGCAAATCTCATCAATTCCATCATCTCAGAGTTTGACTATCACTCAAGATTTAGAGGTGATTAGACAAGCATGCACTGACCACATATCAAACGCTTTTCTTGCACACATATAACTAGATTAATCCATTAAGTCCACGTATCAAATGTCCTGTTGCAATACGTGAGATAGTCACCTGTCCAGTTCAACTCAGTCATTTTATCATACTTGGTTTTATGGGAGAGACATTGTCTCTAAACAGCATTTTACAGCTATCTCCTTGCTACTGTGTATGCAAGAGGACTGAGCAACACAGTGTGTGTGTGTGTGTGTTTGTTTATTCTGACCTGCTGTTCCATCAACCTGCGGCATTTGTCTGCCTCCTCCTGATACGTCTGATGGACTTTGTCCCACTCTGTCTGGTAAAAGCTCCGCAGTCTGGCACACACAGAGGAACATGCTGAGACCAGTGGATTTAGTATAGCCTTTCATTTCCATACAACAGCGTGGTGACACTTGCTGTGAGCACAACAGCATAAGCTAATGCTGCACCTGTCCTCCAGCTGCACAAGCTCCTCCTTATGCTGCTCTTGCAGCCGGTTAAGGGCCTCCTCCAAACTGACGTGCACCTCCTCCTTCCCCTTCTGGAGACACTCGCAGCACTGCGATGACGCCACTGGAGGGAGACCAGAAGAGCCGGAGCAAATGTTAGTAAGACTTTATGACTGAAAACACTTGAATGATTTGTGACTACTGTTCTGGAATCACTGGTTCTCATGACATTACTAGGAAAACTGTGTTATATCTTTTTAAGAACGTAATGTACAAGAAGGGCATAAACACAACTAGAGTTAAACATTTTGAAACAATATCTCAAAATAAAGAGATAGAATACAAAATGGAATGACAATAAATACAAGACCAAGAGATATCTTCTGGATAAGGAGAGCAAAGAATGACCATGTTTAGAATCATTATTATACAACTTAAGATCTCAGTACAAAATCCTTTTTGAGGCCAGATGTAGAGTTAGATATCCAACACAGAGCTACTCGTTTGACCATTTACCGTTTTAACAATAATTAGGTGTCATTTTTGTAACACACCAACTACATCCCCATATTACAATATGTCAGTCTAGACAGAGAGGAACTGTCTCAGCAGGTAATGAATGACGTTCCCTGAAAACTGCATTCCAAGTTAATTACTAATTTAAAAAAGATGCAACCCTGAAACAACTGCCAGCCAGCTCATAAGTAGGAATCAGTATGAATCATTCTCTCTCTCACGAGCACATGCAGGCCTCTCTCTCTGCGGGCGTCATCATTTCACACAATTTCCGATTCTTTCCGAAGTCTGTTTGTAATTTGGAACTATTTGGTTAGCTTTTGAAGCAGTAAGCTTATGTATTGGAGCAGCAGAACCGGAGCAGAAGACATGGATGCCATCACTGAATCAGAATGGTACATTTAAAAATAACAAACCCTGTACACATACAGTGACTGCATTGATAACAATAACCACGTTGTAACAACTGGCTGCAGCTGGGACAGGTGCTGTTGCCCTCTGAATGGAGCCCTGTAGTGAAAGCGCCTGTCAAGATGGTGATGGAGACACAAATCCAGCAACAACTGAGAACAGCTTGAAGACAAGCTTGCTCTCTGCCATAATACCGTGTGCGTGTGTGTATTGGGCGTCCTCTTCTCCCTTGCATTGTATTGCTGCACACATTTTGTTCACTATCAGTTATTTAGTGAGTGTTATTCTTTTTACACTGGGTTCTCCAAAAAGTTGCTGTCTGAATAACAGTGCGATGTGCAGTGCTTGGAGTTTCCATATTTACGCCGTGTACCTCCACATTGTAAATCACCCAATGAGACGGCAACAAGTCATTCCTGTTCAGTTTGAAGTGTGTGTGTGTGTGTTTCCGGTAACAGAAGGGATCTATACACAGCTAACATTCCTCCGGTCTGTGAGGAATAAGATGAGCCGCGAGTCAAACACACAGTAAAATGAAATATTATAGTCACTGCGGTGTCGTGGTCTTGGCGGTGCTCCTCCCACTAATTGACCGGCACAGCTGTAAGGCATTCACCAATCAAGCTCCAGGCTTTATATTCTCCAGCCTTCCCAGATTGTCAGTTCGCAGACCCCGACTCACCAATCCTTGCCATGTTGTTAATGTCTTTTTGTCTGCCTCAGGTCCTCTGCCCCTCTGGATTCCCAGCACCCTGTGTAGTAGACTAAGCCTGCTGTAGCCTGCTGACCATTCCTCCAGCCAGCTCACAACCCTGCACCTCCTGGTTCTTTACAATAAAGACTATTGAACCTTTTCTTCTCTGTGTTCTGCTCTTGGATCCAGCACCACAAACAACATGACATGCAGACAGAGTGGGTGTTTAAGGAGGAAAGTGATGATGAACAGGAAAAGGCTTTCAGGTTTGCTCTGCTGCTGTGCGTTTTGCAATTTAACACAGTGTGTGTGTGTGTGTGTGTGTGTGTGTGTGTGTGTGTATACTGAAATGTTTGTACTTAAATTGGTCATGGTTGTTATTGCTATACAGATATGCATGTGCATGTTTGTGTGGAGAAATACTTTCCTTGCTGTTACCATGTTGATCCAGTAAACTGTTGCTGTGTCCCTTTGGTATGTTTGCTCGATAGCAGGTGTGTGTGTGCGACCTTTTCTGATCCTGTTGTATCTGCCTAACAGGCAGAGTAGCTATTGACATCATAGACATTCACAGCTATCTGACTAAAATCTGATTATCGGGGTTGTTGTGGCGCAGGGGTAGAGTGGGTGCACTGGGAACCGCAAGGTTGGTGGTTCGAGTCCCTGCTGCCCCATGTCTCAAGTCGAAGTGTCCCTGAGCAAGACACCTAACCCCCTAATTGCTCCCTGGGCAAAAATGTAAAAAAGCCATGGGTTTTATATTACACTTTAAGTGTAATGTAAGTCGCTTTGGATAAAAGCGTCAGCTAAATGACCTGTAATGTAATAATTATTTAGTACACAGAGTAATTATATCCAGTGGACAGAGTTCCGATCCCCAAATAGTCCATTATAAAGACATTTGTTATAACCATCAATGTACAGACCGCTAAACTACTTAGTCTCACAAAGAAAACAGTTTTCTAAACCTCTGCTTTATGTGTCCAATCAGCTGTGTGGGTGGACTTTTTCATTCTGTATGAATGAAGGAAGAGTTATTTTGTGAGAGGGCAAAACGCTGTAAAAAGTTTGACCTGATCATTAGTTAAATTGTGAAGATAGTGTGTGTGATGTGCACAGAGCTTGTCTCTTACCCAGCTCATCTCGGAGGTTCTCCAGTTCCAGTGACAAACCCTTCGTCTGCTTCTGGGCTTCCTCGCACTGAAAGACAATATAAAAAGCCCATTCAGTCTGATATGAGCACAAGTGTATCATATATACTCAACTTTCTCACTGTCACTTAAGGACACCTTCATATAACTATAAAGTGACCAGTGAAGGACTGAAGGACACACTGGCCTCATGTGACCATGTGTCATAATATAAAACACATATTACAGAAAGCATACGATTATATCTGGTCTTAAAACAATGAGGTAAATAATGTCCATCATGGGAAAAAACACCCAAACATGAACTATTCACATCATCAGCTGCTTTAACTGACCTGACAAAGTAAGGTAAGAACTTCCCAGAAAAAAAAGGTAAAGGCTGACAAAAGAATGTACAAAAGAAAATCTTGAAGAAAACTTCCTTGACCTGAAAGAACAGGATCTTACCATCAAAATATGATAATATTGTTTTTCCATTTCGACTCAGAGACTGAAACCAAGGAATGTCCTTGATATGCTTTATTTGACACTGATTTCATCACAAACATTGTAAGGCTGCCCACACTAGACGTAAACACGCATATAAAATTAAAGCTTCTTTGAGTATTGGAATCGTCCGTCCTCCTGCCTTCACACACACACACACACACACACACACACACACAAAGTCCATCTGTGGTTTGAAGGGTCAATGAAGTGAAAGGACGAAAAGGAGGAACTGAGAGAAAATGTGAGCTGTTTAAAAATACAAGACATCCAATGCCTGGAGAAAAGATGATATTGGAAATAAAAGTTCACGCCTCGTTGTGGCCTAATTGTAAAATTTCGGAACTTTTCAAGACATTCATTATCCAAAGACAGTGTCATGTTTCTTTCAACAATTTGGACTGAAATCCAACAGCTGCTGATCAATGTGTGAAAATATATATGGCTAGCTTCCTTTAAAGTGACCTGATTGCTAAAACACTTCCTAAGTCCTGACTTCTTTGAGTTGATACAAAGATTAACAGAGGTAAGAAGGAGACAGAAAAGAGCAGCAGTAGATGTAAAGCGGTAAAACCATGTACACACACACCTTGCGTTTGTCCTGGCGGCGATATGGGGGCGCCTTGTTGGACTTTACATGGGTCTTGCTGGCCGTGGAGCCCATGTCCCGGTGAACGAGGACAAACACACCCTCTATCTCCAGTGGAAAACCCACACACTCTGCTCTACTGCGGAATGTGAAGCCCTCTCTCTTTCAGTTACTAACTTCCACTCCCACTCTACCTGTTTACCACCCTCCTCCTTCCATCTGTATCTCCTCCTCCTGCCTGAATACGCTACAATGGAGCAATGAATTAACGATATCTCTGCCCCTTCTTCTTCTTATCTTTCTTCTTATCTCCCTTTCGCTTGTTCCCTATCAGTTGTTGACACAGACATGTGGTGGCTCTGCATTAAAGTCATGCCTTTCTTGCCTTTACTCATATCCTTTCTAATTCTTCATCATTAAATATTTCTCTATTTAAAGCTTTTGTTAAAAAAAGTATTACATTACATTACATGTCATTTAGCAGACGCATTTATCCAAAGCGACGTACAATAAGTGCATTCAACCATAGGGTACAAACTCAGGAGAACAAGAAACAAGAAAGTGCAATTTCCTCAAATAAGCCAATTTACAATTTGCTATAGATGAGTGACGTTACAAGTACAATTTAAGTGCTACAATTTGTTAGTCTTTAGTCGAGGTAGAGTCTGAAGAGGTGTGTCTTTAGTTTGCGGCGGAAGATGTGAAGGCTCTCTGTGGTCCTGATGTCTTCAGAGAGCTCGTTCCACCATTTCGGCGCAAGGACAGCGAAGAGTCGAGATCTAGTCGTATTGAAGTAGTTAAATGATTAATTTGAACTATACTTGTTTTAGGGTGTCCTGACGTTCTCTACAGCTTTTGCTTCCATGTATGTTTGCCAACTCAGAAAACACTCACACTCAAGTGCAAAAAATAGAATGTTAAGAAGCGCTGAAAACTTTAGACCAGGAAGGTACCGTAATACTAGAGTTAAGTAGGTCTACAGATAAACACAGCCGCCCAAATTAAAGCCCCAACACCTTTGGCTCAACTAAAGCTCCACCCTTGGGATGATAATGTGCAGTTTATATTCAACAGTCACCTTTCAAGTGTGTAGGATAGATTAGATAGCATTGGTATTTGTGCTTTAGATAAAACCCCAAAAGCACACAACACACACACACACACACACACACACACACATAATCGCGTCATGCATTTCAAAGAGCTTCAGGGCTTGAACTGCAGCTGTTGCATTCCTCCACTCCTCCCTTGTTCTCGTCACTCCCCTTCCCCTCCACTATTCCACCGGGCCATCTATCAAATCAAATAACCTGGGCTGGAACCCCCCAAATCAGCAGTATTGACCTAAAAAGTAAAGTTAGAGAGAATTTCTAGAAGCAAAGGTCAGGTACATTACAAGGTTTACAACTTCGGGGGGGTAGTAGTACTAGTAGTCAGGCCAATGGTTCGGCCGACCGGGGTGGGGGGTTGTCTCACCCTGCAGGGGGGGGGGCGCCCCCGTTCTAATGGTAGGAGAAACCTTTTAATGTTATTAAATATGGATGGAGTTGTATCAACATTTGCATGTAATCAATATACAACTGACAAATCACATACATTTAGTATGATTCAAATACTTAGAATGTAAATATGCAATATAATGTTATCTCATTAGCTAAATAAAAGTAGGGCAGTACTACAAAGTGAGAGAAAATAAATCAAATCAATTGTACATGTTCAAATGAAGTGCTTCAATTTAAAAGAATAAAAACAATTAAGAAAAGCTTTTCTTTTTCACATTTGAACTGGACAGTCTCAGACAATTATAAATGATACATCTAACACATGAGCAGTGGGAGCATTGAGCTCTATCTTGTTATGCCAAGATTGGAAACCTGGGCGTGAATCTCTCTTTTCATGTGGACGTGGTCATAATGACGTTTCAACGGTTTCTGAGCATACATAGATAGGACTATTTTAGTGCTCCAGTGGGAAGTGGGAACAAGCACGTCCATTCTGGATTAAATGCTCGACTTTCAGCCAGTGTTGCCACAGTTACTTTGAAAAGTTACTTCTGTTTTACTGATTACTCCTTTAAAAAGTAACTGAGTTACTTTACAGATGACTTGATTTTAAAAGTAACTAAGTAAGTAAGTAACTCGTCTTTTTCTCAAATTTCGCTAACGTTATGTGTCTTTTTCTTACTTCCGTATTTTTACTTGGAATTTGCCGATATCTCTCTCATCTGTGCGCGACTCAGTTGGTCGAGTGGTATCACGTGGGATGGCGTAACTCGAATGCTATTGGTCTGTGCTTAAGTTTAAGCCACTACCGCAAAGACTATCAGAGCTGCGGCGGTTAAAGTGTCAGGTTTAATAACCGTCTGTTTTAGCTTTAGGTCGGATCCGGATGGGAAGGCTTCACGGTTCGGACCCGGACCGCGCTCTGCCAGTTAGTGACGTCTGCCAAATGCTCTACGCCAGATGCTATTCAATTCACAATGCAAAACTTACAAAATGCGCTGCTGGGAAACATCCACATTCCTCAGTATACATAAAACCCATTATAATCAAGTTATTTATCAGCTAATCACATACACACATTGCTGTATGTGGGCAGGGTCGTTCCTGATGATATTATTGGACAGATACTGTGCTGCTTTCCTTCAGAGAGAGAGATGTAGGCAAGTATTATCCGTCATTCGCTTCTCATGCACTCGTCGAGGACAAGTGTGGGTGTGCCTTAAGTTTATTTCAAATTTTCAGTATCTTCAAACCAAGAAGTAATGCAGTATTTTTTTATGATTCTGACTACAGTGGTCGAGTGGTTACAGTGGTTACTTAACCCTTATATTTGGCTATTTGGTGCTGTCCAGTAAATAATGTGGAACCTGTGGAATTAGGAGAGACGGCATCCATCCCACTTTGGATGGAGCAGAACTCATTTCAATGAATCTGACCTCAATGTTTCTCAGTGGACCTAATCCATGACCCAGTTCAGACCAGTAAACAGAGTTTGCACTTCTCTGCGCTTCCATCCGAGCAAAACATAATAAACCCCCTAGAGATTGTGTCTGCCCCACGGCCACTGAAGTTATTCAAATCAAAGGTAAACAACCTAGGAGTTCAACTAAATAACTTTACCAAAGTTAAAACCAATAACGCAACAAAATAGGATAATTAAAGGTGCAATCTTAAATAATAAATCTCTGTCATCTAAAGTTGTAATATTAGTTTAATTAATATATCAGCATATTGATCTATTTTTTCTTACTGAAAAAACGCTGTCAAATGGAGAATATGTCAGTTTAAAAAAAAGCAACTCCTCCATGTCATGTTAATGCTAATATTCCGGAGCACAGGCATTTAAAAGACATTCCACACTCTTTTGTCGGACTATTGTCTGAGAATTTTTGAATTCCTACTACCGGAATGTGCTCTTCTTGGCAAGGGTTTCAACGGTCAATGCTTATCAGATAGCAGTAGCTACGTTTAAAGGGGTAATTCTTCTGCTGTCAGTTCAGTATCATGTCTCAAGATATAAGATATAAGAGGGTTATACGAGGGTTTGCTCCTTCGTATAACCCTCAAACCCACAAGTTTGAACGGTTTTGGCGATACACCTGTTTAGAAGAATCTAGACCAATTTGGTGAGGCCCACTTCAATATATAAAGAAGGCTCTCTGTATATGTTTTTTTTTTACATGTAAAAAGACGTCCGCCTTATTGTTATTGTGGTGTGGTGCTACAGCAGAAGAAATAGACCCATCCCCAGTAAATGATGATGCAGATCCCCCTTATTTACTGAAACATTGTTACTATTTGTTGGGTAACCCTCTCTGTTGGAATCCAACATACTAAACATATTTGAAAAATAAGGCTGAACCTACTACTAAAAGAGACATTTTTCTTCCCGTCGGCAGTCGGGCTCATTAACAGAGCCCGGTCCCCCCACTGACTGACTATGACATTACACCGGTCACTCTGCTTCATACTGCACATGTCACTTTAACTGTAATTTCTCACTCGTCACTTTGTCGTCACTCGTCACTTTGTCGTCACTCGTCACTTTGTCACTTGTTCGATAGTGCACTTTATTTTTAATTTTTAACTTTAACTTTATTCTTATTTTATACTAACCCATAGCCTTATTCTACTAACCCATTGCATTAGCATTTTATTTTATTTTATTACTTGTGCACTGCTGTCTTGTTGTCTATTGTTACACTGTCTACTGTCACGCACCAACCGCGAAGACAAATTCCTTGTATGTTTGACATATTTTGGCAATAAATGTTTCCTGATTCCTGATTGTGAAGTGATTACAAAAAAGAAAACAGCCATGTTGCTGCCATGTAGGTACATTGAGAAATAACATAAATGATAGATGAACATACATGACAGCACAACAAACTGGACCCAGTTTATTGTGGTATAAGGAAAATAAAATACTATTGATTTATTTGGTGTGTCAGTAAACTTGACAAGAATCCCCCCACTAAAACACAAAAAAAATCTTAAGTAACATTTAACATTTAACAACATGAACTAATCATCTTGCCATTGAAACAGGTATAGTAACTAATGTTGCTCCTACTGGATACCACAGTGAAATCCTTGCATTTCCTCGCTCACTGTTGATGTTCTGAAACACATATGCGGTCCAAATGATTTTTGGAGGTCCTAACTGACCGACCACAGTGTGTTTGTAAAAAGCAGACAACCTCAATTATGATGTGTCCTTGGCAAGACTCACGCATTCAATGTATCATCTAACGAGCTAAGTGATGTTGTCATTATCCAAGTCTCAAAATACTCAAACAACAGTTACCTCTCACACCTTTTATCTGGGAAGTAGGAACTCATGGTTTGTTTCATTAAAAAAACTACCAAACCCAGCTATTGTAAAACATCACCACCAACAGCAGCACTGGATTATTGCCATTGCTATTTGACACACAGTCACACAGTGTGCTGCTTCTTTGCACAGTAGACACTCTTATGTAAAATAACAATGCGTAAAACATCTGTTCCCCTCAAAATATTATAATATATATATTAGAGTGGGAGTGTGTTTTTGGCTGTTTGGTAAACATAGAAATGAGCGGAATACCTCACTGAATAGTTGTTGGATAACTATAGCCAGAGCCTCCACTCTCCTATTCCCCTGGACAACCAGTTTCCTCAGCCGGTTGATGGCTAGGTTCTTCTTCTCAGGAAGCTCTTTGCTCTGGTTTTGTTTGGCAGTGACCATCCAGTCCACCACAACAGCCCCTGCTGCGCCACGCTTGGATGTATTCTGGAAGTGAGATGCTGTTCTGGGGCTGGATCTTGATTTTGCTTTTAACCCAAGACCAGATGCGCCAGTGGAGCCTGAGCCAGTGTTGGTGGTTTCAGGGGTTGGTACTGGGAGAACTGCCATCACTGTTGTGTTAGCCTTTACCACATCTGGTACCTACCAAGACAAAGTACCACATATTGTCTTCATTAAAGAATATAATAAGAATAATTGATACAATTTCAGAAGTAATATGAAAAAACAACTCAAATTACATTACATTTCATTTAGCTGACGCTTATATCCAAAGCGACGTACAATAAGTGCATTCAACCAAGAGGGTACAGACGCGACAACAAAAATCAAGAAAGCCAAAATACGAATGGGCTATAAGTAATTGTAAGTGCTCATAAAGTGCTAACTAGTCCAGGTACAGTCTAAAGAGGTGTGTTTTTTTCATTCCGCCATTTAGGAGTCAGGATCACATGTTGTGTGGATGAGTAGCTCTTTGTGAGGGAGCAACTGGATGTAGACTAGACCTAATCTGTTGGCCGCACCATACACAAACACCAATGTTGTGAAAGAGATGCAGGGAGCCACTGGTAACCAGTGAAGGGAGAGTACTGGTAATCAGTAAAGGGCAGTGTGGGTGAATTTGGGTAGGTTGAAGACCAGTCGAGCTGCTCCATTCTCAATGAGCCACATCTGATGTTTTACTTCCAATGCAAAAAAAAAAGAAATAATTACATTTTGAAATTCATTACTTGCGATTAAATACGATTAAAAGATTTTCTACTATAAATCAACGAGTAATCACTTTAGTGAGCGTATATTTGTTTAATTGTATAACGCAAAACTCGACACATTTGATAAGGCAGGACTCCACCGAGTGGAAGACGTTGAACTAGCAATCTCCCGACATTCAGCCAGGACGTTTTCCAAACCCCTGTTTTTTAGGAATACAGTGGTGGTCCTCTGCAGACTGTGTGCCGCGCAGGGCAGATGTTGAGATGGAGGTAGCCGAGGAGCGACCAACATATTACGGGCACTATCAGTCCTAAAGTGTTGCGTTTGGCAGTCACCCCCCCTCTGTTTGACACGGGGAGGAATTCTGCACAGTTCTTCTGATTGTTTTACTTCCAATGCCACAAGCTCTCTTTATCTTAAACTACCGTCTCGGTCTCTTCGATCTAACTGACTGAAGCATGAGGCGGTTTCAGGGGGCAGGAGTCAACGCATGTAAACATGCGGCTGTAAACAAAGCTGTGGTAAAATGTTTAATTTGGCCACAATAATCTCACAGATTAACACTTTGATAGCCCTGGTATAAGTGTCATTAGCTATTATATTGTAACACATTTTGGTACTTTCTGTGGGCAACTAATTGGTTGCTTAAACTTTTATCCATTTTCTAAAATTCTTTAGCAAAACCTTAGAACTCATTAGCATGACAAATTGCAGTTACTTTGACACCACCTAGACAAACTGCTGGGACACAAGGATTAAGGATGATAGAATATCTTGTGGATGACTGCTCTAAACTTCCTGTCAAACAACATGCCTTATACTTCCTTACATCAATTAGTCTACTCTGAAATATTCTCTAATGTAGTGTCTTTCTCATGACTAATAGTTGCATCTTAAAACTTTAGAGAAGAAGAGGACATACCAGTTCTGGTGGAGGATGCTGTTTTCTCTCGCTGTTTCCTCCTGCTGGTGCTGCTGCCAGTGAGCTGCTGTTGGTGTTTGTGGGTCTTGCTGGAGCCTCCTGAGGCTTGTTTTTGTCCACTGCAAGAAAACGGCAAACTCTGAGCGTGCGTGTAGCTGGTACAACATGTAACATAGTGTCCACACACACACACACACACCCACACACACACAGAATACTCACTCAGCCCACCAACAGAATAGAACACAGAATAAAGAAAAAAGGAAGCACATGAACACATACAAGTGTGAGTCAGTCATGATTGGACTACCACAACACCTGTAAACAGAAAACAAAACCTCAACACTCACACATTGTTGTTTCATGTATCTGCTCTGGTAAATGAGAATACACCCTACTGACTGCACAGGGCTGAGGCAGATGCATCATGGAATGACTGTTGATAGTGTGTGTGTTTGTGTATGACCTCGGGGCTGCATTAAGGAGTGCATTACCAGAGATAAAGCTATTAGAGAGTCAGAGAGGGATCAATACACTTCTTTTTTGTCTCCTCTGCTCTCCCATCCTTCACTTCTTCTTTCCCTGATATTTGTCATGGGTTGCCAAATTGAAATACAATCAATAAAGTTAACAAAAAAAGACATAAAAAATATAAAAAATAAACATCAAATAAAACACTTTAAAAATACATAGATATGTAGATGTAGATATAACTGAAGGAGATGGTGGTGGCAATCAGAGTATGGTGCAAAGCATTGGTCACTTGGCTGAGGAGACTGCTTTTCAAGAAAGATCTGCCAGATTCTGGACAATATTAGAAAGAGCAACCATCATCTTTACATACATAATGCTGTCTTTGTAATGATGACAGGCAAGATCGCTCTTTTTTTATGAGGCTGAAGAATTTGGCAGATAGTTTGATAAATGTTATCACCTTCCAGGCTTGTTCATATTTCTGGATTAATGATCAGATGGTTTTTATTGCTGCTAATATTGATTTTGAAATGGTAAATATATAATCTATCGAGATGTAAGTTGTTGTAATAAAACCTGTCGTCCCGAGATGTTACAAGCCTTCCAAAAAAAGCAGCGTTTTAATAGTGAAATAATCGAAGTCAGCTAGTTTGTTAATGAAAGTGAGTCACATGCTCTGTGCCTCTCTACGCATGAGTAGAATGAGAAAAGAACTAAAAGAACCCCCAGACACAGCTCTTTATCGTGCCACTGCTCAAGCTCTCATGCAGAAAGCTTTCAGACAGACTAGTCTACACACAACATGTGTTAATACAAGTGAAGCCATGAGTGTAACCCTCTATATGACGACTATGGTAGCTGCCTGCGTGGCCCCCACACTAGTCACGATACAGAGGCAACAATGGCTGTCGACACCATCGTGGAAAACAAGATTAGCCGGTGGTGTGAGGGCGAATTGGCCTTTGGGGATGATCTAGAATCAGCCATTCTCTTCACTAGACTAAAGAGGAGGAAGACAAATTGAAAAGAAGAATGAAGTGATATGAAAATTGGTAGATAATGATATATATATATATATATATATATATATATATATATATATATATATATATATATATATATATATATATATATATATATGGGCGATGGGTGGACATGGAGAGCAGGAACATATCCAGACCTGTGTGGAAGACGACTGTGCTCTTCTTGCATCTTGGCAGCAGCTGAAGGTTCCGGAAAAGTCCTTTGGCTGTCAGCTTTACATGGAAATTGGAAAGTGACAGTCTGGGGGACCAAAACATTGTCTCCTTTTATCTTCAAACAGGATTTGAATTGTCTTTCCTTTGTTGTCCTTCACCGTTGTCCAGGTGATGGTGAATCATCCGGGGATCAAAGATAGAGAGAACGAGGGAGGCAGTACTTGCATGTGTGTGTGTGTGTGTGTGAGAGGGAAAATACCCATGGCGCGTATGATTAGGAATCCATCTCTGCTGTTATGTGCAAAAAAAACAGTGATCCATCCAATGCGGTCTACCGCTTTCCCTAAACAAACACACGCTTGGTGGTTGGATAAAGACGAGCATCAGCACACTCCTTCTGTTTTACTGCCGTTTGAAAAGCTCAGTGAATTACCACTCCACGCACACACACACACACACACACACACACAAGAAAGAGGGATGCTGCAGAGGAGGAAGGGGAGTGGGTGGGATTTGAATAATCTGTGTCGCTGCTTGGCTGGCCCGCACCCTCCCTCTTCCTTCTCCCCCTCCTTCTTCCATTCCTTGCTTGCTTGTCCCCCTTGCTCCCTCAGTCAGTCCGTCACTCTATCATTACTCTCATTAGTTGATCTGTTCTTAATACTCTGTTCCTCTCTCTGCCTTTCATTTGAATGAGATACATGGCAAAGATGAATCAAATTAGATCTGAGAGGAAGGGAGGAGCCTCTCTCATTCACACACATACATACAGAGACACATGCAAATGTGTGTCTTCATCTCTCCGTGGCAGGTGGTACTCTCATAACAAATACATAGTTTTAGAATGCATTGTCAGGATAAAAGAAGAACTGCATGCATTTAGTTATCAAAGGTATTAGTAAGGATCAAATGCACTGAAAAGGTTTCACAGTGGCCATATGGAGCAATGGAGCTTGGCCCCACCATGAGCGACGGAAAAAAAATAGCTGTTTATTATTTTAAAAATACATTTTACAAATAGTCAATATTTGTGTTTTTGTGCTTTTGAAACGTGGATTATATACCCGGTAATATTTGTAAATTGAGATATCTGCGCAAAATGTATGCTTTTCCTGCACGTCCTCTCCGCATGTCTCAGCTGGGCTCGACACGGTCCCAAAGCGTCTAAGTCAGCCAATCACTGATGAAGTTAATGAGTGACATTATTATTTCAGCGTCCTAAAATGCATTGAGTTTTGGGCCCTTCGCCGCCCCGCGCGGCGCTTTCGTCAGGACGAGTCTCCGACGTGCCATTTAACAACATAACGAGAACGACCACCGGCAGTGTCCTTCCAAGAAGACCTAACCCAAACTATACGAGAGAAGAACTTTGTCGAACCCAGATCAGCCTGACCTCACGATCAGACGACGGGCCGGCGTGAAAGGGAAGCCGCAGATATATGACCCTTCTGTAGTGACTTCAATACCGGGATGTTTAGCTAGCTAGTTAGCCACATGCTAACGGCGTATATTCGCGCACCGTGCGTATGACGCTGCCTTGTTAAAGTTAACATCGCTACCAAGCCAACGCACACAGGATTGCGTGAGGACACACAAGCGGGACATGGATGAAACCAGGCACATTTTATACAAAATAATTCATTGCGTGAAGTTTTGTGGGGCTTTTGAGTTGGTCTTTCCTCAACACAGTGATCGGGTGTTTCTCTAACAAACCAGGTTCATAGGTGCATCTCAATATATACATGTTCTAATAGATTAGATTATTTATATAAATCTATTTATATTGTAATATATTTATACTTTAAAATAATATATTTATTATATGATATTTATAATAGTTGCGCTATGATAGTTATATAATTTTATCCTCTGGGGTATCTTCAAAAAAACTAACTAAAAAAGCAAGATGATGTCGGGGACATTATTGTAATACATTGTGCTACCAACACACAAAATGAATACACAAACAGACAGCCTCTCACCTGTGCTGTTTATTCGAGTGAGTCTTGCAGAACTGCTTCTTTGCAAAGCACACTGGGCTGCCTGCTTTGTCAGGCCGTGATTGGCAACAGGACCTGTCTTTTCCGCTGGTTGATGAGCAGCTGCTGTCTTATTAGCTTTGTTGTTATTGGTGACTGTTGGGGCCTTCAGCAGACCTGTGAAGAGGACACAGAACGGATCAAAGCCCACCAAAGAACCTCTCTAAAATGTTTTGTGTCGCTAGCTAGATGTTGATGCTTAAGCTTTCCCGCTGCAGTTAGTTCCATTGTAAAAGCAATTAACCCTGAACAACTAAAAAGAGGAACACAAGATTTAAATTCGGAGAAGCCAAGATAATGACCGGAATATTTGTACTTTATTTGTATTTATACATCATTATCTTGTTCAAATATACTGTATAGACAGAAAGGCTAAATGGTCACTGGAGTTGTAATTGTATAGGACTAGTCTTCCAACAACTCAAAGAGCTTTCACACTACGTGTCATCATTCACCGAATCACCCGTCAACTGTGAGTTGTTCCGGGGATCTAACTGCCGATCCTCTGATTGAAGGTTGTGTTAGTGCCATTTTCCATGTGGTAATTTAGATTTAGATTGATATTATTTTGATTCATCTTTATCCATCCATCCATCCATTTTCAATCGCTTATCCGGGGTCGGGTCGCGGGGGCAACAGCTCCAGCAGAGGACCCCAAACTTCCCTTTCCCGGGCCACATCTACCAGCTCTGACTGGGGGATCCCAAGGCGTTCCCAGGCCAGTGCAGAGATATAATCTCTCCACCTAGTCCTGGGTCTTCCCCGGGGCCTCTTCCCAGCTGGCCGTGCCTGGAACACCTCCCTAGGGAGGCGCCCAGGGGGCATCCTTACCAGATGCCCAAACGACCTCAACTGGCTCCTTTCGACGCAAAGGAGCAGCGGCTCTGCTCCGAGCTCCTCGCGAATGGCTGAGCTTCTCACCCTATCCCTAAGGGAGACGCCAGCCACTCTCCTGAGGAAACCCATTTCGGCCGCTTGTACCCGTGACTTAGTTCTTTCGGTCATGACCCATCCTTCATGACCATAGGTGAGGGTAAGAACGAAGATTGACCGGTAGATCGAGAGCTTTGCCTTCCGGCTCAGCTCTCTTTTCGTCACAACGGTGCGGTAAAGCGAGTGCAATACCGCCCCCGCTGCTCCGATTCTCCGGCCAAACTCACACTCCATCTTCCCCTCATTCGTGAAAAAGACCCCGAGGTACTTAACTCCTTCACTTGGGATAAGGACACATTCCCTACCTGGAGTAGGCAATCCATCGGTTTCCTGCTGAGAACCATGGCCTCAGATCTAGAGGTGCTAATCCTCATCCCGACCGCTTCACACTCAACTGCGAAACGCTCCAGTGAGAGTTGGAGGTCACAGACGGAAGATGCCGTCAGGACCACATCATCTGCAAAAAGCAGCGATGAGATCCGCAGCCCCCCGAACTGTAGACCCTCCTCCCCCCGACTACGCCTCAATATCCTGTCCATGAAAACCACAAACAAGATTGGTGACAAGGCGCAGCCCTGGCGAAGGCCAATCCCCACCGGAAACGCCTTCGACTTACTGCCGAGCACCCGAACACAGCTCTCGCTTTGGGCGTACAAGGATTGGATGGCCCCAAGCAAGGACCCCCTCACCCCGTACTCCCGCAGCACCTCCCACAGTTTCTCTCGGGGGACCCGGTCATACGCCTTCTCCAAGTCCACAAAACACATGTAGACTGGATGAGCATACTCCCAAGCCCCCTCTATGATCCTGGAAAGAGTGAAGAGCTGGTCCGTTGTTCCACGACCAGGACGAAAACCGCATTGTTCCTCTTCAATCCTTGGTTCGACTATCGGCCGAACCCTCCTTTCCAGCACCTTAGAGTAGACTTTACCCGGGAGGCTGAGTAGTGTGATACCCCTGTAATTGGCACACACTCTCTGGTCCCCCTTTTTGAAGAGGGGTACCACCACCCCGGTCTGCCACTCTTTTGGCACTGTCCCAGACTTCCACGCAATGTTAAAGAGGCGTGTCATCCAAGACAACCCCCCCAACACCCATTGCTTTTAGCATCTCTGGACGGATCAATCCCCGGGGCTTTGCCACTGCGGAGTTGTTTGACTACCTCAGTGACCTCCACAAGGCCAATTGACGATGACTCTCCTCCACCTCCAGCTCCGCCTCTACCAAAGAGGGCGTAGTAGTTGGGTTCAGGAGTTCCTCAAAGTGTTACTTCCACCGCCCGATAACCTCCTCAGTCGCGGTCAACAGGGTCCCATCCTTACTGTACACAGCTTGGATGGTTCCCCGTTTCCCCCTGCTGAGGTGCCGGATGGTCTTCCACAAGCACTTTGGTGCCGACCGAAAGTCCTTCTCCATAGTTACCCCGAACTCCTCCCATACTCGCTGCTTTGCCTCCATCACGGCAGAGGCTGCTGCCCTTCGAGCCTGTCGGTACCTTGCAACTGCCTCCGGAGTCCCACCGGATATCATAACCCGGAAGGCCTCCTTCTTCAGTCGGGCGGCTTCCCTGACCACCGGTGTCCACCACGGGGTTCGAGGGTTACCGCCCCTTGATGCACCTAAGACCTTGAGGCCACAAATCACTGCCGCGGTTTCAGCAATGGAGGTTTTGAACATACACCACTCTGGTTCAACGTCCCCTACCTCCACAGGAATGTGAGAGAAGCTCCGCCGGAGGTGTGAGTTGAAAATCTTTTGGACCGGGGCCTCCTCCAGACGTTCCCAGTTCACCCTCACTACACGCTTGGGTTTACCGGGTCTGTCCCAAGTCCTCCCCCATCCTATGACCCCAGCTCACAACCAGATGGTGATAAGTTGACAGCTCTGCCCCTCTCTTTACCCGAGTGTCCAGAACATGCGGCCTCAGATCAGACGATCCGATTACAAAACCGATCATTGATCTTTGGCCTAGGGTGCTCTGGTACCACGTACACTTATGAACATCCTTATGTTCGAACATGGTGTTTGTTATGGACAATGCGTGACTGGCACAGAAGTCCAGTAACAAACACCCGCTCGGGTTCAGATCAGGGAGGCCATTCCTCCCAATCACGCCTCTCCAGTTATCTCCATCGTCGCCCACGTGCGCATTGAAGTCTCCCAGTAGGACTATGGAGTCCCCTACTGGAGCCCCATGCAGGACTCCATTCAGGGTCTCCAAAAAGGCTGAATACTCTGAGTTGCTGTTTGGTGCATATGCACAGACAACAGTCAGAGTTTTCCCCCCACCACCCGAAGGCGTAGGGAGGCGACCCTTTTGTCCACCGGGGTAAACTCCAATGTAGCAGCACTCAGCCAGGGACTTATGAGTATCCCCACACCCGCCTGGCGCCTCACACCATGGGCCACTCCGGAGTGGAATAGAGTCCACCCCCTATCCAGGAGTGTAGTTCCAGAGCCGAGACTGTGCGTAGAGGTAAGCCCCACCAGATCCAACTGAT